AATCGGCGATTAATCCTCCCAGCTTGTTATCGGACTGTGAATTAAAGCTCGATTTTGGAGTCCAGTAATTTCCACCCATTCTCGCATCCCCTTGGTGCCAGGCTTTGGATTTGCCTAATGGGGAGCGTTTTCCAATTAACCGGAAAATGAAATAAGATCGATATAATCGGCTCGGACCGAGAGTCGATGAAATTTAGTCGGGGCGGAATTAATCCATCGATCACCCGCGTTCCTGGTTCCGGTTCGCTCTTTCTTCTTCTTCTGGGATTTTTTATTACTCGTTTCCGGTCGCGGCTCGACTCGCAAAAAGTCATCCTCCGGTCCGAAGAAAGGAACATCCTGTTCCATGGGCAGGTGCAAGGTGAACTCTACGGTCATGGCGTGACCGTAGTTCTTAAGAGACTCGTTTCGCCGCCAGGGCTGTTAAATATAAATAGAAGCGACACGGAATGCGCGGCCTCGCGAGACCGTGCTAACGGAAATAAACGATCGATCCTTCTTTGTCAATTTGCGTTGCAAATCTCCCCGTTGGTTGTCCCATGGAGCCTCGATCCCTTTATCTGCGTACGCACCTCGGCCGAGGATCCCGAACCTGGATTATTTCTCGAAACCTCGAGCCAAGGAAATATTAAAAAATTAAACGGAGCAAATGTTGGATCCCGAAAAGATGCAAGTGAAACTTTTAGTGTCCCGGCTTTACTCTCCGTCCCCGTAAGAGGCCCCCCGTCTTCAACCTATAAGCTTTCGTCTGTTCCTCCTTTATGAATTTCCCATAACGGGAATGGCGCTCTTAAGGCCACTTTCCGCATAGAAGTTCGCCCTTTATGGCTCCGGAGTTTCGGCGCAGGGTAATAAGCGTTCATCGGAATTGTTTCTCGTGTCGATGCTGTCGAGACCCGACCCCATGGCGGAAGACCTGCGAAACGTCAACGGAATTAATCGATTAACGAACTCGAGGGGTTCACTCAGGAAATCAGGGATTTCAATCCTCGAAAATCGTATGAATTCAAAGACAATCGATTCTTACGGAGGAAAATCATTTTCACTGTTTTCCGAATGAATGAGGCCCCTCGATCGAATTACACATCGCGAATTCATTCGACGGAACATCGGGTGATGTTCGGAAGTGACGAGCTCGAGATCCGCGGGGCATACGTCGCGGAAATAAATTACCTATCGGGAAGTTCTCATTGCCTCCGGGGCATTATCTGAGGGAGACGTCACGGTGACGTTGACGCCGATGCGACGTCACTGTCATCGTCACGATCTTCAAGAGGAGCACTTCGGGCCGGTGATTCACAAGTGAAGACCCGAGGCCCGTCGTCCTCCGATCCTCTTCATTATATCGTAACGCGGACAGCTCGTGACGTTGACACAGATTTACACAAGGAGAGCGGAAGGGACATCCGATGAGAGGAATTACCCGAATGGGAGCCAAAATTGGAGGGGGCCAAATTCGATCTTCGATCCCTGCCGGGTTATCCCGAGTTTATCCCTCCGTTAGGTTTAGGGTGTTTTTTTATCCGTTTGTCGATCCGTATCATCTGAGGATATATATATTAGTGTATATGTATTATATACGTATTTACGGGGGTATCATCTTCCTCCATTCCTTGAACTCTTTGTGCCCTCTTTAGGTCCCCGTGCAGCCAAAGTATGCCCCCTGCAAGTAATTTATTTGATGGCTCTGCACCCTCGTAGCATCCTCGGGAGCAGGGCGAGAGAGGTTCGGGGGACTTCGGGACCTGTTAGTAAATATTACTTAACGTTATTACTTGCCCCGTGACGTCATCTCGACGAATTAATAAACGAGGTCATTCGTGGCGAGGGGTCGACGTGGCGAATTATTCCGTGGCATAAAATGCCCGGCAAAATGGTCCCGGGAACCGCGTCGATTGGAGGGGAAAATTATCCCGTTCGGGAGGTCATTTAACAATTAATGTTAACAATGCCTCGCCCACGCCCCTCGGTCTCCCCTGTACCGTGTAAAAATGTCCCTGCATAATTAAAACACGATGGATGAATATTCGTGCATTTCGGAGTAATAAATGCAACTCGATGCCGCGAGTACCGAGATGGGCGAAGAATGAGAGACCCGCAGAGTCGAGCTAGCTTAATCGTTCCTCGCGACAATTGCGGATAATTGCTCTTCTATTAGACAACAAAACGAACCGCGAAGCGTACCGAGGCGAGGATAAAATATACATGTCAATTTCGCCGTGGACGTCTGGGATCTCTCGGTGAATTCGCGGAGGCACTTTAAAGGCCGGTGAACGAACGGGCCGCCATTTCTCATAATGCACCGAATCATTCCATTGAGGTCGGTCAGGGATACGGCGATTAATCTATCGTAGTTTTCCCCTAAGAGAAAGGGGGAGGGAAGCGGATAGAATCGAATACTAGCATGTAGATGGAAAACGGGTATTTGGCCTATGGGCTAGACGGCGGTCCGGGTTGACGACCGTAACAGAAATTCCCAACGGCGCCAAGTGTCGAGTGATAAGATCGATCCCGGAATCGATTCCACGCCGCTCGATGGTTAGGAGATTGCCCTTTACATAAACATTTCCCACGGAGACCTCGAGAGGGTGAATCTCCTTCCAATCCGCTCGCGATTCGGATCCAACGGAGAGCTTAGCCGTTTCCTGAAAAAGACGACAATTCCAAAGAGAGCGGAACCTCCATTAGAGTCATTACGTACATTCATTGTCAGCGTCCACGGCGAGGTCCATTTCCATAGAGCCCGCGATATTTAAAGTTACCTTACCCGTGCTCGTCGAATTATTTTCTCGCGTACCCATTGTTCCTCGACGCGGCTTCCGCTTCACGCCTCGCCGCCTCCGCATACGCTGCCCTGTGAAAAAAAAAAAGAGAGAACGAGAGAGAGAAAGAGAGAACCCACTATACGTCGACCCAACGCGTCGGCATTAATTCTCATCCAGACCCCTTACGCGCGAAGCCGAGGCGTTTTAGGGCAGCAGGGGTCAGGCAAGGGCCGCCCTTCCGGGGGGCGAAGTAGCACCTGTCGTCGAGCCGAGCTAAAAGCCTAACCTAAAAGCCAGTCCTAAAAGCCTCAGCCGCTACTCACTGCTGGAGGGCGCGAAGGCGGCAGCAGGAGGGCCGGCGACCAGTACGCTGCACCGCCCATTCGCGACTGGCAGATCCGTGAGGACGCAGTGCAGGTCAACGGCCGGCGCGCTGCGCTGGGCCGGAGCCTATAAAAGGCGGGCCCCGCGAGGGTGGGCCGCTAGTCGCCGCAGGAGCGCGCGAGGGTGCACGCGGCTCCTGAAAGGGCTCCTCGCGCGCTGCTAGGTGAGGAGGCCGAGGGCCGGCGAGGTGCAGCGCGGGTCAACGGCCGCCGGCGCGCTGCCATTGGCCGCGCTGGCCGGTCCCGTGTCGCGCTGCCGGGCCTCGGGCGCAGGTGCGCGCGCAGCCGAAGCCGCGGGGAGGCTGCGAGGCGCGATTGCGCGACGTCGGCGGCCGGAGCACGTGTCGACCGGCGCGGCGTCCAGGGCGGCCGCGAGATCCGCGACCGGCCGAGGGGCGGTTCGTTATTGATCCCCTCTGACGCGCGGCCGCGGGGAGGGGGCCGCAATCCGATATCGCGCGGGCAGCGCGATCGCCACGACCCGGGTTGCCCGACCGCGAGGGGAGGGTGCCGCAAGATGCACTCCCGGGTCAATGGCCGGCGGCGCGCCCCGATTGGCCGCGCCGGACTCCGCCGGACCCTGTCGAGCCTTCCCCGTCGGCGCGTCGATTTTCTAATTATCCGGGCTTACGTCACCTCCAGGGCCCTTAATCCGGGTACATTCAGCCGGCGAGGAGAATCGCGTCGTTTTGCCACCCGGCGTAACCTCTCGAACCCCTCCCTGCCGGGGATCATTTTTCCGAGGTCGTTCCCGGCGACTCCTTGGGCTCAGGTGGTCCCGCAGGAGGCTGGGCGCGCGTGCGCGGGCGCGCCGACCACGTGTCGCGGATCGGCGTCCGAGCGGCCGGCGAGGAGGGAGGCGGAGATAACGTGACCGGCGGAGGGGAGAGGTCCGTTATTGATCTCCGTCGGTCGGGCGTACTCTCCGCGGCCGGTGGCTGAGCGCCGCGTCTCGGGTTCTTCCGGTGCGGCGGCGCGCTCCTCTCGGATCCTCGCGCGTCCCGCGGGAGAGAGTGCGGCGGCCGCCGCCCGCACGGCGGAGGAGGGCGGAGGCTGCCGCGGGGAGGCGCGCGCGGCGCTTGGAAGAGAGAGAGAGGAGCCGCCGCGACGCGCCCGACCCGACGTCAGTCAGTGCGCGCTGCGCAGCCGAGTGGCGTGGATCGGCGCGCTCTCCCTGGAGTCGGCTCGCGTGCAGGCGGCTAACTTCCGCCGGCGCCCGGGGAGCTAACCTCCGCCGGCAGGCCGATAGGGGCGCCCTGGTCGGCTCGGCGCCGAGCGCCGGCGGCGTGCGTCTCGCGCCCCCCAGGGGTTCGCGGATCCCAGGGAGGGAGAGAGAGAAACGGTCGAGCTATCTTATCGAGCACGAGACTCGCCCGGGAGAGAGGCGCTCCCGGTAGCATACGCGGTGCCAGTGTCGCTCCACGGCGCCGCGACGACCTCCGGGGACGATCCGAGTGCCCGCACCTGCCGTCCGGCCTCTTTCTCTCTCTCGCTCCCCCGGCCACGCCGCGCCTCGAGAAAGAAGGACGCCCGTCCTACCGTTCCCTCCGTGAGGACGCTGGAGCGACGCCGGCCGGCGCGGTAACCTTGTTTCAAGCGAGTAAACACCGCCTGACCGCGGCCCATGGGAGTGGGCAAATGCGTATCGGGAACTACGCCCGGCGTCGGTCGCGTAAATAGAGGCGTCGGACCGAGTCGTCCGGCTCGGTCCCAGCGAGGCGAAAACACTCCCCCCGCGCGCCCTGTGGAGCTCCTGAACTCCTGAGCGGAGCCCCGCGCTCCTCCCCGCGCGGAGGTCGCGGCCCGAGTGCGCCGGGCCCTGCCCGTCGGTCCGCTACGCTCTCCACGTGTTTTCCCCTCCCCGCCGCCTGGTGCGCTGCGCTGCGCGAGGGGAGCGGCGCGGCGGAAAGCCTCGCCGAGCGCACCGTCAGTACCCTATCGGCGGGCGCGCGAGGATCGCGGCCGCCCTCTGCGCGCCGTGCTCTCGGCAGACGGATACGAGGAGGACGGAGAGAGAGGGAGCGACCCCAGGGAGGAATGTCGGTCGACGCCGGCCCCCTTTCCGCCAGGTTAGCGAGCCCGGCCGAAAGACCACGGCGACCCGGTTTCTTCCGCACAAGTGAGCGCAGGCACGAGACCGAGCCCACCTGGCGAGCGATGAGTCCGGAGACCTGAGAGCCGGAAGAGAGAGGGAGAGGACACGACCTGGGAAAAGGAAAACCGGGCCGCTGGGAGAGAGGATCCGCGAGGGAAGAAGATAAGAGAGCGAGAGAGACCGGGCATCGATTGCCAGGGGGGATCGGAGAAGGAGACGGAAGATGAGAGGAGCGAGGCGCGGATTATAGAAGGACATCTGGGAATACGCCGAGCGGTATTAAGGGAGGCCGGGCGGATTAAGGGGGCGATAATTCCCGAGACTGCCAGCGGGCGAGGAGGGAGCAAGCCCGGGAAGAGGAGCCAGAGGGATCCGAAGCTGGCGTCCCAGACACGCGAGACCGGCTCCCGCGGGACTCGGACCCGTCGCAGGCCCAATGGCGGGTCCCTGTCGAGCGGCGGCGGCGGCAGCGCCTCCGGGGTCCAGTGCGGCCTCTGCGCCGTCGTGGCCGGCCTCTTCCGCAGGGCCATGTGCATCGCCGGCAGCCGAAGAGGCTCCAGGGAGTCCTGCTACCAGGAGCTGGCCACCGACGCCTCGGGCTCGAGGCTCGCGGCCTGCGCCGAGCCCTGCGCCGAGCCCTGCGCCGAGCCCTGCCTCAGGACCTGCGACGACGAGACGGCGAGCCTGCGGGAGGACGAGGTGAGGACCCACGACCACCTTTTATACCCCCAGGTAGGGCCCCCGCGAGGACGGCGACTTAAATACCACGCGTTGCGCGGAGCTCCCGGGACCCGGTATAGATCCTGGATCCACCGAGGCCCGAGAGGGAATTTAAATCGACCCGTTTTCCCCCGAGAACTGGGAGAGAACGAGAGGAAGAAAGTAGCCGAGTCGAGTATGTGAGAATTTACGAGCCGGGCACCTGGCCGTGCTTTTTTTTGCGCTACCCGCGACCACGTGGACGAGACCTCCAACCGGACTACGAGAGGCACGGAGAGGGCTTCCTAGTTTGCAAACGAGGATTCGAGAGACTCCCCTCGGGACTCGCTTCGTGTCGTTTTTAGCTACCTATTGTCCGCTCTGGTTCCTCTTTTTGCCAAGCGTGGCGGACGATTTTCCCACCGCGGGAAATCGGAGGCATTTCGAGGCGAAAATGAAAACGCGGGGACGGTGGCCGGTCGCCCGTGGACGGGAACGCCGGGACGGGTGGAACCGTGCCCAGGAATGTTTTCTCGGGAGTAACCTCGACCACGTGGACGAGATTCCGATGCTCGAACCGGTCCATGAGCGAGCGCGCAGTCAATGAAAGGCCCCGTTCCTCGTCACCGGTTCCCGAGTTTGTTTTCGAGGCATTCCGGGGACCCTCCTCGGTCCTCCTGGCCCTTTTTCACCCCGAGAGGTCCTTTAGATTCTCCCGAGATTCGCCGGCGGAGCCTTTCGGGGACACCGAGTGTACTCGCGTAACCCTTTCGCACCCGCTGGAGTTGGACACCTTCTCCTCCTCTCGCCTCGTCCTCCTCGCTATTTTTATCTCCTTTCTTTCCATGTTATATTCACGGACACGAGATCCGTAGTAAACACGGCGAACCGATCCGCTCAGCCGGGAAAACATCTCGGAAGCCTTCGGGCTGCGCCGCGAATTGCATTACTACGATTTTCGAGCTAATCGGACGAAGCTGGATGTTTACCCTAGGGGAATCCATACCGAAGCTAAATAAGGAGAGACGAGACGTGATAAGGGAAAATGATACACGTTGATACGAATAATTAAAAAAAATGTATACGTAATTAAAGTATTTCTCAGCCGCGCAAAACCATACAACGAGAACGGGGGGAAACTCCCCACTTCTAGGGAGCTCCCAACGTTGCATGTCCCCGTCGATTTATCCCTCTAAACACTCCGGGGACGCCTGCGAGTATTTTTAGCGAATACTATGTCACTCAATAGTTCCACCGACTCGGCGGTTCCGCGAATCGCGTTTTGCCTGGCGAAATTTAACCCAGGGCGTAAGAATCGCAGAGGGACTCTCCGACTCCCTACGAATCACGTCGCGGGGTATTCTCGGCGCGTCGGTTTTTTAGGGGACCCCTTGATCGGCCGAAAATTGCCCGAAATGATTGGAAACTACTCGGAGGGGACGGATTAAACGCGATTGAAATTCGCCGCACCCAGAAGTTCGAGGAGAGGTTACCCAAGACCTCTTTAGAATTTCACATCACGTGGGGACGCGGACCGAGGCGACCTAACAAGTGTACCCTCGATACTTTCTCTCTCCCTCTTTCGATTCTCCCCTAGGACCTTTCCTCTCTTACTTTTATTCACCCTTATGCCCCCCTTTCCGCCTTTACATAATGCACCCTGAATCGCGGATTATTTTCGGATTTTTTTTCACCGACCCTCGGGAAAAACAGGGACGAAATGAGGGAAAGTTCGCGTCTTATGTCACGCCCGTGTCGTATCAATGGCCTTATCGATACTGTATGTCGGGTGTATCGCGATATTCCGGGTCTGTGTGCCGAGGGGAATCTGCGGAAATTTTTTGATACTTTTCCACGTCCCGCGATATGTTAATCGGAGATCGTTTCGATTTTAGTACCGCACCTCGGACGGTTTATCCGCCCGCGATGGACGCTAAATTAAGTACCTGGGCAGGAGGGCGTTCTATTTCTTTGTTTAAGTAAATTGGGGTAATTGCTAATCGTCACGCGCACGTATGTGTCGCGTTGGCAAGCTCCTTTGTTTTTCGTCCCTTTGCCAAAGGCTCTCGTAGCCGGAATTCTCGCACTTGGTGCGCCGCTCGTTACGCCGCTGACAATTCTGTCAATCGGGACTCCTTTTGGCCCTGTGACAGTTCGCGTAATTGACCGAGTCGGTGATTTCGCCCAGATTGTCGGTTATACTCGGTCGGTAGGATTCCTGGACAAATTAGAAAGCCAAATCGGAGGAATTTCAATTAAATTCGATTAGTTTCAACGAATTTCGGAGACCGTGGATTCGCAAGCGTTGTCCAGGACGGTGACAAAATCCGCGGAGGAGAAACCGGTTACCCGGCTGAAAACCGTCTGGAAGATCGACCCGGTTCGAGAGTTTCTCGTTCTGCTCGCACGGAAAAATAATGAGAAATTCTCCCGGCTTCGATAAGCGCAAACACTTGAAAACGAGCCAGCAAAAGTATTTCCAGAATCGTTTTTCCGATACAGTCGACAGAAGACCGCTACTCCACTGGGGCGGGATTTTTTTAAGAAAAATCTTGTTTTAATACCGCAGTAAGACCAGGATTTCTTTAGCCAAATAATTTGACCGTTACACGTACATTTTCCTATTTTAGCCACAATATTTTCTAATGGAACCTCTCCTTTGGTCACGTCCACGATCGATACAGTTGCAAACGTTCCTGCCGTTGGGGCAATTATTGCCGCAGAAAAAGCACGACTTTATCGGCAATGCTATCCTCTGCTGAGCGAATTTTTTCTTATTTTTTTTTTTTTTCCACTTTTTCGTGCGCTTTCTGGAACAGAATGTGCACCGTTTATTTTCACATTTCACGCGACCTAATGAGCGAAGCTTCGGGGGTTTCCTCCTCGGCCGCGTATTTTCGGCCCGCGGATTTGAGGAGGGCATTTTAACATTTTATAACCCGAGATTTGTCGCCTGGCCGCGACTTACGGCGCCGGAGAAAGTTGGCAGGGGCTCAAGCAATTCCCCTCGGCTCTCTTGGTGCATTCGTAAAAATTCCGGGCACTTCCATCCGGAGCTTGCACTCCTGCCGTCGGAAAAGACGCGGCTGATTTTATTATCAAGTCGGCCCTCGGGCGGAGATAAAGTGGAGACGGGAGGAATTCGAATCGAGTCGGTCTTGCTTACCGGGGCACTTCCCGGAGTGCAGCTCCCGTTTGCCCTCCCTTTTTAAAATTAATATCTCCCCCGCGATGCACACACGCGAGTTCGCTCGAGGAAAGTCGTCGGTATGCAGCCCGGGGTCGCAAAGATTGGGAAAAGTTCGGACCGCGGGGCTGCATAAGAATGCCCTCCCCGTCGAAGACTCGAGATTCCGGCGCCGAGAAACTCGGCTGATTTAATTATCAATCCGGGCCAAAGGCGACGATAAAGGGGATCGAGAGGGGACCGGAAAATTCGAGGCGGGGTCGCGGTTCTTTATTTAGGTCTCCTTTATCGGCTCCCGGGGGCATTATTCCCCCGAGACCCCTCTCGTCTCTCGAGATCGAGTGCACCGGGGCTCGCGCGATTCGCCAGGGTCGACCGGGCTGCGCCCTCGACAAAACTGTCACCCATCCCGACGTCCCGGGGACGCTTAACCTCCCGGAGGCTGCGAGCACTTGCGAGCACTCGCCGCTCTTCCGGGCCAGAAATCATGAAGCTGTACACCCGTCCAGCTATTCCGTATTCATGGGCCGATTGCGAAACAGGGTCGAATCACTTTAGCCGTGCGTGCCCGGAGGCCCGGTCGAAAGACTCGAGAAAGAGATCTTCCTCCGGCGTCGGACTCTCCGGACCGTGATCCTCGAGATCGGAATTTAATTATTTAATATGTCGCACCTTTGGGTATCGCCGACACCGTTCACTTTCTCCTACAAGATTCTAAACGGCGATCTACGGAATTGGGATTTAATTATTTAACGTATCGCCCCCTGGTATCGGTTGCACGTTTTCACCGCGTACCGGAAAATTCTGGACGGCGATTTTTATAGTCGGAATTTAATCGTTCAATATATCGCATCAGTGATGGCGCTCTTCTCTCTGCCCTGCAACACGTGTTCGATGGAGATCGGTTTCCTCGGCGCATTCGAGGAGAGGTTAAAGGGGTTTCCTCGCGCCATTTGGTCGGACCTTAACACCCAAAAGGACGGCCGGGACGGTCTCGAACGATTATTGCACTTCGTCCTGCAATTTCGTAACTGGCGGGTTACGGCCGACACCTGCTGAGAGCACTCGGAGCCGCGTTGGGTGTCTCGGTGCTCCGATGTAAAATATGAAAATCCTTTTATTTCGTTTCATTTAACTTTTATGAAACGGGGGAGCCCTCTCGGTAGCTCTAACGAGGCACTTATTGCGTCTCTTGCTCTTCCTTGAACCTTCCTATCGGGGCTGATAATCGCGTCGATTCTCGTTTCGCCTGAGCCTGGGACACTGGCGGTCGTAAAGCCGGCTCGTAACGAACGATGCACTTCGCGATGCACTTCCTAGCCGACCTGTGAAGTGCAAACGACCGACGGACGCCTCGGGGGCACCGACATCTCGGCCGGTCGACGAAATGCACTCATAACCGCGCTGCACTCCCCTCCTCGTCGAGAGCCGGCAACTTTGGAGTTCAGAGTCAACCCAGCCTCGTCTCCACGGCGGCGAGAGAAGTGACTTCACTTGCAAAGAGAAACATTTACTCTCGTGCACTTCGGCCCTGACGTCGTCGCGTGATGCACCGGCGATGCTCGTACGCCACCAGTGGTTGCGATAATATTTGTCTTATATCTCGTACCCAACCATACGTGTATGAAATCCCAGGTCGTGGATCGTCGGTACCCTATCTGTGAAATTTCTATTGACAAAAATTGGGCATTCGTAATCCCGCGAAATTTTTAATAACACGCGAAGGGAGGTGCGCGTCAAGTGGGCAGCGAACGACGAGTCGAGGCTGCCCAATGTCAACCGCGGCTACTTAAAAATACTTAAAACCGCATTTTGACTTATACCTCGTAACAATATCTGTCTGATATCCTCGAAAATAATGATCCCGCAATAATCGTAGACAATCGTGCGGAGTTTCTAATTAAACGCGCATGTCAAGTGACGCCGACTACGGCTGACTACTACCAACCGCGGCTACTTAAAGGTACTTAAAGCTGTCTAAGGACACCGAAAGCCACCGGTTGGCCGAAGTCGCGGGGGGTGGAGGGGCCGACCTGGTTTCCGGGACCTGACGCAGTGGTCAGTGACGTCACTGGACCACCTACCACTCGGGGACACTCGGCCCGACGAGTAGTCGCTCCGGGACGTCCGGGGGTGATGCGTCGTTGCGGAGACCGACGCCGCTCGAGGCCGTCCCGGGGCGAGATGCGTACGTGCATGCCCGTCCATTACGTGCCTGCATGCCTGCGTACTTAGGTCGTTAAGGTAAAATAGGTTTAACGACTTGGACGACGCGGGAGAGTGCCAAACCGCGCTCGCCCGAAAGAGGACCGGCAACTCTACGCTCTCGTCAGGCCGCGAATTGCCACGGTAACTCGGTAATCGAATTATCGAACTTTTACTTCCGCCAACGCCGGGGATATCATTTGTGCAGAAATTGATAATAAGGGGAGAAAAAAAATGTCGGCACGTGGGAGGCGGAGAGGATGTACCGAGCCGCGGAGATTTTAACAGCGGGCAGTTAGCGCAGTTAGTCGTTTCGCTCGACATTAATGCAGATGCAATTATCGGGAATCGTAATCACGCCGAGGCAGAGAGGTTGGCTTTCTCGGGGTTCAATGGCGACTCCTGTTTATCTTACAGGAGGCACGAGCGAGAGAAATAAAAAAGACGCGTACTTCGGGACTAATTATACCGCGGCAATTTACCAAGTGTAAAATCGTTGGCGCGTCGCGACATTACGTATGCACCGACTGGATCGCGTTACCGGTTTACGTTTACCGTGGCACTTTATACTCGCCATTCTTGCGCGCGGATCCGCGAGCCTCTCGGTTATTTTATATCCCCCTGGGGCGATTTATTTTTCGCGATTTCGATCAGGCTCGATAAGTCCGAATGCGAATTCAATTAGGGCTCCGGTTTTATCGATTCCGGGATTAATATTCGAGAACCGGCGAGGCGGTCGGGAAGTAATGACCGTAAGAGCCCGCGGCTCTAAATCCATGATTCCCATGGGAACCCATGATTCGGGTCGACGTGGCTCTAAAGCTTCCCAATTCAGACCCGTTCGTTCTCCCGATTCTGCGCGAAATCGCCGACACGCTTCCTAAGTCCACCTCGGGCCGGCGTTACCTTCGAAATGGTCTCAGACTCGAGAAATGTACGGATCTGGTCCCGAGGTGGGTAATAAAATTTGCATCGATTCAATTAATCAATTTTGGAAGGAGTATTTCCTCTCCGACGCCCCAGACTACGCTTTGCAGGTAACGACTGAGTTTCGCCTGTATGTGCATTTGGTGCGAAGCTCTACCTCTTACGTTCCTCGGGCGAATCTAAGAAATTCCTCCTGAAAGGAAATTAAAGAGAAATAATTAACCGAGTCATCAAAGCTTAGCCTCGAAAGTGGAACTCTTGTGCATCCTCTAATTAGCCACGATGATGCACTTTGAGGCTCGCAGCGAAGCGGAGAGGGAGAAAAAAAAGGGAAATTGTAAATAAAGTACCGACTATTTACCCCGCGCATATATGTATTTATCTCTCGAGGAACGTTTTGCGGTCTAATTGGACGAGTAATCGAGTTCGGGTCGATAAGGAGGCGCATAAAAAATGCACGTTACGTGGGCGAGCGAGGGGAGACGGGACACGTTTCTTGGACGTACCTTCGACGCAACCCGAATCCTAATACGGATCGGTTTACTTAGCAATTGGCACTTGGCCCAGGCACTGGCAGCGGCACTCCGATGCACCGAATCCCGATGCACCGGGGCGCTGCACCTAGACCACTTTTCGGCCCCATTTTATTCCCGAAATTTCGAGGACAAGTGTCGAGAGGAAGACCGCGAAGGTGAGAATAACGTTTACGGGAGAGATACGTCCTCGAGGTGATTCCGCGGAATTTAGTGAAACTCGAGCTGCAGGGTGCATCGCCCGATGCACCGCGCGGTGTCGATACGTGCACGTGCGTACGCGAGGTATAAATATGTATAAATTTCCGCGGAACAAACGGAGATAGCGACCGCCGGTTAACGCTCGTCGCGATCTGATAAAACCGTAATCGCGACCCGGCGGAACGGACGTCGAGATATTGCAAAATAATATATTCCGACCAGTAAGAATGCAGGACGAGGGCGGCCGAGTTTCTCCCAGTCCTCCGTCCACAATCATGAACTCTGTCGTCGATTGATAGTCGCAGGGAATTTTATTTTATTATTCTATTTCTTTTTTAATTATATCGCCAAAAGTCGGCGTGCACTTGGCGCGAGACCCTGTCGACGGGCACTCTTCGAGCTTGCGTCAAAGCCGCGATATCTCCTCGACATTAACCGCCGTCAACTCGATGGTGCGGCTTCGAGAGGAGCGATTCATCCTTTAACCTTTCCTTTGACCGGGATAAAATTGCACGGAGAGAAGAAAAAAAAAGTATTAAAATGTTTTTTCTACCGCCGCTGCCGAGCTTCTTCCGCGCCTCCGCCTTAAAACCGCGAGTCGTCCCTCGGTGGGTACCCTACTTGTCGTAAAGAGACCAGGGTCGCCGAATAACGCGCTTGGCGCGAAACTCAGTCGGGTCCTGGGTTAACTTTAGTTTACGACTAGGTCGCTGTATCTCCTCGACATTTAACGTCGCCGATCCGATACGTGGCGGGGATCGGGCCCACTTAAATTCCAAGTGGCGGCCACACAGTCGACCCTTAAGCGCGTATTAATTGGCGGAGCGTGTTCGTGTACTATCTACTGTGTGTACATTAATACACGTCGCGTATCGATCCCGTTCGAGCTCGACAAGCAACGCACCTCGTCCTCGCTCGAGCCTCTCGTCTTCGCACTCCGCGACCCGATGCGTTTCCCTGCACCCGTGCACCTGTGCACCTGTGCACCTTACGTGAGAGAAAAACGTGGAAAATAGAGGGACACTCGCGATCACCAACAATTCCCACGTGTATTTATGCAGCCGCGTCTATTTATACCCTCGTCCTTCTCAGCTCCTTGTTAAGCAGTTTAATAATAACCGCGATAACGGCGAAATTAATGGGCGCATTTGTCACCCCGATTTGATTTATGCCTTCGTTGAGTTATGCCTCCATATTTGTTTTAATTGCTACCCTACCGTGAGGGAAAAGAAAATTCATTGCACCAAAGGAACGTTCCTTGGAATGGTACCGAATAAATATTCCGTTGATTCTGGTACTTTATTTCTTTTTATCAGGGCATGCGTTCTTATATTAAACCGGCAATGTCAAGGGTTCCGAGATTTCCGATTATTTCCGGGGAAGACCTCGAGAGCAGACCTCTCCTATCTCCGAGGATATTTTCTTCCCTTGGTGCACCTAGGCTTGCATCCGAGGATGCACTCGTCCTTCGGGCTGTGTATATGTTGCAACGTCTGCGTACACGTCAATTGTACCGCTTGGACACCTCCCTGGGTGCACAATGCATTTTACTCGGTGTTGGGATATTTCTGTGCCTCGGATGACAATCCTCGATGCACCCTTTGATGCAGTTCCCGAGTTTCTCCGATTTCCTTATGCACCTCCTTCCGCTACCCGTGGAGATACCATCGGAACCTCCTGGCCTCGACTTCAAATCCTTCCTGGCTCAAATCCTAACCACTGTTTCCGTAATTGCAATCACCGCCTTGGACCGTATTTCACGGAATGATTTGATGCCTCTCGCGGATTTGCCGAGGCTCGCGTGACAGCTCCTCGGCACTTCTTCAACGCGAACCTCGTCGGCTGGTTCTACGGGTTATGTAATTTTTAAGTGCGGCGCACTTTTTGCTAGTCTCGGCTTCGCGGGATGCGATCGAACGTGGGAATGATAATGTGGGGCTCGACTCGACCTTCCCCTGATAATCCCTATTTTTTTTATGCCTTCCAGGGTCGGACGGAGATAACGGTGGACAGCACCGAACGAAATGCCGTCTTCATCCGAATTTCCGGTGAGTGGTCTTACCCTATTGCATGATATTTCATTACTTCGCTCCATAAGTTCAAGGACGATTTTCCTTCGTATCGGATTTTCCTCGCGGCGAGGTCGCCCTGATAATAATCCATGGAAATTATACGTACACTTTTTGACAGATACAAAAAGAAGGAATGACTTTACAAGTTGGATATTTATTTTTTTTTTCTACGATTGTATGCTCTGGTTCTATAGTTTTATATGTCATATTCCTTTTGGGACTGGCGCCTGTTTCGCTACATTTTTCTCAGCGTGGCGGCGTCTTGGGGGATAAATAAATTGTTAAGTAACCGTGGGCAGTCTTCATTGTAACGATGTAAAGACGACGTGCACGGTGGGCACGGACATCCGGCGCCATGGTATTTCATTACCGGAGGGGTCGGTCTCTATAAACGAATTAAAGCGATACCCGACCTCTCCGGTCGCACCTCTGCGCCCACGCGATCGGGCTCGTCTTTGAGCATAACGTGTCCCGGTGTTTCTGTCACCGCACCCGGCCGTGGCTCTTGAAACTGACAGGGAGTGAACGTGTGCGACAAGGTGGGACGGAAATAGTCACCTCGGGTAGAGAAATCCGCCTATTAGCGAGGAGCTCCGTCGCGGTCCCTTAATATAAAGTGCCTCGCGCCTTGCCAGCCCCTGTGGAGTCCCGTTTCTCTCGGATAGATTTTGCAATCCCTCGTGAATGTGGAAACCACGCCTAGGGACGTCGACTCGATGGTTTTTGGGTAAGGCGTCCCGACGGTTACGTACGCCCGGCAGGAATTTTGAGAATCTCCCGAGAGGTTCGCCGGATAAAGGAACGAGGAGAGAAAAAAAAAAAGAACTCGAGGAAGATGGATAGGAGGCCTGACGAAAGTCCCGGCGACCTCGTTGGATTAGTCACGAGGAGATGGGGACGGATGGGGAAAGAATGGAAAAATCGGAGAAACGCGGGATCGAAAATAAAACACCGCCGGGAGAAGGAGGGCGAGCAACAAATGGTAATAGAAATAAATGCCGCTTATAAATAAAATCCAGTTCTAGTCCACCACCGAAGGATCATTCCCCGTCCTTGGCTCGGTTTCCCGATCGGTCTCGTTCGAGTTTTCCTCCCCCTTTCCTTCTCTCTCTCTCTTTTTATAGGTCTCCATTTTTCACGCGGGACTTCCTCGGCGACCATTTCTCGGGAGGAGTGCGTCCTCTCCGGGATGAGGGATGCTGCGCTTCCGGATCGTTTCCTCCCCGCTGAACTCGTCTCCCCTCCGCGCTTTCGGGTCCTGGGAGACAGAGGAAAAAGGGGGCGAGAAGGAAGAAAATAGACGACAATAGAAAAGAGAGAGACATTTATCACGATTTATACAAATAGATCGATCCTACCCGCGACTTCTTGGAATTTCGTTGCGCTCTCTTCGTGGTCTTCCTCGGAGGAGATGCTTTTCTCTCGTTTCTTTTTTTTTTTCCGCCCTCTCTCTCTCGCTCTAAGGATCGCATCCGGTATCGCCGTCGAGTACGTAGTATGTACCTTCCGTGGCATGCGGTACCTATGTAACGTGTGACATGTACCGAGCCCGGTATGCGGTAACATTGCGACGCGTCGAATCACCGCGCGAAATAACGGCGCCGTTTCGCGAGCTGCAACGAAATTACGAGGCGACCCCGTGATTCCACGTCGTCGGCTTGATTCGCCCTAATCACCCTTTTCCGCTTATCACGGTATAATCGGGGCGAAATAATTCCCCGGGGAATTCAGAAGCGCGACGTACGAACCCTTCTCATTTTCGGCTCTCTTTTCCCTCGGCTTCTTTTTCCACCTCGAACTTAAACGCGATTTTCCGCCTCACCCCTGCTCTCTCAAGGAAAGTGTTCCAAATGAAAGTTCCTCGGCGCGTTGTGCCGCCCAACTTTTGTCCCGGGCATTTTTTCCCCCCTCGTCCCCCTCGAGCTGGAGATTGTCATTTATCTCGAGCGCGCGAAAGTACTCCGCGCTCCGCGGTTTTACCTCGCGCCGAGGTTTTCCGCGGAATTAATCGCGATTACGTTTCACGCGGGCTCCGGATGTATCATTAACTCGGATTCCGAATTTCCTGGTAATCTTCACGTCCCATTTTGTAGGATTTTCCAGGTTTCTCGTAGGGAGTTGGCGATTGGGTTATTTTTATTCATTTTTTGTTTTCTTTTCACATATCGTTAGCAGATTCGATCTATCAGAGGGAAGCGATCGGCACGCTATTGGCACTTGGGACGGAAAATCGAACCGGAAAGACTCTCGAGGTCTTCGCTCCCATCTAGGGGTAGAAAGTCGGTCCCGTGTAACGACCGGAGCCAATTCGCGGAGGCAATATCAATGTCGATTACGTTATAACTCCTGGCCATCTATCGCCAGTTTGGTCACGGCGGCCGAGTCAATGGGGTCAGTTGATTCTCGACAATGTAGATCGCGGGAGGCCCCGGGTAACGCCGAATTTATAGAAATTCGATGGCGATGAAATTGATCAGAGTCATCGGAAGTCGATACCGGCTGAGCCCACGCAATTGTTCGCCGTTAATGACGAGTGTCCGGGAGATCCTATGCACTTTTGCAGCGACCCCCTTTCCCTATTTTCTTTTTCACGCCAATTTTTTCCCGCCGCGACCCAAGCGGAGATCCGTTTGTCCACTTAGTGAGTTTCCATTATTTATTAACGGCGAGTACAGAGGAATCATGGGATCGAGTGGATCTTCGATACTGAATATTCGATCATGTCGGGGACGTGATCGTTGCATCGCTGCACCTGCAGCGACCTTTTTCCCTATTTTTTTCACGGCTATTTTCCTAGGCTAATCCATCTCCACTTATTTTTATTTCGTCTGGTTGACTCTTTTTTAATTACTTCTTAACCGTTTTTATACAACAAGCCTCATATTACTATACCGCGAAAGGGTTAACCGGAGGCAGTGAAGGGGAATCATTGGATCGGGTGATTCTTTAAGGGACGACATTCGATCTTCCAGGGGACGTCACCGTGACATCGCCAGGATCGTTCCCTCCTCTCCCACGGGAGCCCCCGTCGAGAAAGGAGGACGCGCCGACGCCCGCGTCGCGACGTCTCTCCGAGGTCGATCGCCTCCTTCTGGATGGCCTAGGCTCGCCCGAGAGGTGCAGGCCCGGGCAATCCGGTCGATTTCTGACGATGCACAAGCGACGACGCAAGAAACTCACCACCAGGTCCTTATGCCAGGACGTCGGCATGCTGGACGACATTTTCCACGGACAAGTCCAGGTACAAAAGCTCAGAAGGGTAGCTCTTGAAAAAGAAATTGCAGCCTGTCGTTCCGAATCTAGGCACGGTCGACCCTGAAGAGCGACGCTCCAGGCTCGTCCTTCCACCTGACGTGTACAATCTTTTGTAGATTCTTGATTTTAGAAGAGTGGAGGGTAGTTTGTCAAAAGGAATACCGATTATCCCGTTTTTCGTTCGCAGTGCGTCCTGGAGAAAGTCGGCAACTGGCGGTTTAACGCCTTCACGTTGGAGTCGGTCACAGGAGGTGAGTGTCCTGGGTGTTTCGCTTGGTATAATGGTGCATGTGACGACGCCACTTGCACACGTGTCTCTCGATATCGACGCGCTGATAGTGACCAAGCTCGTTTCCAGGACGTTCGCTGCCGGTGCTGTGCGTTCACCTGTTCCACTGGTACGGCCTGCTGCAGCACTTCAACCTGGACGTCGTCAGGGTATGGAAGCTATTCAGTGAGTACGATATCTCTTCACCCCGCCAAGGCCGCGCCATTTCTGGCGGGTCCAATTAATCCCGACGACCCTGGTCCGGGACACGGGTTAAATCGGCAAAGATTCGCCCGCGCGTTAAATATAAACCGGAGGCCCTCGCTGAATGGCTCTTAATTCGTCATGGCGGCATGTATTTGTCCACTCGGCATCCGGACGTTACACGTTTCTGCCCGGGTTAGGGCCTCTTCGGCATCGATTCGATCTCCTCGGCTTTCGGTCGAGGGTGCTCGACCTCGCGGCCGCTTTTGTCGGAGCCAATGTCAATGCGAGGCTCGCGTTACCTTGACTGCGAGTGATCGGAAAAGACGGTCGATTGGTCTCCTAACGGGCCCTCGTTTGCAGCTCTGATCGAGGAGGGCTACCACAGTACAAACCCCTACCACAACAGTATACACGCCACGGACGTCACCCAGGCGATGCACTGCTTCCTGCAGGAGGAGAAGGTAAGGCTGGACGTGAGGCCGTATCTGAGAAAGGGGCACATTAATCTCACGGGGGGTTACCTGTCCAGGTGAAGGAGCACCTGAGCTATCTGGAGATCATGGCTTCTTTAATAGCAGCCGTGACCCACGACCTGGACCATCCCGGGGTGAACCAGCCGTTCCTCGTGGCGACCAGCAACCACCTCGCCGCCCTCTACGAGGTGAGTGGATGAGATATCCTGAGGAGGTATACGAATTAAAAAAAAAAAGAATCAGCGGGATGCCGTAATTTATACGCACGATCTTCAGAATACCTCCGTCCTGGAGAACCATCACTGGAGGTCGGCGATAGGGTGCCTCCTGGAGAGCGGGGTGTCCGATCAGCTGCCCCAGGAGATGAGGCCGGAGCTCCAGAGGCACATCAGCTCGCTGATCCTGGCGACCGACATCACCAGGCAGCAGGAGTTCCTGGAGAAGTTCAAGGTATTTTCGAGGATTCCTTTAGAGGGTACAATTGGTTCACCGGGTTGATATCGGCTTCCTCTGTTCAGCACTATCTGGACAACGAGATCCTGGACATGCGGCTGCCGGAGTACCGTCACTTTATCCTGCAGATAGCGCTGAAGTGCGCCGACATTTCCAACCCCTGCCGACCTTGGGACATCTCGAGGAAGTGGTCTTACAAGGTCTGCGAGGAGTTTTTCAGGCAGGGTGATTACGAGCGCCAACTTAAGCTGCGAGTGACGCCGCTTTGCGATCGCTATGCGACCAGCATCCCAAAGATCCAGGCGGGCTTCTTCAAGTTCATCGTTACGCCGCTTTACGAGGAGTGGCATCGGTTCCTGGGAGACGGACTTAGCATCACTTTGATGAACCACCTGGCAGCCAACCGGGCGAGGTGGGAGGCGATGATAGTAGCCGAGAGTGCCGAAGAAGCCAAGGCCGAAGACAGGGTCTCCGAGTTGGAGGAGCTCGACGACATCGACATTTCCGGCTACGAGGACACCACGGAGGACACGCGCAACGGCAGTATCGGTCAGATCCTGTCGGACCGTAGACCAAGTCTGCCGGTCAGAAGTGAACCCAGCCACGGAGGAAGACGCCACTCGGTTCCTCTGAGCACCCCGAAGTCCTTGTCCCTGTTACCCAGGTCGACGACCAGGCGAGAGAGTATGCCGGTGGAGCACGCGAAGCAGAAGAGTCCTTTGGTCAGGCTGGAGGACCAGAGTTCTCTGGATCCGAGCACCCTGTCTCTGATTTCCTCCAGGAGCAGGAGCAGCAGCAGGACCCCCTGCACGCACCAGGACACCTCGGAGAGGCCCGTCAGCGCGGAAAACTTAATCCCGGAGACTAGCATCGCCAGTATCACCAGCAACGCCGAAGCCTGCAAACTCAGTACCTTGCTTCAGGGCGACCGGAAGTCCAGCTCCCAGGGGAAACAGCTGACCAGACAACAGACCTTCCCGCCGCTGCATCCCTGCGTAAGGATCAGATATATGTCGACTACTGCAGAGATGTCTCAGTGCTACTCGGGGCCACTCACCGAGGCAGGGAGCACCACGAGCTCCTCCGCCAGTCCGGATCACGCGAGGAGCTGCTCGAACGGCAGATGCGGCACGTCACCTAGAAGAGACGGCGATCTAAAGGCTCCTCATCGGCGGAGGCTGGACGCCTCCATGAGGGATCTGGACCGCACGGGCAGAAGGCGCGGTTCCACCATGTCCGACGTCGTCGGCAGGGACGAACAAGGTCCGAGTCCAGACCGCGGCAGAAGACACAGTGTGCAGACCTCGGCGGAAGCTACGATCCCAGGGTCCAAAAGATCCCGCGGATTGTCTCCTATCAGTCGAGATTCCGACCCAACCCGGGCATTCTATGCTGCCCTGAGTGGCTCCGAGAATCGCTCTGGGTCCAACAGAACCGACGATCGAAAGGCGAGGGACTCCATGTCGACGACCGTGGAGACTAGCGGGCTCTCCGCGCCTCCATCCTCGACCAACGTCCAAGCCGAGGCCGAGGAAGCCCTTGCGAGACGCTTTTCCGTTCCCGTTGCCGACCTGGGGGCCATCGTCCAGGATCCGTCCGGGCGGCGCTTCACGGTGATCCCGGTGTCCTCTGAACTGAGCCCCCAGAAGGTCTTCTACGTCGGCACGCCGCCGGAGTCTTCATCTCCGAAAGGTCGCAGCAACTCCTCCAGCGATAGCATGTCGGATAGAAAAATCACTCCCGAGACCAGCGATGCCCTCGTGGCTGGTAAAAGGGACAGGGACTCGTCCAGGGACAAGGGCGCGAAGGTCCCTAAGCTGGGAGATGGTAACACCATGAAGGAAAATGTAGACCCCCGCGTGAGCGACGACTCGACCAAGGCCGTCTCGCTGACCAGGAAATGCAGTCAGGTACCGGCTATTTAGATTACCTTATTTCGGTACCCTGTTTATTTTAATTGCATTTAACGTATCAATTAATTCGCTTATTCAGGGCTGGGCAAAGAGGCGCGGCTCGGCACCTGTGGGCCTTCCGTGCAGGTTCGAGGATCTCCCGGCTTCGTCCATCACCACGAGAGTGGATCGCTATTCCAGAAGAGGCTCCGTCCCGGCGGACGTCACCGGGCACCAAGGCACGTTGAAATCGTCGGTCTCGACCTTCTCTCGTTCTCCCTTCTTGCCTAGCTACGTCTGTCCCTTTAGAATACCCTTGTCCTCTTGCACAAACTCATTCCCGAAGAGTCTTGCGTTGGAGCCAGGTCTCTGAATTTATCGCTGAAAATCACAATTCTTCGTGGAGTAAAAATTCTAAAGTCAATATTTTTAGGGTCGTATCCAGGATTTAAAGTGTGATCGTTATTTTCGCTCCACAGGCGGTGGCTCGATTCGTTCTGCTCTGGGTCCTAGAAGCGAGAACCTTCCTTCGCCAAAGAGAGCAAGTCTTCCGCAGGATACGGTCTTATGGTATCTCTTCAGCAATGTCTTTCGTACGGCAGGTGAATAACGCTGACCCGGAACCCTTCGTCCACCTCGTTGTCCCCTTCGGGTCTGTCGACGGTGCCGTTTATGAGTTTCGCTGTTAACTATTTTCCAGCGGAGCCGGAAAATTGTCCGATGAGCGGGAACAACAATAACGGCGTGAGCGATGGCAACGACACGAACAACAACAACAACGGCGGCACCAGCAATAGCGCCGCGGGTCGCATCAGCAACGGCAGCGCGAGATTCGCGGAGGGTGCCGTACCTTCTGCAGGGATGCCAACACCCAGGAGAGGGTCCGTGCCCGCCGACATATCCGAGCTCAGGCGCGACCTCTTCGGCAGGAACAGCGTGAACGGCAAGTCTCGGAACCGGAAGAAAATCCTGCGGAGAAGGAGCAGCGGCGGTCCGGAGATGTTCTCCGGGAGGACCGAGGTCAACGAAGGCAGCACTTGGCTCCAGTGGAAGAAGGAGCTGGCCAGGAGAGACTCCATTCCGGAGCCGATCGTTCGACGAAGAGGATCATTGCCCATCGAAGCTGCCGTCTCGGTTTTCCATGCAGGTTTGTACTCGAAGATCTAAGATCTTTGCTGATCCAGACCCTGATACCCGTAATCCATTCATAAACTGGAAATGTCCCTGTTAGGCACTACATCCGGTGGACGGAGGTCGAGTCTCTGGAGACTTTAGCATGCCGCGGATGCTCCTGGACCCAGTTCCAGACAGTAATAACGCGTGGCGATGACGACGTAGTCAGCATGTGGATTCTTGAGACTGATCTGCAAGTAGCATCCGAATATTGTGGAGCCGATGACATGGAAATGGCAACCAGAGGATGTTCACCTGGTTGAGGAGCGTTTGACGGGAAGAGAGGCCATAGGGTCCTCCTTGGAAGATTCTTGAGCTCGCACCGAATCAACCTGTGCCATACGAGCGACGAGTCGAGCGACCATGTAGACTCGTGAAGAGCCCTAGGATCCACAGCTGCGACCCCGACGTTGCTGCGGGTTATTAAGACCTGGAGAAATCGGAAAGTTAGTGAGAAAGAGGTAAAAATAGACTGTAGTAGATACAACGCTTAGGTCCGAAGGGTGAAAGACAAGACTGGCCAAGTAGGAAGAGAGGAGGGAAGGCTAACGACTGCGCAGCTGGACGGCTCTTGCCTGGCAGCTGGGCAGTTAGATCCACAACCGTGACGATTGCTCACAATTGTACGATCCCCGGTTCCCAGGGCTGCCGAAAGGGAGCGTTTTTCATTTCTTTCGAAAGACGCGTCCCGTTTGACGAACACGTCCTAGAACGTGCGAGCCGCAATCCCAAGAAGATAATGGCGATGCGTTCCGGGACCCTCGGGGACCGGTCTTCCCTCGGGAACCGAGGATCGTCCCTCGTCGACGCGAATAGGACGAGGCCGCGCAAACATTCCCCAGGAGAGAGATGGATAAGGAGAGGAGGAACGAAACGCGCGGTCGAGTGTACAGTCTAAGAACGATAACTGACGCGGTATGAATAATTAGTGTAATTATTGTTATCCGCCATCGGCGTGGTCACCACTGTCTCATTGTCTCATTGTCATTGTCATTGTCATTGTTCACATGGTCGTTAGTCGCGTCGTCGTTGTCGCAACAATAATGCCGAGGGTCTCGGAGATACTCAAGAACCCGAGTAGCCAGTAAATTCTAGACGTTATGCGCTAATAATTAACGGTGACCGAGTTCGCCAACGACTAGTATATATATATACATATACCCGATGTCTAAACGGCGACGTCGACGGAACCGGCGTCGCCGAGTTTCTCGAGATCGCGGGATTTCTCTCTTCGACATCTGCGACTCTTCCGGCTCCTTCGGATACTCGGGGAACCTCTTTCGAGGGAACTGCCCTCTGCACTCTGGATCTAAATCAGCGTCCTCGAGCTGGAGAGCGGCTTCGTCGTCGCGCTTTTTCCTACCGACGTTGCTCGCAGGACGTCGGGCTGAGAGAAAGAAAAAGAATAGAGGGAACGTTGGAATCACGGAGCGAGGCCAGGAACGTAGAATGTCGCGAGGACCGGAAAGTCCTCGGTCGCTTTAGTCGAGCGACCGACGAATAGGCAGTCGATAAGGTGTAACACGTGTAAGGATGTAATACCTAGTTGCGATTAATCGAATAATAAACGGTGTATGTGTCGATGTAGATTAGGAAGGCGACGACGTCCCGTCGTCGAGCGGAAGGACCGGAGAGTCAGGAACCGCGAGCGCGCCTCTTCGAATTTAACTTGCCCCGCGTGATGGCGATTCTCTGGACTTTCTTTGCCCGGTAATCGTGTCCCAGGTTATTGTGTTCACAACGTTCGATTCTGCCGACCAACTTGAGGAACCAGTAGGCCCGTTACTTTTGATCCTCTCGTACATGCGTACCACGTGTACCGAACAAGTCCCGGGGGGCCAAGCTCGAATTCGTCCTCAGATTTCTACGATAACGGAGCAATAGGTCGATAAGCGGTCACCTCGATTAAATCCACGATGCGCCAGGTAGGCGACAGGAGTCCGTCGAACGATTCTCGGAGTACGTGCGTGGATATCGTTGTTCAATTTGTGAACCGTTGCGTGCACTTCCTCGCCTAAGTGTAATTTCGTGCACACGTGTTTCTCTCCTCTAGTACAAACGTGTACGGACTGTCGATTCCCTTGGAATCTCTCGTGGAGGCCCCTTAACTACTACTCTGCCATTTTCTTAGTATCGTGCGATCGTATCTTGACCTTTTCTATTTAAGTAAGCTAACGAAGGCGACGGGGTATACGACGGGGAGGAATCCGCTCCAAGCTACTTCCCTCGCGCTGCTCTAGAAGCTTTGGCACTCTTCTCCCTCGCTAATTCAGTGTAGTTACGAGCATTAGCACGGCCATCCGTTTACCACCCGTGTATCGTTAGAGCATCCTATGACCTATGGCAATACAGACTTTATGGCGCATCGAATAGAACTTACGGTATGTCCTGGTTGTACGCCGTAACCTTATCGCGGTATACTTACCCTCGTCTTTCGTTTCGGCTTTCATCGTCTCGCCGCGTTGAGTCAAACTCAAGGAAGTGTTCTCCTGCCGTTAATTGCGATCCATGTAATGCACCCGATGTACCGCAGTCATAAGTACCGAGCAGGGAACTAGACGTTGCGTCCAAAGAAGCATAAGATTACGGTTGTTCGAGGACACTTGACAATCATTGGATGATTTTTTCCTGATTGAAAAAAAAACTTGTAAAAAATCAACTTGACGATAGATTAAGTAGTCCTCAGACCGATCGTCCTTGGGTTAATTTATCAGCCAGAGACGGTTCCATGATAGCGAAGCGAAATGGGAGTCCACTGAAATACCACCAAAGTCCAATGTTCACTCAACTTTGGAATAACTTAACCCTTCGATGGATCGACCCTTGCAACTTTACTTTTTAGTTCGGATGTACCGTAGCCTGGAAAAATAATAGTTGCGAGTGTAATGTATCACATGGCTAAAATCTGGCGTGTTCCGTGGCCGAATTATCATCGAATTTATTCCTTCGATCGGAATCTAGTAAAAGTACTGTCCAAATGGCGAGTACCTTGCAAAGTGACCAGCCAAAGGGCTCCGACTCGAGGAAATATCTTCGATGAAAATTCGATCACCGAACACGCTGTCCCGCTGCATTGTAATTATCGCGATAAAGTGCACCAAAGAAGGTGCAAGATTAGACACGAGAGGAGTCAGAAAGGAAACGCGCGATCAATCGTCGGAGTTCGTCCTTTCGCCCTCCCAGGGCGGGATTTTGAGGTTAAAGGACGACCGCCGACAGCCTCGTTGGGTCCAACCGCTGCCCCGCTGTTTTTCGCATTAGTCGAACGTAGACTAGCGATTTGATATACCCGAGTTAGCGAGTCGAGTTTTCCATTGGGTTTCGAACGGCTGTACCTGATTAATTTTGCGAATTGACGTATTCGCGACCGACGAGAGCGATCCCTAGGACGATATACACATTAGAAATTATGCGCGAACGAGAGGAGGAGGTATGTAAGCCCGTTTTCTTTATTAAAAAGATTCGTCAAACGTTGTATGGTGTGGTGCCCTCCCCAGGTAATTTTCAGGTCCACGATACAAAACTCGTTAACCTCTTTTTCGCTCATACATACATATATTTATATATTTAAACATCATTGATACATTCGTATGTTTTATCAACTAACGAATGCGGGCCGAAGCAGGACTGTCAATTTCTAAACCTCGAGGCGAGCGAATAAAATATCCGAAAATCTTGTGGAACGGTTGCGCGCCTTCGGAGGATTTGAATTTCCCGCCGGCGGCGCGTCGAGGCAGCCGCGCCAACCTAACGTCGGGCGAGCGCCGTTGCGTCATATCGCGCGGCTAGCCGACCGTCGCTTGGATATTCCCTCTCGGGGACACGTGTCGCGTCGCTTGAACGTTCGAGCCTGTAAACATCGAGTGCAAATCAACCTAGAGTGACTCGGCGCGGTCGCGTCAACCGCGCGGCGGTGGATCTCGGCCCGGTTCAGTGCGTCCCGTGCGAATTCGTGCGCGCCTCGCCAGGGCAAAATGGCGTGCGAGAGAGCAGAGCCTACCAGCGGAGTTTTAGGTTAACTTCCGCGGACCGGAGTTGGCGCCAGAATTTCCCGTGCTGCGGGCCTGAAGTAAACAAACGGCGCCCGCGTGTCGTGGATTCCTCGGCCTCGGTTACATGAGTTGCGCGGACGGCATGCCCGCAGGCGGTAACGGTCGCTTCCGTGGTTACCCAGCGCGGATGTCCGAGCGCCAGCAGCTCGCGCTTCTCCTCCAAATGACCTCCCAGGAAATGGTATCAGGTGAGACCGCGAGGTGCCTTTATCGATCCGAGCCCTGGCCGCTGGTCTGTGGGGATCGGATTGGCAAAAATCACGGCGCAAAGCCTTCTTCGGGAGGTGCCTGTCATCGCGGGGAGAGTCCCCGGACCCGCGGACCCGACGCGGGTCGTCGGGTCCGCGGGCGACTCGAACCTAACCTAAAATGTCGACTACCGCGGCGCTCGTCTCGCCTCGCCGATCTCGAGCAGTCGAGTCACGGACCCGCGAACGTTCCGTCGCGGTTCCGTCTCCGTGGCCGCATGACTCGTGTATGTTTGTCCGCCGTTCCCTTTTTGCTGGGGAAAGCGGTTATGTGTGGTTATGTTTTCATCGTGGACGCGCGTGTTGGGGCATTCGCGCGCGCGCAAATGAGATTTACAGGTTCCTGAATGTTTTTCAGGTTGGGGAAGAGAGAGAGGTAAGGAGCGGCGGCAGGTCGCGGGGTCGTCGCGCCCGGTTTTCCGTTCGGCAAAGTCGCTGGATTCGGCAGGCTTGCTCGTTTGTGGACTGGACACGTGACACGAGTGACAGGCGACTCGGGGCGACCGCCTGGATGACTCGATTGCTCTGTAGATTTAGCGCTGATTTTTCCGGATGACAGAAATTTATTTTATTTCAGTTGTTCTACTCGTGGTCGACGTCGAATAGAGCGGTATGTTTTCCCCGAGGTTAGGTTATGTGAGCGGGTTCACGTGTAAATATTTACTTTTTATAATTTGCGGCCGCGAATGAGAGAACCTGAGAGATTTAGAGCAATGGCGGCTCGAGAGACTGACTGGCAGGCAGGGCTGCCAATTGGAGTGTAATTCGTAATTTTTCTGTAAACAAGAGTATCTTGCAAAAAAGAAAAATATTTACCAAGAGTTGAATATTTTTTGAAGACAGAGGGAGAATTTGATTCACAATTTTACATTCGACTAAGCTTTAATGGATATTTGTCATTTTTCCAGGAACGGCTCGTTCTGAAAACAGCACGCAGAGTTCATCGAAGACGGCGATACAACATCAGCGCGGTGCCAAGAGTCGATGGACGAATAAAAATGGAGAGCCTGCCGTGCATGGAACGACAAATCGGAAGGAAGAGTTCCGTGTTGGGCAGTTACCGAATGGCTACGACCCTAATACCAGGGATGCCAATGGTACGTCATGGCATAACTTTCTACAGGTTCGATTATCGATAAGATAAAATGCTTCCATGCATATCGGCACGGATCCTGGATCAGGAATAATCTTATCGCATCCCCAGAGTATAAAATTGTGCCGTCTTGACATCTAACGAACCCTCTTTCCCCAAAGTCCCTCTCCCTATTCGCTCTAAAATAAACTCTATATGGTCACTTAAATGTCCCTGATCCATGCCCAATAACAAAACAACCATTATCATAAACCTCGACTGATAAACATTAATCGTCAGTCGTCTATTAAATCTTTCAAGAAAAGCGGTAAATCTAGTTAATTTGGAAACCGTCCAGATTTTCTTGTTTTCAATTGAGTCGCGGGTAGCTTCCAAGTTGACGGGGGCGCCGGTAGATGGCGCCAGCGGCGCGTTGATCGCTGGCTGAGTCGGGCAAGAGAAGCAGTAGCGCGCGACCACGCGCGGCAGAGAGGTGGAATTGGCTGCAGCTTCTTCCCGTAGCCGTTCATAGCGTAGTGCCGTCTGGTGCCGGAAATTCGAGGAGGAGGCGCGGACATGTCCGACTAAAAACTCGAAGGAGACTCTCGGCGCTGGTTCGTCGAGTTCACGGGCGTCCGAAGCATCCTAGAGGCCGGTTCTGAAGTCTCCCGGTCGAGAATTAATTCCTAGCCGTTCCTAACGAGCCTTTCCTGCGGCGCTTCGACATGTCGGGGTCGACCTCGGTCATTGGTCTGCTCGGCACGTTCCGCGATGCCTCGGTCTCTCGCAATCGACCCACAGGATGTGTCCGCGCCGCCCTCGAGATATGCACCCGTCAAACCGAGCCGCTGTGAACTCCCATGAGGTCTGTGCCGTGCATCCTCCGCGTCCCTGTATCCTTCAAAACAGCTTCTTTCCCGTGTCTTTCCTTTGGACGAAAATCGTCGACATCGCGTAACGAGTCCTTCCTCCGTCTTGAGCCGGCACTCCTCGAGCTCCTGGAAGACGAATTAGTCGCCCTAACGCACAGTTTTCAAGGTACCGATTACCTAAATCTATTTCATTGGCTCCGTCAATCCCTGTACGAGCATTTTGTTTCAAGAGGTTCTCTTTGTGACGTTTCTTTCCATTCGTTGCAGACAGCGAGACAGCGAATGCTCCTGGCGAAGACACCACAGCTGGCACCAGTCCAAGCTCTGACGACGAAGGAGCAGCTCCTGCGACGAGCAACACCTCGGGTTCTACCCCTGCGACTGTCTCCGGCGAGCAAGAATCACAACAACAGCAGTACAAGGACTCTCAGGAACATCATCGGCATCAACAACACTACCAGCACCAGCTGCGTACGTCGGGCAGTACCAGAGCCACTACGCCTCCTATCGTCGAGGACGGTGGAGCCCCCTGTGAGATGCGGAGGACACCACCGCAAAACAAAGGTATATCCCGGGGGGTTATTTATTCTTCTGGTTTTCCTCACGTGTGGGGGACTAAAAAACATTTCCACTCAAGCAACTTTATATTTTCCTCTCCAATTCAACGAGCCGCTCTGACACTTTGACATCTTCCACCTGCCATACTCTTTCTTTTCGATCCATTGAGACCCAGTTTTAATTTCTAGTCTTAATTTAGCTTGATATTCTTTCTGCCTGACGCCAAAGGTACTTGTATTTATTATGTACCTATTACATAATTGTCTCCTGGCGGTCGAGCCCGAAGATCGAAGCAGACCTTACCGTCCCTAATGTCAATGTCGGCCGGCCTGCCATGTCAAAGAGTCCTTTCGCTTCCCACCGTAATAATGCGGCACATGTGTCGTGCATCGTACGCCTGCGGTCGACGACGCCGCACGGGGCGCTACTCGGTGTGGTTTAATATCTATATACATGCGCGGTGCACTCGCGCCGTCTGGCCGCACCGGCTTATTATCGACGAGCCCCCCGATTGGCCGGAGATAATTAGACGATGTTCCACTGGCCGGCGCGGTGAGGTTAGGTCGGGACGAGCCGGAGGTACCCGACCACGGAATGCTCAATGGGGCTGGAGAGATGGCTATCGCAGGGCCGCACTTACCAACGGCTCCAACCTGAAAGTGCACCGTTCAGAGGAAAACCGGACGAAAGGAAATTGAGAGTGCAATCACCTCCCATGTAATCTCGGCCCTGACGAAGGGAGCTCCGATCGGACGACCAGGAGGGGAGCCTTGAACGGAGCGAGGGAAAAGACGAAGAGGCGACTCGTAGAACCTGCTGCATTAGGCGCACGAGCTTCCTGATCTTCGTTTTTCTCCCTCCTTCGCTTCTGGCGCGGCAAGGACCGATGATGCGCGTGCACGTATACGAGCCTCCTTCATTCCCTTTTTTTTTTCTTCATCACTGCCGGCCAATCGGCGTGCATTCTTATGCAAGAACAAAGTGTCGGAGCGGGGTCTCGCCGTGTCACCGGACCATCCAGCGTCGCGCCCCGCCGGCTCTTCCTCGGCCAATGACGTCGCGCGGCGCGTGGCTCCCCTTATATACCCCCCCGGCCGCTCTCTCGCTCGCGCTTCCGCGCCCCCTATCCTTCCGTCCTCCTCGGCGGGTGCGCGCGCACCGCCCCGACCGGCCACGAGTCCCGCCCGCGCGACTCCGCGGTACTTCTACCGTAATTGCATCAATCGGGGGTAATAATAGCGCCCGATGCACTACCGGCCCGATGTTAAACGACGATACGACATTCCCGAGACGTGACGCGTGCTCCCCTTCCCGCGCTCGCGAGATAGTCCTCTTCTTCTTCCTCCTCTTTTTTTTCTCATTTTATTCATTTCCCCCGTTCCCGCTTCCGTTTCGCTCGCGCCTACGGAGAACGCTCGCAGCCCCCGTGGACCGAGCGAGTTACTCGCGTCGCGCGGATCAGCCTCTACGCAGTAACGAGTTAAGCGGAATTACGGCGCGACTGTTGCGGGCGAGTCTACGAGGTGATGTGCCACGCGCGGCAAATTATTCCTCCCTCGGTCTTGGTACACCGAACGCGGTCTTCCTTCGGAGTGCGCGGGTGTTCCCTCGTTAACCCTTTTCCCCTTTCGAAAAACCCGATAACATATTCGACATAGTCACGGCTTCGTCTCCTTGCCCCTGTTCGCGTCACGTTCCTAGGATATTCTAAAATGTGTACACCTTGTCGAATGACTTTCTCGGATATCATTTATGAAATCTCAATATTCTCTTTTCCTCTTTCAACGGTGTACTTCAATTTCCAATCGCCCGGTTTGGGGAGACACCTGCCTCTGGCAAGAGATATTCCGTGAAAAATCGAAAACGGCCGCCCTGAGGGGGACGTCGCGACGTCTCGGCGTGCCGGGCCCGACTCGCGAGTCCCGTTAGGCGCGCGGGCCCCGTTCGGGCCGAGTCGGGGCCCGAGGCCCGGCGGGGACCACGTGGTCCGCCAGCTCGGGCCGCTCGGCTCGACTCGGCGGCCGCTCGGCCGACCCGGGCCAGTCGGGCCCGGCGAGCCGCGCGAGCTTCTCGGACCTCCGCGCGCCCTCTTCTCCCCTCCGTGTTCGGCGTCGTCCCCGTAGTCGCCGGTCCTCGCCTCTCCTCGGCGGCCCCCTTGAGCCTCCAGGCGCGGGTCGGACGCTGCGCGCGCCGCTGCTTTTCCTGACACGTCGGCAATACTGGCGCAGGGCCTTAGTCTGGGAAAAGGGCCCATCGCAGGGCCAACGGCCGCCGACCGCTCGCGTTCCACTGCCCCGGATCGAACTCGGGCCCGTTGACCGGTGCGTGGACGGAATGTGCGTAGAGAAGTCTCGCGATCGATCATTTAATAACTAAGCTTTAGATAAATACACAGTGTAATAGGTGCGAGATGTACGATATCCACGTGAGAGATCTATGTCCAGCTGTACCATCGCTGATACCCTAGATGTGCTATATACCTTGTATTCCATTTTTTTTTTTTTTTTAATATTTCCTCGTTTACCGTGGTTCTTTTTTATGTTTCATTGAGGTAGACCCGGAGTTCTCGGTCTTACGTTTAGACCGCTTCGGGGCGTTCCGGGAAAGGTGCGGCCCCAGGGGCGCAGGCGAGGAAAGGAACGCTGCAGCCGAATATCCACGAGGCAGACGTTGGTCGCGGGCTTCGGACGGGAAACGAGTTCGGTATCGAGGGCGGCCCTGATCGGCGGGCTCGTAAAACGCGCGCGACCGGAAAACTCCGCTCCCACGATCGACTACGGCCGTTTGTTTGCCGACAATGTCGCTCGCGGTAATGAGAGAGCGCGAATTGGAGAAAAATGAGGGGCCGGGAAGAAATAGAAAACGAGGAGAGGAGTCGTTAACTGCGCCGGATCGGTTATCGCGCGAGCTGGAAACCAGTCCCGGGCGCTCTCGAGCAGGCGAAGGCGCGAGTAAAACGCCCGGCGACCTTGCACCTTCCCCCCGCGGCTTTCTGCAAATTCCCGGCGACTTCTTTGCGGATTCCTCGACGAGGGGACCCCCGCGATCTCTTCTACACCCGCCACCCCCGGCGAGCGAACCAGAGACGGCTACGGCCTTAATCCTCGTCGCGGGTATCCCTATCATTTCTATAGATTGCACGATTTCTTTTTTCTTTTTCCTCCGAATTTTCCGCGTCTATTGTCTTTTGAGTCTCCCACGGGTCGTTCACTTTTCCTCGGTGTCTGGTTTATTTTCCAGGTCACGCCGGTTGTCACTTTTCCTCCGCTCTCGTGCGGCGGGGATTAAACGATGTCTTTCCCCGGATTTCCCACCTCGAAAGACTATTTACTCCTCGAGCCCCACTTTTGACCGGGATTTTCACGTTGTTTGTCCGGTCATTTAGTTTCCATTGTTCCTTCGGTCCGTTTAGAGGGACTTTCGAGCCCGGTATTGTGGCGCTCGAGGTCCTGGCCGATACGTCCGACATATCGCCGTGCCGATAGTACGTTTATTGCCGCGTAATTTATCGCTCTTTGTCCACGCGCGTGATAATATTCGTCTTCGGCGGGGCCCCCGTCGCCTTCGTCGTCGGCGACCTCGCCTCTCGGCTGTTCCCTCGCGGTCTCGTTACCTAACAATAGGCACTCCCTCGAGCGGCGTTCCTTTGAAAGATCGATTTTCAGGCGATGCGGATCGCGCGTGGGCGATTACCGCGACTCCGCGCAGGAGGCTTCGTGCCTAATCGCGAGGTCCCTCGGGTTTTATTATTCATTATTAGTGACATCGGCTCCTCCATTTTATTACATGTCATTAGGCATTGTCTGGCTCACGCGCCGGGCATTTCCCCTCTTCTACGATCGACAAGACGTTTCTGTTTTTTTTTTTTTTAAACAATTTTTTTTTCTTCTACTCCTTAGAAAAATTAGGTGCCCGTCACGCACGTGGGAAGTGGAGCTTCTAAGCTGAAGGGAATTTATTATTCGGTATCTATATTTTTTAGAAATGATTATTAAGGATTTTTTGCGCGGAACGTATTTACTGGGTACGTAGGAAAATAATATATACGCGTCGCGTTAATTTCTCGCTCCTTGAAGTGCGAAATTACGCTTCCGTGGTGCGGGAAGTTTCACTCGGGAAATTAATCGACCGACCAATCCCTCGCACATCGACGTCGAAAGAAGGTGAAAGAAGTGCCCGATATAGATTCACTCATTCCCAACGAGTGTCGAGTCGCTCTGTCTTCGACACGAGCACCGGTCGAGCCTTCGCCGTAACCTTGGGGAGCAGTTTCAACCTGCAATTAGTATATGAGACACGAACGCAACGTGGGTTAGGAACGAGGCTCGATTTCGTCCGCAGCTACCATAGATATCTCGAGAGAAAATATGCGCGATTACCGCGAGCCACGATAAGTTCGCGTCTATTTATTTTCTTGCGAAGAAAAAAAAGTTATGAATTTCTATCCTCAATTTTAAAATATATATTATAATAGATGATTTCTATGAATTGCCGTACTAACGATAAAATATGATTCAGTTGACAGATCGGGATCGGGCCAGTCCGGAAGCTCGCCGCGGGTGACCCTGCGGCTCAACCAGGTGCGGAGCGCGAGGGATGAGAAGAAGGGCACCGGCAGCCGCCAGGTGAGCTCGCACACCCCGGGCCCCATGGACGGGTCCTCGAAGACGTCGTCGGGCCCCGCGGCCCCTCCGGCCTCGGGCCCGGCCAGCTGCGGCGGCGCCTCCGCCGACGGCGGCGACGTCTACGAGTTCAAGAGCTCCAAGGAGGCGACCCCGGTGAGGGGGGCCAGCTCGTCGCCGGTCCCCGAAAAGGACCGCGAGGGGTCCAAGGCCCAGTCCGGAGGGGGCGGCCAGGGCGGGGGTGGAGGCGCCACAGGTGGAGGGACGGCCGCCACCCCCGCGGCCTCTTCGGACGCCGCGACGCCGTCTTCGGGGGCGGACGACGCCGCGGTCGCCGCCTCTCCCTCCTGCGGCAAGAGGGCCTTCGAGGGCGACCCCGTCGACGAGCAGGACGAGGAGAACCGGAGGAAGAAGAGGAAAGACTCGGAGGGCACCAAGGAGGGGCCCAAGGGCGCCGCCGGGAGGCAGACCACCGGCAGGAGCGGCGCGGGGGCCGGGGAAAAGGTAAGAAAACGAGGGGAGAGGGTTGGACGAGTATATGTGGACCTGGTGGAACGATTTCGTCGGTAAACATTTCTTGTCTCGATTCGACAGTGCACGAAGTCCGGGAAGCAGGGTTCCGGCGCGGTTTCCGGGAAGAGCGGCCAGAGCCAGGGGATCTCCAGCACGGACCGGAAGAGCCCCAGCTCTTCCGCAGCTTGTGGGAGCAGTCCGAAGCCCGTGAACCCTTCCGGCTCGACGAACTCGAAGACGGCGACCCCGGGACCTCCCGAATCGGACGGCGAGGACGATCGTTCGAAGAGCTCCTCGGATTCGAGCTCGGCCCCGAAGGTGCCGCCCCTGAAGATCGTCATACCCCAGAGCACGGTGTCCGAGCAGGAGCAGGGCTGCAGGAACGGGAAGAGCACATCGAATCGGGGACATCAGTTGCCCTACGTGGTGGCCAGCTCGAACAGCAACGATTCCACGGACAAGGATCAGTCGCAGACGGCTAGTGGCACGACCAGCCCCGTTGACGGTGCCACTACTTCAAAGGCAGAGGACAAGAAGGACTTCAGCGGGGCTCTGCCCGGAGAAGAAAGATTCCTGCATTACCAGAGGGTCCTCAGGAGTTCTCACAGGTCGGTCGATTCCCCACGTTCCTCTGATTTAATTCCTTTAATTGTTTCCTGGGTTTCATCGTTTATTTTTCATAATTCTATAATTTTTTTCGTAATTATTCCCGACGCAGGACCAGCAACGGTAGCAACGGATCGTCCAATCAGAAGGAGACAACCGGTGGATCGGCGGGGAACGCGAGTTACTCGAACTCCTCACCGATTCCAGCGACCTCCTCGACGGACCGGTCGAACAACTCGTCCCCTCAGCAGCAACGTCACCACTCGCCCACGCCCGAGACGACGACCACGGAGTCGAGCAAGGTCGCCACCTCGGAGTCGACCTCCGGCACCGCCAAGACGACCTCGGCTGCCGAGAAGTCGGAGAAGAACGCGGACTCGACCGGAAAGGGCCCGAAAGATGGGACATCGGAGGCCTCGGAGAGCACGACTTCGACGACCTCGGCTACCTCTGGAGGGCCGCCTGCCCCTACACCCGCGGTCGAGCTGCATCCTAGGAAGAGAAAAATGAAGCCGAACAAGGAGGCCCAGCAGGCGGCCACGGCGAACGTCGAGGCCAACGAGAACAGCAGTACCGGTCCCGAGGTGCATCCGCATGATCAGCCCATCACTAACTGCTATCAACTGTTCCTGAATATCAGGAAGCAGGTAATTTGACTCTACTTGCAACGTAGGTGAAGATAAGATTTGATAAGATAGTCTTCTTCGTGCAGATCGAGAGAAGGAGGAAGGGTCTCTTCCCGGTCCAGCCGAAGCCTCCTCAGGGTTTCAAGGACTACCTGATGAACCGATGCACCTACGTTCTGGCTAGCAACGCGAAAAAAGAACCCAACGTGAGTCCACCCGCGGGCCTTCCGAACCCCATGAAGGACCTCTACGTGGAGCAGGAGAAGGAGAGGTACCGCCTAAGGATGCAGCACGTCGTCGAGAAGGAGAAGCTCGTCCTGTCGGTCGAGCAGGAGATCCTGCGGGTCCATGGCAGGGCTGCCAGGGCCCTGGCCAATCAATCCTTGCCCTTCTCCGTCTGTACCATCCTGAAGGACGAGGAGGTCTACAACGTGATCACCCCGGAACAGGAGGAAAAGGACCGCAACGCCAGAAGCAGGTACAACGGCCGGCTCTTCCTGAGCTGGCTGCAGGACGTCGATGACAAGTGGGAGAAGATCAAGGTACGACTTATCGGAACTCGCTACGTCTTCCAAATATACCCGGATTCCTTAAAAACGCGAGATCTTTTATCTGAAATTTCCTCGCTCAATAATCCGGGTTATAGCGATCCTTGCTACGCGAAAACCGGCTGATTCGGAATACTCTTCGATTCAGCTTAAAAGAGCGTAGTACACTTAGTAACCGTCCTTTTTTTTTTTTTTTATTGTTGCGCTTGAGAATGGGCTTATCGAGGGATTCTTTTTTAACCCGCAGGAGGCCATGCTGCTAAGGCACCATAATGAGGCTGAGTCTTTGCACGCGGTCCAGCGGATGGACTGGGAGTGGAAGCTGAAGGAGGTCGGCCTCTGCGAGTTCAAGTCCAGGCCGCAGATAGACGTTCTTCATGTACCTATGGTGCACGTCTCGGATGACTTCGACCTCTTGCCGGCTTAGTGAACCGAGCGTTCGTCGGTTTGCACGCCAGGTTGAACGCGAATACGAAGCGAGGTTCTAGGGGATCATGCCCATGAAGGCGAACCATGGAATGGCGGTCTCGTGGGGCCGGGTCTTTCGGCGCGAGAACCGTCGTCGTGGAATTAAGACTCAATTTACCCCGATCACTTGGTACGCGTATTCAAGGCATTGATTTATTAATCTGTCGGCATAAACGACCGGGTATCGCTTTGGTGCGATACGTTTTAAATATGTGTATCGTACCGTCTTGGAATACCGGTATTTACAACCGTGTTACAGGATGCATGGAAGTCCTGCTCTACATGGCGCAAAGGTCATAGGATAGAGAGGATACTGCGTAATAAAGAGCTCGTTGATATCAGAAGGTGATTATTTTTTCCTGTTTATGTTAACTAACTTGTAAATTATTTCCTAATACTGGGTACGTGCAATTTCAGATCCACAGGTTTGTCATATCCCATAATTCTTTTGTAATGCGTGTAATCGTCAAAGTGTCTTGGATCGATGAATATTGGTATGCCTTTTACGAAGCATGACGTAAACATTCTCTCAACGAGCGGCATTTCAACATCTGCTGGCGTGAATTCAAGCTGAAATGTTAACCGAATAATTATTGTCATAGCAATATTTTGGAACTGTGTTTCAATTATACAATTAAAGTCAACATACTTTCTTTTTACGTAAAAAGATGGTATAGAGGGTGGCAATATATTTATCGTCCTTTGGGTCATACTCCAACTGAGTGACATACTTTCTTGTTATAGAATGTAATAACAAAGGTGTGGCAACAGCGAGAAGCGTAATTGAAATGGAGATACCAGTAAGTACCGCTGTACTGATATCTGAACCTATCTTGTCAAAGAAAAATGGTTGACTACCCAAAGATATGATCGACGTCAACAGTGAGAATCCTTTGACACGGACGATATGGGATGTTAAAATGCCATTGTATATTTTTATTGTTTTGTTCTCTTGTTTTTGAGTATCCGTAGAGTACGCAATTTGTGAAGTGGGTGCAGTTCTCTGTAGAAAGTAGAAAAATTAACAAAACAATTTCGTATACATAAATATACATGTCCCAGAATGTAGGGCCAATTTGTTACGTCGATACTAACTTTAAAAAGAGTACTCGTATGTCTTGCTCCACATATGGTAGAGTTTAAAACAGCAATATTCGAAAGATACTGCCTTCCTTGCCCGAAGATGCACATCCTCATTGTTAATACCATATCTCTTAACAATTATGAAAGTTCTACAGACTACCGTAACCTCTAACCATTTATAAACAACGGTTATTTTACCCTGACACTTCTATCGACGTGATTCAAATGATTTCCTCTAAATAGTAGAAATCATTGGCAACGACACACTTTATCACTTCTTGACTGATTATTGCTTATTTTATTTAAAAGATACCAAGATCAGAACATTTGTCAGAGTCTAAACCAGTGTTTTTCACCATCGCGACACAGGCAGACATGAGTTGGGCCGCCGTGGGAGCAAATCCGTTAGCCGCCTGCATTCTCCGTCGAGGGCAGCACAGATAGCGATTACGCGATCCTGCCCATGAGCAATCTCCCAACTCATCTCTGCCGTGGCTACTCTCTTCTCTGATGCTGAGTATTGCGATCAGCTGATTGGCTGGCTCTAACGGAAACAGTCTGCGCCAAGTTGCATCAAGTGACACCAGCAATCCCAGCAATAACACGCGACTGCGAATGATTGCAAGTTTAACCAATTTCGCGAAAGATGTTGCGTAAATGCTTTTACGTAGAATTTAATCGACATTAGTGGAAAATCAAACACCGGGAAGAAGAGGGTAAACGGTGTCAATCGACTGAGAGCTGCCAAGTTGACGTCGTCAATCTCTCACTTGACAGTTCACAGGTGTCTAGAATTCCAGGAGAACAGGTTGCAATCAGCTGCAATGGCGAGTTATATTCGAGGAGGCTCCTCACGCCAATCCGAGTGAGTTGATGCTTTGGACAAATAATTCTACTCTTTGATTGCAAACCTCGTCAATCGTTTAATTAAGTTTTTTACTAATTAGTAGCAAGCGTCATTCTCCTATGTGCAGTGTCTGTGCAAAAATGCATCTTGGCTAGACACCTGTCTGTTCTTTGATGACAACGCACTGTTTATGTTTACGTGCCTGGCAGTATTAATTAGAAATACCGAATATGTGTGTTTACGGGAAATATATGATTTTTTCAGCGAAACCATGGATGAAGACACGGATGGGAAGGACGATACAAAACGGTAAGTCTGTAATGACAGCGATTGATAATTTGAACCTTCAAATATTTTTTATTTGCAGAAAGTCGAGAAATCTCAGCGAAAAGAAACGGAGGGATCAATTTAATATGTTAGTAAATGAGCTAGGAAGTATGGTTAGCACAAACACTAGAAAGATGGACAAATCAACGGTGCTTAAATCAACGATTTTGTTCCTTAAGAATCATAATGGTAACTTGTAATAGAAAAATCAAATATGGCTGTTACTTAGATGTGCAATTATATCGATCGATTTTTTTATTCCGTTTTCTAGAAATTGCATTGAGGTCGGGAGCTCATGAGATCCAGGAGGATTGGAAACCTTCCTTCCTCTCAAATGAAGAATTTACTCATTTAATTCTGGAGGTAAGTACCAAATGGTTGTTGTTACTGGATCATGATAGATTATCTAATGCATCTCCGGTGATATGCAGGCTTTGGATGGTTTTATAATGGTATTCTCTTCGAATGGTCGAATTTATTATGCCTCTGAAAGCGTTACCTCGCTCTTGGGATATCTACCGAGTGAACTAGCTAATGCAACGATATATGAAATAGCCTATCAAGATGATCAATCGTATCTCTACAACGTTCTTCTAAATCCTGGAATTCCTGGGCCTAAAGATCAATGTAATATTAAAAAAGGTACGTACACATAATGCCATATTACAAAGGAACAACAATGTCAATGAAATTACATTTCTTATTATAGAGAGTCAAGTGTCTTTCACGTGTCACATCAAAAGAGGAGATGACGATCTGCAGGGGGAACCAATATATGAATTAGTTCAATTTATTGGATATTTTCGTAAGTAGAATGTTAACCAAAGATAATCATTAACCGAAACCTGCCTTAACAGTCTTTCTCAAACCAGGGACTGACGTCGATCCTGAGATGGATAATTTATTCCCCAGCAATCGATTCGGAGGATCTCTGACGTCACAGGATACTAAGTAAGCATCGACGCTAATAAATCTTTTTTTTCTCTCCGTTCAGGTATTATTTACCTGCAATCCCTTCCTTGCAGTTTGCTATTTGTAGGAACAGGTCGTCTGCAAACGCCTCAGCTCATCCATGAGATATCCATTGTAGATAACACTAAATCCGAATTCACGTCAAGACATAGTCTCGAGTGGAAATTCCTATTTCTCGATCACAGAGCTCCACCGATCATCGGATACCTTCCCTTTGAGGTTTTAGGTACATCAGGTTACGATTATTACCATGTCGACGACTTAGACAAGGTTGTAAACTGTCACGAATCACGTAAGTCAACTCAACATTTACATAATCTTCAAAAGATACAGAAGAAATGGCTCCATCTGCCCTTCGCTTTCAGTTATGCAAAAGGGTGAGGGCACATCCTGTCACTACAGATTCCTGACGAAAGGTCAGCAATGGATCTGGCTGCAGACCAGATTTTATATAACCTACAATCAATGGAATTCAAAGCCTGAATTTATTGTGTGCACTCATCGAGTAGTCAGTTACATCGAGGTGTCGAAGCACACAAGAAAGGCCAACGAGGGGCAAGAGTTTACCGAGGGTCAGGCCATGGACAAAGTGCCAACAAGTTCCAAACATCGGTCACAGGCATGTCTTGCAATTATATAAATATATATCCTACGGGATAAATAAATATCCCTCCATAACAATGCATTTACAGGTCGCTACTTCGAGTCAAGCCGGTGTACAGCAACCTGTCCACTGGCCATCGAAGCCGAGATCTTCGCGATCCAGTGACACGGGATCTCGATATCACGGAGCTGGTGAATCGAACGCAACGTCGATACAAGTTGGTTCGCAGCTGCCGAGGAACTCGCAACAGATCGGTCAAAACTCAAAATCGAAGCCAAATCCTGCAACTGACACCATGTGCGGAACCAAACCCACGTCCTCAGCACCTCGTCAACCTTCTGAAATAGACTCTGGATGTCCAACGTTTCTGGAAACTTCGCAGTACGTTGCAGCGGTTCCCGTGCAACCCGTAGTTACCGCTGCCTTCACCGCCGTGTCGGCATTACCTTCCTCCGAGGTAACGACCCCTAAAAAGGAATAATTTCTCCTCAAGAACACGTATATTAAAGAAAGTCCCACTTCAGCTCCTAAACCAACAAGGCATTGTCATGACGCCTGCGCAGAATCAGATCCAGGACGAGCTCCAGAGGAAACACGAAGAGCTGCAACAGCTAATAGTCCACCAGCAGGAGGAGCTCCGCAGGGTCTCGGAGCAGTTGCTCATCGCCAGATACGGGATTCTTTCACCCCTCCTTAACGTCGGTACCTCGTCCCTGTCTACTAGTTAGGCAATTAGGAATGATCTGTCCCTAATTCTTGCAATTTCTCCACAGGTCGGCGTGCCGTACAACGCAAATACCTGCCAGCAGACCAGCCGTTGCGTCACCAACGCGAGCAACGTCATAACGCACTCGCCATCGGCTTCTCCGGGTGTCCAGGGTGTCAGCGTACTTCCCATACCGATAACTCTCCCAGTTCCGATCGTACCTACTGAATTGTTCTCGCATTCGTTACCGGTGAACGCAATGCACGCCACCCAGGGATCGACCCTGAGTCAAGTCGTGCCAAGCCAGCCTCAGAATCAGCAACAGTCGCAGCATCAAGCGACCCAGTCGACCCAACAAGAAGGCGCCCCGGAGATGATGCTCTTCCAGGTCTGCCCGCAAGCAGAGATGATGTACACCACCATGGAATCGCCTGCAAACTCCCAGAGATCCAACGTCCATACTCGGAATTGAAAGGGCTTTTGAGCGGTGGTATATGGATGCTCTCTCGCGCGAGCCCTCGCGACTGTTACGGGTTGTATATGTCATTTTATACACTCCATGCCAAGACGTTAATGGCTCGCATCGAAAACGTCACTACGAACAATCCATACCAGTGAATTCCGGGAATTTTGGAATTTAGGGGAAACGGCGATCGAGGGAATCGACGCCGGACGTTCAGATTCGCACACACCGGAAGCAGGGTCTTTTACCGATTAAGGTTGTTCCATATCATATATCATATTCGGCCCTGATGGTGTATTTTCTACGTGGATCCGAGGATTTTTGTACAAGTGCAATATTTCATTTCGACGTCTGCCAAGCCTTCGATGTTGTGACGTATCGTTATCTTGGGTTGATATGAACGATAGGTAGAATCTCAGTTACCGGTTCAGTATGAAAGTTGGGGACCCGATTCTCGACTTTATACGGACTTTTTTTTTTTATTCGCATGAAAAACTTTGCATTGTTGCAAAGTGGAGTCATTGGTAAACATTTTAAAGCCGTATACGGAACTTTCAATTTTTTGTATTGGAAAGTTGATCGTATACTGTTGAGAATTCGGTCCCTGTTGATAGAAACAAATGGTTACCAGCCCATTCGGACGCAATCGGGCGTACATATCATCTCTGGTACATAGTTCCTTAACTTACGTCTACTTAATGTAACTAAGATGGAAAGAGAGGATCGAGGCGTGGAACGGTGGGAGATAATATATTTTATTTATGTAAACCAGAGGATGTGCACATAATCGATGTCGAAGCGAGTTGATTTATGATCGTCGCGTGTAGTCTCAACTTTTTCTCACGTAATCACGCGTGATCAATAACAACTCGCGTCCCACTGTAAATTGTTTATTGTGATTCTATTAAAAAAAGAAAACAAAGGAAATATGGAAAAGGAGAGACGCGTATTAATTGTGCTTTGAATTGAAAGGAATTGGCTCATGACTTCAGTTTGCGTTGAGCATCCATCAGGATCTGCACCTCCTGGTTGACGTTGTTCACCAGTTCCTCTATCTGGTGCTTACTGTCGATGATACTAATACTCTGCGTATACGGGTCGTATCTCACGCCGAACTTCCTGGGGATTTCCTGCGCGAATTTTCTGAAAGAAAACCTCCGGTCAAAGGTCCATGGAAAATCAACGCATTACCTATCTCGAGCGAAACCAGGAAACGGGAATAAAAAATTAATCGGCGGTTCTTACGTCATTTTTTCTTTGGCATCTTGGAAATCTTCCGCCACGTAGTAGACCGGCTGATATTCCGTGATCGGATATTTCTGCAAGGCTGTTTTGGTCGGCTCGAAAGGACGCAATTCCGGTTCTCCGCTCAAACTGTACTCGAGTTCTCCAAACGATGACAATAGTCCAGCTCCGTAGGCTTTAAGCTCTCCATTTTGTCGACAGAGACCGAATTCGACGGTGAACCAGAAACACTGCAAAGTGATCATGAAACGTCACTGCGGGCGCGCATCGGTACTCGTTAGCAAAGAAGCGAAATAATGTCGCTCTTCGGATTGGATTTCCTCCTTAGCCACGAGTCGTACAGGAAACTGCTTCTAACAAAAGTTGTTCGTAACACCATAAGCTACAACTTTTATTGTATGCACTTTTCCGCTTCACGTAGGTCCTGAGCAGGAAATCGCGCTTTTCCGGGCAGACGTACCGTTGCTAGCTTCTCGATGTACTCGTCCGGCGCGCCGAGGGAGGCAAGACCTATGACCTGGGAGAACTGCGCAAACGAGGGGTCGGCGAAGAGAGGAACATGGCCGAGAACTTCATGGCAGACATCAGGTTCCGGAGTGTAAAGCGGCATGCTGCTGTGTCTGATGTACTGCGTGCTATGGAAGACTCGAAAAGCCAGACCCGCCAGGAAGTCGCGGGAAGACAGGAGCCCAGCAACAGGGCGCAACGTGAACCCCGTGCAATCTTGGAAAGGAATATAAAACGAATGATGAAATATCAATCGATATAAAAATCGAGCCAGGCTAATCCACGACCTACCTTTCAGAAAATTCGAGATGTCCTCCAGCTGAGGGATATTGTCCTCCCTGTATCCGCAGTTCTCGATAAGCAAAGGGAAAACGTGATTGTGCTCCCTACATGCGTGCTTCGGGTACATCTCGGTGAGCTTCCTGAAGACGACTCCCCAAGTCGCAATCTCCTCCGGCGTGTAGTCGACCTTGGGAATGGGTCTACCACTGAAAGGTAAAAAGAAAATGACCCGGTATGTCCCAGATACTTTTTTGTTCGAGTGCGCCATGGGATGTAAAATAAAAATTTTACTGTTTATAGTTGTAGGCCAGGTCGGCGAAGTACTTTCGCCGAGCTCGGTAGGTCTGATCGGTGAATCCAGGATGGTCGCTGTCCAGCTCGGAGCCATAAGACAGGATCTGGTTGGCGAACTTGTCCAGGTCTCTTATCCTCCTCGGGAACCAGGGCACCGTGCCCAAGTTGTCTTTATGATTCCTGCGAATTATCATAGAGTTAATCCCTACAAAACATTAAGATATACGTACAGAAGAAATGGATATTCATTTTCGGCGTCTAAATTGGCCTCTCTACCTGGATATTATCGAGAAATAACCACTTTGGCTGTGAAGAGCCGTGATCACCGCACCGAGGTCTCCTCCAGGTGCGCACTCCACCATGAACTCATAGGAGTCCGGTTGACGAAGCGAACTCCTGGACTCTATGTGCAGCAAGTTGACTTCGTGTTTCTGCGGGAAACGATAAATTAATATCTCTCCTATTTTAGGTGCGACGGCTAGATACTCACGACGAATAGCTGAAGAACCTGGCTGAGCACTCCGACCTCATCCTGCTTCTTCGGCGAGAAGATCAAGCACGTGCTCTTGGCGGAATCCCGACCTTCCTTTATGTAGTTCCCACCGTCCATGAGCTTCGGCTGGAACACCCGCGGTACACAAAGGATTACCCGAACCCACGAAGAGCGGTCTAGGAAAAGGACCTCCACGTGGACATCGACGCATTACGACGTTCCGGGATTGATTGATCGCTCTCGACTCCTGTCTTATAATTTCTGCACCCTTCCAACTCGCGACTTTTCCTTTCTGCTCCCCACTATGTCGCTTCCCTCGTTCCTCTCGAATATGCACGGCAGTTTCCTCGGTGTCGAGGAAGAAATATACATTTCGGTCTCGGGTACGAGGAAACCGTAGAGTTATTAAGCAACGCATTATCAATCCTTTATTAATAATTCCCCGATAATCGAGTGACGCATAATTGCGCGTCGATCCGACATCCGTTTAATCTCGAGACGCAGGAAACTGCTCGCGTTTTTATTCACCCGATGTGTAATCCATTAATGTATTATTCTATTCGTGATAAGGTGGCGTGATACTGGTCAAACAAGTCTCGCTTAGAAAACTTTTGAATCGTTTCAAATTTTAGTTAATATGAAGGCTATAAGGAAGATCCTGACACCCACGAGGTTTCAAGTTTTTGACAATTTCTTTATTGTTTACCTTTTTTATAGCCTTCACATTGACGTTGCAAAGTCTGAAATGATTTGGTATACTCGGGAGAAAAGAAAAATTGATTTCTCGGATGCCACTTTGACATCCCCTTAGCGCATTGCGTAAAACCAGTGTTAATGTAATTAAGTCGTTGTTGAGCTCCTCTGGAGTCAGTTTTTCGCCTGCATTGCGACTTCTACTCCACACTAGACATCCAGTCGAGCTTTTTCAAGATTCGCTCCTAAAGGGGCATCTTATCGCCGGCTGCGCAACGTTCTATTCTAGTAGCCCTATCGTTCCCGACTTTACGAAACCTTGTTTTTGTGTTTGCAATGTCGCTTGTTCGTGAATGCGCACAACAGGGAGATAAATCGAATTCCCCGTCCATTTTCTTTTTTACGTCCACTTTCCGCCGAGTAATTATTGCCGGCCGTTTAATCGCTAAACTTGGCAATTTACATGTACTTTTGCGTCATTCGGCATGCAGGTGTCGAGCGGAAGCTGCAAGAACAGCCTTAGCAATTCGGAGGTCTCCTTACGTCATTCTTCACTTTTACGAGCCGAGGTCGCCTCATTGTGAAAATCACCCCTGGGCTTCTTTATCTTTTTCCCTTTTTTTATTCCTCTTAACTCGTAACATAGATTCGAGGAAACTGACGACACTTTCTGCTGAGTTTGATCAGTCAGCTCTTGCGCCGAAGTCCAGGGAGATATAATGATCGGCACTTGAGAAAAGTGCTCCTTTTAATTTTCTTCACAAACCAGAAACTGGTTTTCCTTTATGGAGCGGTTGCTCTTGAAAGTGACGAGAAAGGTGCGCCGCAGAAATAAGGAGAAACTCAAACGCTTCGTCCTTAAGGATTTTCGTCGCGTTTTGTCGGCGTATATCGAGACGGGATATGAAACATCTCGCTCAAATGAATGGGATAGTAAGGATGAAGTATCGTCGCCGATAAAGCGGACATCTTACTTCCGCGATGTTGCGCCACTAATTCTGTATAATGTAACGTGACGGACAAAAAATGATTTTTATCAACGCGCGATAGCACTTAAATGACACAATGACACCGTAATGATCCTCGCTGTTTCTCTCCCCGTGCGATACACAGGAAATATTTATTATTCTTTAACGTTACACGAGAAATAATATATGCATATCGTCTCTACGCGTATATTATCTCTCGCTATAATCACCGAGAAAATTCTAATAATTAATGATTACGAGAAAATTAATCCAAAAGGATTTTACCTTATCAGGAGGAGAGCCGTTCATATCGCTCGTGAAGTTTTCCTCCACAGGAACCGAAGGTTTCATCTGAGCGTACATTTTTCCCGGCCGAGATAAAAATGGAGGATATTTCAACCACTTTGAGTAAAGTATTGAAAAATTCGATGATACGCGTTCAAACTTCAATTATCCGATAAACTCTTAAGGCACGTAATGGGTCAACAAGGCCGCTGGACGTGCACTGCTCGCTCGGCGTTTCTTGTCTCAGTTTTAATGTCAAAGTATAAGCAAATACGTTTGATATCGCTGGCGGGGGCGAGAAAGTCGTTCAGCTCCTCTGAAGCAACGTTGGGTCAATGTGTTATCGTTGCTAGCTAACGGCATTGCGTTAATTGTCTGGATCGACCAGCTCCGAATCGTTAGGCGCGTCAAGGTCAAAAGCGCGTTGAAAAATTCCAGGAGACCGTCAAAAGGAGTCCAAACATGACTCTATACAGGGAATAGCGCAACTCATGTCCACCTGCCCATTAAACCTCGTTATCCTGGATGAAAATGGAGTGGAAAAGTCCTGGCAAACTTTTTCCTACGACGCATGGTTCACTTGTAATAATTAGATGAAAAGTGGATAGCCGGATAAGCGCGTATCAGGCGCGCTGTCTGCGGCGCGTCACACACGGCGCGACGCGTCGACGCGTCACACACGGCGCGACGCGTCGACGCGTCAAGGATAAGAATACCAGAACTGCGTTTATTAATTACAATGAATTATTACGGGTAAACCAGGCACCGTAGGAATACTTCTAGAGGACTTTTCGAGTCAATTTTCGGTACGTGTAAACCTTGGACAGGAGTTCTGTAACATCCTGTATACCAAGGTACATATTAAATAGTAATATACATCCACGATGGCCCTCATCGACTAATATTAATTAATACTAAAGTGAGACAAAGACGCCTTTATTAAAACGCAAAAACGACATACGGTAGAATCCCAATCCTCGGTGGAGGTCCCTAGGTGTTCGTCACGTGAGGATGTTCCCGCAGATGTCCAGTTCCTCGGCGCGGTCCAGCAGGCTCTTCAGTTCTCTGATCTCGCCATTGCTGAGGACGGACTTGAGATCCGGCAAGATGGCCTCGGTGAGACTCAGAGAGGCCAGTTTCCCAGAGTCGGGTCTCTTCCGCCCAGGATTCGAGTCATGAAGTACATGCTTCACTCGTCCTATGTACGACTTGAGGCCTCGTTGTACAGCGACTCCAGCTTTGGAGTTGCTTCGAGGAAGACTCGGTGACTTATCCTTCGCATCGTCTTTCCCGCTATCGGCCGTTTTGGAAATCGGGGCCCTGAATCTGCTAATAGGTCGATCCTTCCCCCGTGGAGATCCCGAGGGTGTTCCGGAGGGATTTTGCTCGTCCTCGCGTCGGGACTCTCCACTCAAAACGGTCCGTTTACTGGACCGACCGGTAGCAGGGCCCCAACGGGTTGTCCGGCTAGCCGAGGGAGGTCTTTCCGGACCGTCAGCGACCGGTCGAGGCGAGGTCCGAGACCTCTCCGCAGAGCTGGAGGTCCCATGGGAGGGAACGCTGCCAGCGGTCTGAGGTCTGCCAGGGACATCGGACTTGTCCATGTGGGGCTTACCTATTGTTTTACTTGGCTCGGGGTCGCGACCTCCAGGTTGCCGGTCTGTCCTGACATGCACCGGCAGCCGGGAGGACGCCTGTCGGTCGGCGGTCGCGGGCCGACTGAGCCGCGTCGACCTAACGGATGAAGCGAAGCGGTCGGACGACCCGACCAACCAGGTTCTCCCGCGGACCGACCGCTTCGACCACTCACCGACCTCGCCCTGCCGGTCCGCCACCGGCTCGACCTCGGATTGGCCGGAGCGACTCTCGGAGATGGGGAAAGTAGCGGTGGAGTCCCTCGCATCGCCCGAAGGCTGTGGTCCCGGGGTCTGGCCCGGACCCCCCGCGGTCCGTGGTCTCGACCTAGGCGTGGGGCTACGACTGCCCCCCGAACCTGCCGAGGACAGGTCGCTGCGCCATCCTCGGTCTGCCGTGGACGGTCTTTCGGGTTTCCACCCTGGGGCTCGTCCAACGGATCGTGGTATGCCGGAGTCGGTGGCGCTCCTCAAGTACGGTCTAGACTTGGCCGGAGATTCCTCCTTGACAAGGGATGGACGCTGCCCAGAGGGTAATTCGGTCGTCTTGGACTTGGTGCCGACCTCGGACGTTGCCGGAGAACTCGGTCCGTTGGCGGTCTTCGAGGTAGCTCGAGGGATCTTCGTGCCAGCTCCTTGGCGATGACCCGGAGACGTCGGGATACCGGGAGGTCCTCGGTCCACCGTGCTCTTGGGTCGCGGAGATCCCGAAGAGCACTCTAAAAATAACAATTTATTCTTATTCTTCGATACTTATTAAAAAACCGATGAATCAACAATTACCCTCGCTCTTCCCGGGTTCGTTCCCGCGCTGGTCCGAGCTACCGATCGGCGACTTCGCCGACCTGGGGCCCACCCGAGGTCTTCCTTCCCTGGCCATTTCCAGCCTCGCTCTTGGAGTGAACGAAGCCGATCTGCGCCGAGGGGTCGGCGTCGGAGGAGAGGTCGTCGGCGGCGTGGACATGGGCGTTACCGAGAACGGTCCTGCAGACGAAGACCTCGATGAACCTTCCTTACCCGCAAACTTAGATACCTATCGCTAACCTAATCGCTCTTAAATAAACCATAATACCTAGAGCGCTCTTCCAAGGCGACCCAGGGTCCAGACCGGTAGTCTCCGTGGCCTTCTCGTCCGTCGTCGGTCTTCTGGCGCCCTTCACCAGGAAATGGTCCAGAGGATGCAGAAACTCCGTCTCCTTCTTGCACATCGACCTCGTGGCGTCGTAGTACTCCTCGACGAAGTCGAAGAAACTATGGCTGTACCCTTTGCTGAGTCTAATCGCGGCATCGGACTCGATGGCGTTGAGGTGGATGGCGTTGAGGACGACGTTGCCGGGAGGCTTGTAATCTCCGTATCTCCTCCTCAGGGTGGACTCCACCAGCTTGTGGCGATACGAGCCGTAGTTAAAAGTCGATATGTCGATTACGGGGAGTTCCGCGTTGGTGGCTATGAAGGACGACGAATGCTCCAGGGTGAGAGCCGGCGGGGGGTGCGGCGCCTCCCGGTCGCCACCGACCTCACCGACCTGGACCGTCCGGCCGGTCTTGGGGGCTGCTAGGTCGACGCTGGATTTGAAATTCGGTGTCGAACAGACCGCTCGAGCGGTCGTCATGTTCAGGTTCAAGCTGGAGCTCGAGGTCGAGTCGATAACCACCGGAGCCGGATAATGCATCACAATGGTCCGATCCGGTGGCGGCGACCTCTTCACCTTGCGGCGCCGACTTTTCGATGATCTCGGCGCCTCCTCCTATGGAATTACAAATAAAAAATCACGGGCAATTGCGTCGGGCCATTCGGTCGAAAATAACGAGGGTACCTACGAGCAGGAATTGCACATGGCCGACGAGAGGGACCGCCAGGAGGACCGCCAAGCCCAGGGCGAGGAAACTCTCGACCGCGAAGGGAGGCACCGATTGCAAGGTTAAGACCAGCTTGGCAGGGGCCTCTATGTTCAGCATGACGGGAGTTTCTTTGCGCCCTGGTTCGCATAACCAATTTTGGCGTATCCTCTTTCGCGAGCTATCTCTCCATTTCCTGCGCTTGGCCCAAATTCGCGCGCCGACTCGCGCCCATTTCCGGTGCGGAATTACGGGACTACCTTTTGACGAGCAAAAAGGTCAAAAACATGGACTGCCTTGCTGCCAACTTCGCGTTTGTTGCCACGATATATCAGCAGGGTTGGGAGATTGCTCACGGGCAGGATTGTTTGGAACTTTACATGACGGGTGCCGCAGATGCACGATGTGTATCTACTAAGTTATAAACGTCTTTTAAAGTACATGTGAATTTGTCAATGGTCTTAAAGACTATAACTATTTAATCGAATTAATCGCAGCGCCATCGATGTACTTTGCTTTTTTTTCATTTTCCTACTCTTATTTATATACAAATTCAAGTTAAATTGTACAGGGCGTATGTCGTGCAGGTTATACGGGAATAACCCCAGAAAACTAGGGTGTTCGATATAAGGAACTGTTTAATTTATACAGTTACAACGTAGTCGAGAACCCTATGGCCTAAGGCAGATCAGGTACAAACCGAACAGACTTTTATTCGCAAAGCAATGGAAATTACACGTAAAAAAATAGCAAAGCAGTAGAGATTTTATTTTACCACTGAGAACAGAATCGTATCAATTTTCCTAAACACGTTAATTGCCTCCCCGAAGGCGAAGTACTAAATGTAGGGTGGACTCCTTCTGGATGTTGTAATCGGATAATGTGCGTCCATCCTCGAGTTGTTTCCCAGCGAAGATGAGTCGCTGTTGGTCCGGGGGAATTCCTTCCTTATCTTGAATTTTGACCTTTACGTTCTCGATCGTGTCCGACGCCTCGACTTCCAGAGTGATGGTTTTCCCGGTGAGGGTCTTCACGAAGATCTGCATACCTCCACGAAGTCGAAGAACCAAATGAAGCATTGACTCTTTCTGAATGTTGTAGTCTGAAAGCGTTCGACCATCCTCCAATTGTTTTCCAGCGAAGATTAACCTCTGCTGGTCTGGCGGGATCCCTTCCTTATCCTGAATTTTGGCTTTAACGTTTTCGATGGTGTCCGATGCTTCCACCTCCAAGGTTATCGTCTTGCCCGTAAGGGTTTTGACAAAAATCTGCATCCCACCACGAAGTCGAAGGACGAGATGCAGAGTGGACTCCTTCTGAATATTGTAGTCGGAGAGGGTACGGCCATCTTCGAGTTGCTTGCCAGCAAAGATTAATCTCTGCTGATCCGGAGGAATGCCTTCTTTATCCTGAATCTTAGTTTTGACGTTTTCAATCGTGTCGGACGCCTCCACTTCTAAGGTGATTGTTTTGCCAGTGAGCGTTTTAACGAAGATCTGCATGCCTCCACGAAGTCGCAGGACTAAATGCAGAGTAGATTCCTTTTGAATATTATAATCAGACAGCGTGCGACCATCTTCTAATTGCTTGCCAGCGAAGATCAATCTCTGCTGGTCGGGTGGGATTCCTTCCTTGTCCTGGATCTTAGCTTTAACGTTCTCAATGGTATCGGATGCTTCGACCTCCAAAGTGATGGTCTTACCTGTAAGAGTCTTAACAAAGATCTGCATTCCACCTCGAAGCCTGAGGACTAAGTGAAGCGTTGACTCTTTTTGAATGTTGTAATCAGATAATGTGCGACCATCTTCTAACTGCTTGCCGGCGAAGATCAACCTTTGTTGATCTGGGGGAATTCCTTCTTTGTCCTGAATCTTGGCCTTAACGTTTTCAATTGTGTCGGATGCCTCCACCTCCAATGTAATGGTCTTGCCTGTAAGGGTCTTAACAAAGATCTGCATTCCACCACGCAGACGCAGGACCAGGTGAAGGGTCGACTCCTTTTGGATGTTATAGTCGGATAAAGTACGGCCATCCTCTAGCTGCTTGCCGGCAAAGATGAGTCTCTGCTGGTCTGGTGGGATTCCTTCCTTGTCTTGGATCTTCGCCTTTACATTCTCGATCGTGTCGGAAGCCTCGACTTCCAGGGTGATGGTCTTGCCAGTGAGAGTCTTAACAAAAATCTGCATTCCACCGCGCAGACGCAGGACCAGGTGAAGGGTCGACTCCTTCTGGATGTTGTAGTCGGACAGAGTGCGGCCATCCTCTAGCTGCTTGCCGGCAAAGATGAGTCTCTGCTGATCTGGTGGAATTCCCTCCTTGTCCTGAATCTTTGCCTTCACGTTCTCGATGGTATCGGAAGCCTCGACTTCCAGGGTGATGGTCTTGCCGGTAAGGGTCTTAACGACGCAGACGCAGGACCAGGTGAAGGGTCGACTCCTTCTGGATGTTGTAATCGGACAAAGTACGTCCGTCCTCCAGTTGCTTGCCGGCGAAGATCAACCTCTGCTGATCGGGTGGAATTCCCTCCTTATCTTGAATCTTCACCTTTACATTTTCAATAGTGTCGGAAGCCTCGACCTCGAGGGTAATGGTCTTCCCAGTCAATGTCTTGACAAAAATCTGCATGTTTTCTGAAAGTCAAGAAACAACAGGTTACACACATTGTCTTCAATTCCAATACCATCGAATTCCGTAAAGCGATTTAATTATGGCTTGACATCAAGCGTAATCAATACTAATGCCACAAAATGGCCGCTCAAAGCTACGCGATAGAACAGATATCCTTGAATTTCAAATCCTAGGTCGGTTAAACATCACATTCTTCGCGAATTACGTACCTCAAGTCTTCGGTCTTAGTAAAAGAAAGAGATTAAGAAAATGTAATTACTTGCGATCAATACCGTTACGCCGAGTCTCAAAATGGCCGCCAAAGGAGGACGACGGAACGAATAATCGAATTTTACGAATTTCCCTTCGGTCCTTCACCACGTAATTTCACGAAAACCTTAATATTTCGACGTATACCTTACACGCAAAGCAGATTCTAAAATGTTTGTTGCAAATAAGAGACGTCAAGGATATGAGATCTCAATACGCGTCCTCACGCTTGGCTTGCGTCAGCCATTTTGAAATCGACTCAGCTGCGAACCATCCAACCCAAAACTCACGTCCCCAATATTCTCCAAAGTGAGGAGTTACTTCCTATCGCAAACGATCCTTGATAACTATTTTTTTTTTTAAATACAGCGCGTCAAAGACTACGAATTTCTCGTACGTATATAAACGTCGGCCTTCGCGACAATGGCGTCCACCGATGGGCGTTTTCTCGAGGACAATGGAACGTCGCGATAAGCCCATACATTCATTCCGCATCTTTCGAGCATCGATTTTCCGCCCCGAAGGCAAAAAAGCCTCTTGTAACCATCGAAAATCCATGATGCGATTAAAAAAATCCACGCGTCCAGAATATCCGATTCGCCATGAAATATCGCGAAGTTAGACAAGATTTTACGAGGGAATCGTGGAATAGTTACCTGTTCTATAAAGACGTCAAATAGCTCAAAATCTCGACGCAGGCGTAAAAGTCGTGGACTTCGCAAAGAAATGCAGCTCATACGGCAACGAACACCTTTGCTCAACTGATTCGAGCCGCCTGGCAACCGCTCCTTTTATGCAGGCAACGTCACTGCAGAGATGACGAGGCAGATGGAACGTGATTGGTTGAGTGCGCCAACGGCGCCCTCTGATTGGCCGAAGGTTCGCGAATCATCGAGAAGCCCCTGTGACGTGACGCGTCCCCATTGGTCCATGAGACAAGGCTTCTGGAAGATTCTTCCTAGAAATACTCCTTCCACGAAGGGCACGATGGACGAAACGGTTTTCGAAAATAAGTGGCCTTCCATTACACCGAAAATCTTCGTAATGCCATCGTTTAAGTAGGTGCCTTTTCTCATCTCAAAACAAGTCAGTTACAGAATCACATTGTCGTATATCGTATAAAAATCAAAGGCAATCGGTTGTCAAAGAAGGAAATCGTTTTCACTGATTTCCGAAGTAAACAGCCCTACGATCGTCGTACATGATGGGATGCGTTCAATTCCCGTACTTTTTTTTAAATTTAATCTTTATTTATTATCAAGAATTGATATTAGAACTAAAATATAAAAATGAATTGGAAAGGAGGAAAGTATTGATCGTCTGCCACTAGAATCGCATTACTCACAACCAGGTGACACGTTAAAAGGTGACGGTGATCGAAGAGTTGCTTTCCGTATTTTCCACGGCAACAGGAAATGCCTGATGCAATCACCCCTAGATTACAGGTACATTTGAGAAAGCGAAATCGCACCTGCGACACGGGACAGGTTTATCAGATGTCATTCTAGTCTCCTTAGCATAAAAGTTGGCCTTATCGTTCTTTGTGCCTCGAGCGAACCGTGACTCAACGCTGACAAGGCTGATTTGCGCGAATCCAAGAAAAGTAGAAGAGTCGTCGAATCGTCGCAGCGACCAGTATCAAACCGCTTCGATGAGAAAAACGGAGCCGATGTCATCGAACCTGCGTCAATCCGCGTGGGAATGGAAGCGAAGTGTTTACCGGATGTCCTCTAAAATTAGAACACACCTGGCCTTACCAATCCTCAGATCACAAAAATAAGAAAAATAAGCTCTGCCTCGTCTTCCCAGAAATTCGTGCCACGTCTGTATATTTAAAAACATCTTGACAATGAAATCTGTTCTTCCAAACGTTTAAGCATTTTTTCAAAATCCTCAATGCATAAACGGCGCTCATTTTTGAGCGCTAAATAGAAATGAAAGAACCAGCCAAGATATCCAGGCGAACCGATGAGACTCCCCAGCGTACGTTCGGTTTCCTTTATTTCAATGACAATTTCAAAATACAACAGCAGAGTCATGCATCGTGTCAGAGAGAACTCAATCAGCAACGCCGGCCACCCGCCAACTCCCTGGTTGTATCTAAACGCCCGATAAGATCATTTTCGCGCGTCCTCGCCATCGCTACGATCGCGCCTCGTTTAAATAGGATTTACGACGTCGGTTAATTCACGAGAATTCCTAGGCGCGTGCAACGACATCTCCGCGGCTAACCGAAGATCGTCGTCCCCGGGGGAGGGCGCGACCCTGAAGAAGAATAAGAAGAAGGGCCACGGCGCGCCCTCGAGTCCACGCGTCGACCCCGCCGCCATTTCAAACCTCATCCCGACGCGGCGGCGACGAATATCCGCGCACCGACGTAGCACTACACACGCACTCTCTATTTCGTCGCACACACGCACACGCATCACACGTACCACATCGAGTCTCGAAATACAAACTACACGACTACGGAGAACCTGGAGATGGAAACTTATAGATTAAATCCATCGCGGACCGAAGGTCCCGGGGGCCCTCCGCCCCGGGAAAACAACGAATAGGAGTAATCGGCGGATAATCGATCCGAGGATTGGTTATACGACTCGATGCGCTTGGCTCCCCCCTGACGAAGGACTACCGCTCAAACTAACCGTACCAATTGCCTGTTCCAAGCATCCTCTAGCTCCGAGGATCATCGAAATGTAGTCTCTAGCCTCTCTCTCATTCTCTCTCTCTCTCCCGCGACGAGAGGTGCATTTCCGTCGTCGCGGAGGCCCTCTTCTCGCGTCTCCGCGTCGAGATCGACCGTGTCCTCGTTAAAATCGGTCCCCGCACCACGGCGGAGTCTAAAAACTCTATCGGAGTGATCGAATCGATGCACGATCGACGTCACCTTACGGTGGGTGGCATCGATCGGGCAGAGATCCGACGAATCCTCGCTTCTAGAAACGTCGACTGAGGGGTACGACGCGAGGATCGAGGACCTCCCTACGTCCTCGGTTCTCCCCGAGACCACGGGGTATATACCTAGACATCTCTCCGCGGACACGCCTCCCTTTTTAAACAAGCAATTGACACCAGGGAAAGAGTTTCTCTTACGTTACATAAGTTATGCCTTAATCGGTAAATTGAATGTGTTTTGGTGGGTGGGATGGGTCTCTATTTGGAGTCCGTCTCCATCTTGATCTCCTCGGCCTTCTTGTCCTTCTTCGAGGCCTCGCTGTCGGTGCCCTCGCCGTTGCTGTTGTCGCGCCTCCGTTTCCTCGCGAACCCTCGCTTGTACTTCGGGGGCGGTAGCTGCTCCATGCCGAGGACCTTGTGGATCTGCCGGAAGGCGACCAGTCTCAGGGCGTGCTGGGCAGACGCCGTGATGTCCTCCCTCTGCTGGGCGGTCATGTTGCCGATCGCGTCGACCGGCTCCTTCTCGCAGGGATCCAGGAGACCTGCGCCAATAATCAAGCTTTAAAATCCTTCCTGCGCTTCCTCGGGCCAGGAATTATTTCCTCGATGGAAGATCAGTCTGCCAGGGTCGTCCTCGCGAAGCCGCAAAGTCCACCGACGTCTCGAGGGCCCGAAAGACTCGGCCCCAAGAGCCTGCCAGCAGATTCGCGGACTCGCTCGGTCTCGTCATCTATTTTCATCATTTCATGGTCTCGTAGCCTCGATACCAAGGTGGATTACGTTGATAATGGTTTACCTGGACCTCCTGGTAACAGTATGCCTCCGGCTATGCACTCCAGGAGTCGCCTGAGAGCTTCACCTGGGCTGGAAGGCCCCCCGGCCGTGCTGATCACTTTCTCGGTCAACAGTTCCAGCGCCTAGGGAACAAATTGGTATAATTAGAGAAAGAACCAACCAATTGTAATAGAATTTGAGAGAAAACCCAATAGAATTAAGGAACCAATAAAATTCAATGATCACGTACTCCTTTAAGTGGTACAAAAAAAAAGATGGGGTACAACTTACCCAGGAGTTGAGTGATCCCCAGGTGGGCACGCGATTGCAGAGATCGTTCATTATGCGAATCACCATTACGCAGCTCTGCAACGTCGTCGCTCTAGCCTGTCGAATTACAATCCCGTTAAAAAGCCGTGGACTTTCTACCCGTTGTTAAAAAAAATCCGGCGAGACACGCAATCCCTTCGGGTGGAGACCATACTAAACATAAGCTTGCTTTGTGCGGGCTTTAGCTAACCTCCCAGCCTCGTGTCGCCTAAATTAAATATACAACATTACCCTTCTAACTTTGAGCCCGTATCAGTATTACCGGGTGTTTATCGATCGTGCCTCGACAATCTCGACAAGAAACGCACTCGCGGTTCCATTACGGGAAACTACCACACACTGCTAGGGGAAGAAATAAACAAATCCGCGTAAAAGCGTTGAACCGCCATATCTCGCGTTGCGGGACGATCACCTTGTCCAAAACACCCGGTAGGGTCGTGACACAACTGTGCGTTTGTGCTCGTCTGTCTCTCAAGATACCCATACACGTAATAAAACCCGAAAGAAAGCGCGTAGAAATAATCAACTGCGTATACAGAGGTCTTGCACGACGACAAGCCGTCAATAAGTACCACTAGCGACGAAGCGTCTCTCATCGACGCTCTACTCTCTCGGTATCGCTTTAGAAGACAGACCTAGGACAGACTCAGTCTAGGCTACACGCATCGTAACAAGGTCGATCCAGAATAATGCATCGGCACAACCGCAAGAGGTACATATATTCGATGCGTGATAAATAAAATAAAGAAAGGCTACGTGGAGCTCCTCTCCTCGTGGAGGTGTCAAGAAAAGCTACTCGAATGGACGCGGGGGCGGCAAGACGACCCCAACTGTACACCGCGAGGTGTTAAAACGAGGTTTACGTGGTTTCCTATTATTCTGGATGTTGCTGATATCATAGAGAACGGAGCGGACGTGAATGCTCCTGGCCGTCGTAGCGCCGACAGGCGGTAGCATTTACGTGCCACTCGAGCTCCTTGCCCGATTCGGACCATCTGATCGCATTCTCGGCATAGACCGTATTATCACGGTAATCTCAGCAATACTCTGCAAAGCCATTCTTCCTAAAGCTCGTCTCACGATGAGGCATATCCTCGACATCCCGGGACTCGACTCCCTTCCCAGTTGATCCATGGCCAGATATCACGGCGTGGGGAATAACCTCCTCTTTGCACGAATTCCCTAAAAGAAGTTTGTAATTCAGGTGTATGGCAAATGGAAAGATCAAGACCATCGCCGTTGGCCGTCCTCAGGGTGGGACACGCCAACGACTCGGGCACGGTCTACCGTCGAATGCGAGCAAACGGGCCGTGGTCGGGCCGACTCATGCCAACGTTAACAATCGACACTAATCGTAAGAAATGAACCGTCTCTCCTACACAAGGCTGGGAGTTCTGAGACTGCTCTGTTTCGCTTGTACTCGTCACTTTGGACCGGTTGCACTCGGAGACGGACGGAGATAGAGGCAGGTCGGCCAAGAGAGAACGCTGGGGATCGCTCCCCTAACTTCCTTCGAGTAAGTATATAAATCCGTCTCCGCTCGTGTTATCTTTCCTTTTCTCTCTTTCTCACAGAGCGCGCCGTAGTTTCAACAGCGGCCCCGACAACTCGGCCCTGAACTGAGAGAGTTGATTTGATTCAAACCTGAAACCACTTGGCATGCCTGAGTGCAGCTAAAGCCTCCAAACACTTAGCCTTGGGAAGTACGTCTGGTGGGTCTGGTTTGGTCACGGCGGGCGTCGCGGGCGTCGTTTGCGGCTGAGCAGCTCCCTGTTGCTGCTGTCCAGCATTATCTGAGGTTCCAACAAAGAAAGCACAACACGCTTAGACAACACTTAGAGTGTTTGATCATGCCCGGCTGTTATTTCTTTTTTTTTCTTTTCGTTTACTTTTATTTAACTCTTTTCTTTTTGCCTTTTCGTTTTTTTTCTTTTGTAAACATATCGTTTCACTTTCTCGGGAGAACCCCTCTATTGCGAGATCATCCAAACTCAAGGGTACCCGGTGTGGTGTCGCGACATTTACGCCTCGACGCGTCGACGGAGGTACTTCACAAAATGTTCGATCGGGCCTTCGAAGGCTTACCCGAGGAACCAAGTCTTACACCTCACTTTTACCGCTAAAAGACGTCTCTTATCCGAAGTCATTAAAGGGGGGCGAAAGTGGCATCTCCATGAAACTTTTCTCCAACCTGGGTGCACCGAATAGTTTCAAACATTCAATAAAAATTCAATATGAATAAAATCATATTCAATTTGTGAAGCTTGAAAGAACTCGGCACCCCCCCATTCGGAGGAAATCTTCACAAACGAGAGTATTGGCGGCACTTCCGCATCATGAATATATAAAAGACGTATTTTATCGTTAAATGTGAGATACAAGTACGAGAGTACGGATCTTGCCCACCAACCTCAGGCCCTTCCTCGCAAGCTGATCCTCTCTCGAGAATAAAATTCAACCCTTTGCAGACCACTCGCAAACGGTTGAGATTTATTCCGAGACTCAACGGAAGCCGGCTTGGAAGAAGTTTGAAGTGAAAGTGCAAGACCAAGGCAAGACTTCCCCGGGAAAGTGGCACAAAGATGTCCTACCGACTCCCTAGGGAAGTACCTCCCGACCGCGACCTCGCAGATCCGGTGCGACGTCGTTCGAGGGTTTCTTTTTTCTTTTCCCGGCAAAATGTCGCGCGCGTATCAAAAAAGAAAAAATAGACACATCAGGGCCTCGTTGAGTGCGCGAACACCCGGCACTGGGGCCGCGCTACGCTTTTCCCCGGTTTTTTCTTTCTCCCCTAGAAAAATAAAACCAGGGCTAGGAGATGCTGTAGCGTCGCGCGTCCCAGGCGGCGAGGCCCTCGATGGACGAATAGAGGGTACGTTTTTAAACATTTAGCGGTTGATGCATGATCAAAAAGTCCATAGTTTCAAGATTGCCTCAGCGTTGTTTTCTCCGAAACCCGAGAGAGAGAGATAGGAAAAGCTGGTCCGCGCGAGACGGGGAGAGAGAATCGGAAGAAATCCAAAGAAACACAAAAAATAGTAAGAAAAGGAATATCTAGGGAGGACGCGCGTGCGCGCGCATTCGGATTCGCCGTTCTCTTCCGTCGCAAAATCGAAAACCAAGGGGGGAGGGGTTGGGGGGTCGAGATATATCCAAAAAATGGCGCGCTCGCTCTCTTTCCCGTTAGCAACGAAAGGCAAGGAAGAAGGGGGGCGGCGCAAAAGGGCTCTCGGTCGCTCCGAGAGGTTAGGTGCGCCATTTTGCGTCCGGGATACCTCGGCCGGTGCGTCAAAACCAAGTGCGAGGGCGCACCCCCGCGAGTTGGCTCTCTCCGCTGTACCAAAGGAAAGAAATCAAAGATTATATATGAGGGAGTTTGTATATACATATGCATATATACGTGCGTAAGCAGACACACACATATATATACATATATGATTTGTACAACGGCGACATTCTCCCGAGGGATCTCCTGGTGGCTGTCCTGCGCCTTCCTGGTGCTTGAAAAAAATATAAATAAAGGTACACGCAACAGAGAGTGAGAGAGAGAGAGAGAGAGTGTGAGAGAAAGTGCTCTTATCTTTCTCGGTTTTCCTCCCAGGCCATGAAAAGAACAAACCAAACCGTCAAATGGAAGGAGAAATCCGTATGGAGAAAACAAAAGATCGTCGACTCTCTACAAGAGAGGTTATCCCTGGGGCTAGTTATCCTTTTCTTGGCCATCGGTGGCAACGGAGAACGATCGAATCACCTGCGGGCGTGGGGGTCTTCGGGGTCTCGCGCATCAGAGGACTGGTCAGCATTACGCTGACGGTGACGGTCTCCCCGGATACCGTGATCGCCGCCGACTCGGGATGCTTCCCCACGTTGTAGGTGTCCTCCGGCGCGACGATCTTCAGCTGGGCGGGCAGAATCTCCGCGACCTTGTTCAACAGAGTCCTACAAGGGAAACGGGAGCGTGAACCCGAAGCTCCTCCCAAGGAGTGGAGAGTAAAACGTGACGGACGTCCGCATACCTTGTAGGCTTCTCCGCGCACAGCACGACGAGGCAGACATGGCTGTTGCCCGAGAGCAGCAACCCCTTGGCGAGATTTCCAACGCGCATGACGCCGCGTAGTATCCTCGAGTCCTCCTTCTCCTTTTGGAACGAGAAGAGGTTCCCATCGCTACCGTCCTCCTTCTGCGGGGTCACCGCCGGCTTCTTCTTGTCGCCCTCCTCCTTCTTCACGGCGACCTCGTTGTTTGCTTGCGGGGTCGCCGGAGTGACTGCTGGAGTGGAGTTGGTGGTAGGCGCTGGTTTTTTGCCTATAAAAAAAAATAGAAATAAAATCAAGAGAATGAGCAAACGAGCAAATGCAACACCTTCGAGGTACACCGTACAAAATTCCTGCACCGCTTACCAACTTCGGCAAGAGCGTCCGAGACGAATTTGAGCGCCTTCTCGGTGTGCGAGACAATTTTCTGAACTGCCTGCAGCTCCTCCTCCTTGGGATAGATCGTCGAGTGGTGGGCCAGGACGTGCTTGTCGTCCGAGGAGTCGGGTCGCCTCTGAGGTCCCGGGAACATCATCATCGGTGGGGGGCCCGGGAAGGGCCGCGGCATGGGAGGTGCCCCAGGTCCGCGACCATAGCGACGATACCACTCGTAGTACTCGCACTCTTCCTCATAGCGACGCCGCTCCTCCCAGTACATCATCTCCTCGTCCATCATGGGTCCAATGGGTCCCATGACGCCGATCTGATTGATCTCCTCTCTGCGCCGCATGTACTCGTCTCGCATCTGCTGGCGTCGAAGCCTCTCTTCCAGCATCTTTCGTTGCTTCAGACTAGGCTTCATGTCCACCACCAGGTCGGGGTTAACCTTCTTCTTATAGGCGAAGCGGTGGCGTCGTCCCTTCATGTGCATGTCTTTGGCATTGGGGTCGTTAAAGCGGCACTCGCAGAGCTTGCAATTAAAGCTGATTATCTTCCCATCCTCGGATTTATTCTCCTCGATGTACTCCTGCCCGACAGGTTGGATGTCCTTCTCGTCGACTACCGCCTCCTCGGCAGCTTCTTCGGCACTTTCTTCGGTCTTCACCTCTACGGGTTGACCTTGGTTGACTGTACCCAGGTTACCAGCTGCAAAAATATCAAACGTGATTCACCATCTGCCATGGCTATTTTACGAAGACCTGTCAATAGATATATGGGGGAAAATTGTACTCACAGGCTACGAAGTTGATCTTAGGAGTGGCCGTGACAGTGGGCTTCTTGGCTGTCGTAGTCTTGGCAGCCACCGCTGGCTTGGGATTTAGCACCGTTGGATCGGCACTGGGAATGGGCTTCCCAAGTTTGGTGTGCAGCTTCACGACCTTTTGGTGCTTCGCTCCTCTGATGTGAGCCGCGTAGGCGTCGTTCCCTGTGCAGGTGACATCGCAGAGCTCGCAGCGCAGGGAGTTCCCTGCCCCACGTGCTGGTTGCTGCTGTGGTACTTTCAGAGACGCCTCCTTCTTCTTGTGCTTCTGGCCCTCCAAGTGCTCCCGGTAAGTCTGAGGTCCAGCGCAGCTGATCTTACAGACTTCGCAATAGTGCAGCTGCTGGGGTTTGGGAGGCTGCTTGGGTCGCATTGCCTTCATTCCTCCCCCTCCAGCTCCGAATCCCTTCCGTCCGTAGCCCTGCCAACCTCCAGTCTTCTGGTTAGTCGAATTGCTGTTTGCACTCTGTTGGGCTACATACATAGTCGCAGCGCTATAAAGCGCTGCGTCGTAGCCGGAATACGTTGTACTCGCCGTTTCTAGGGGAAACGAAATTGAAACCTCAAGCGTTTGGAGGAGTCAAATTTTGCGTTTACAGAGCAGCTGCAATAGCGTCTTTCTCTAACTGTGCCAAATTCACCAACAGAATGCAAAACCAAAACTCTTTACTCGTCGCAACTTAACATTCGAATCTACCATCGTTAGAGGACAATCGACGTTTCCCGCATTAAGGGAGCCGTATAACGAGGGACTACCAGGTTCGCGATGTCGAGTGCAGACAGTATCAGGGTCTGAGCGTGTGTTCGATCCTCTGGATCAAAACACACGGTTGAATGTCCTGGAAAATACATAAGGAAGTAATATGACACTTACTGTTAGTCGCAGTGGTCGGAGTAGCTGCCGGAGTGGCCGGAGCGGTGTACCCCGAAGTATATGTGGCGCTTTGAGTAGGATTCGATTGTTGATAAGCGGTGCTGGATGCTTGATACGTCTTGGCTTGTCCCGTAGTCGTTGCTTGTCGAGCCGTGCCCGTGTAAGCACTGGTGGTGCTGTATGCAGGTTTTGCGGCCTGATAGTGAGTCTCTGTAGTCGTGTAGGTTGCCGCCGCTGCAGCCGGTTGTTGATAGTACGTTTTGGTAGCGTCGTAGGTTGCCGCAGGTGCTGCCCGACCGTAGCCGTAGTCGTAGGTCTGAGCTACGGTGCCAGGGTTAGCAGCTAAGAGAAACAGTCGAAGCAAACACTGAACGAGCGTCACAGACCTCGAGGAGAGCATCCATGAAGGAGACTCGGGGAAATTAATGTAACACTGTAAGTACACGAGACGACGAGGTCGTGGACACTCACCAGCGTACGTCGTCCCCGTAGCCGCAGCAGCAGCTGCTTGATAAGTCTCGTAACCTGTGGCGGCGGCCGCGGCTGGACGTTGGGTGTACGTAGCGGCGGTTGCCGCTGGAGTTACCGCGTATCCTGCTTGTCCGGTTTGATAGGCGGCCGCGCTGGTTGCCCTGCACGAGGCAATAGGCCAAAAGTTTGACAACGGGTGTCCGCGGGGTTAACGACGAGTAAAAATTTGCGCCAGGCTTCGATCGGACTCGCGCGCCCGGGAGACGCTCTCAATGGGACGCTTTACTCTTAGCGGGAAATGGCGGCCAAGCCGGCTAAGCTCTCGCGTGCGACGAACCTCTTTCGTCGTGACTTGCCCGCGACCACGACTCTACCGCTCGCGACTATCCGACGGTCTTAACTCTAATTGCTTAAGTAATTATAATAGTCAGTCGAAATCGTACCCATATTGCGTGCCGCCGTGAGTAAACCCAAAATAATTGTTCTGAGCCATCCTTCCTTGCAGAGAATCCCGGAAAGAAGGACAATGGAGGAAGTCGCAGGGCGTGCCACGAACCCGACGGAATGGCGGCGCCGCCGCGCGCTCCGATTGGCTCTCCCGACCGTGCCGGGCGCGACAATCGCGAGAACGGCGCGCTCCCACTGGCTATTTCCCTTGGAGCCGAGCGCCGTCTCCACCGACAAACTACCTTCGTGCAAATCAACACGCTATCGTAACACCCGGATAACTACCGCGGGAAGGTCTCCGACGGGCGCGAAAATTCGGCAGGCCAAGGGGCACGAGACTTACCGCGGATCCGTCCTCTACTCCGGTTCCCTGGACCGATGCGTGGCTCACGGAAATTTCGCGGCTGGAACAAGTTGCGATGAACCTCCGGCGTGCGCACGGAAAGACCAGTTCGCCGGCGAGACGCGTGCGTCGATTCTTCCGCGATGGCGCGCTCTGCCGGCGACCAGACGCGGCGACGCACGCTGCGAGACGACCGCCCAAAATGGCGGCGATGTCGGAACGCCATGTTTTTCATTATTCGCCAATGCACGCGGCCATTGGGCACGATTTGACCATCTTTTCCTGGCCTCCACGAAATACTTATTTACTTGAAGTCTGGTTTATGCTTCCGTCCGAATCCTGACTTATCCTTTTCTCTATTATAATTTTTCTGCGGAAATGTATGCTCGAGTCCTAATTCTCGATCTTCGTTCCGCCGAACGCGGCTGCACGCTACATTACCCTTTAACTCATGCGCAGTATGTTTGTACATTTTGGTACCCTCGTTGTATAATATTTAATCTACTCCTAATTGTAACGGTAAATTGGATAAGCAGCGCCGTTTAACTTCGGCGATGTCCAAATTACAGGGGCTATGAAGAACGAAAGACTAAGTTGCGGAGGTTATGTATGTTTTCAAACTACGCGCACTTTTTCGTATGATGCACCATGCACTTTTTCTTAAAATCTTGGGACATGTTCAAAATTTAGAGGTTTTTAGGCTTAGGATAAAAATTAGGCTTTGGAAGAAACGCAGAAAATAAATGCGAGAACGACCCACTAACCGTTTTACGAATTTTCTAATACTTGATACGTCACTACTCAACGATTTTATTTTTCCCCTTTTATTTGACGTCGAATTTAGGTTGAATTATTACATTGCAACTTTATGACCACTTTTCATGTTATTTTATGTAATCATGAACAGTTATTTTCAATAAATTGATTTTTGTTTTCTTATCTTTATCGGCTGACGGTAATGGCATAAATAACAAGAAAAATGTTAGATGGCACTCGTGTCTTCGCAAAATTTGATGTGTACAAGGATACTTGATACAGTGTCTCCTATTTGTATGTGCGACAGGTTTTTCGTCATTTGCAAACTATTTTCTAGAGGCAGGGAGTTGATCAAGTATTAACGGTAATGACGAGATTCAGCGTATTTAAAAGTATTATCTGGTCAAAAGATTCAATACGAAGGGAACGAGCAGATTCGTTGTGGTTTTCAGAATTCAGTGTTGTCTAATGGAAACATTTTCAAGAAGAGCGCAATGCGTTGATCAAACGTGACAACTTTGATGAATGTGCACCGGTCACAATTAGTTGACAGTTGATAATTACGGTAATCAGATGTATATCAGGACACTATATACCTGATTATCCAGAGGGCATATACTTAGGTATGTGCTCGTGAGAGTTCCATGTACTTCGCACAAGGATTTTTAAGGAAAGGACTCTTCGTACAATACCTGAGGACACATGTCTGTAGAAATGCCTATCGAACTGGTAAAAAAACAGCATGCCAAATATTTCCAAAGGTTCCTGCATATGGTGCCCGGTCAATTGGCTTCCTTCGATTTCACAAGACTGATGTTTGCATTTTTCGCCATATCTGGACTGGATATGCTCGATGCTCTCGACGATCTCAGTCCCGATCGGAAGATCGAAGCTATAGAATGGATTTATAGGCTTCAAATCGAAGATGCAGGTCCAAGATCGGGGTTTCAGTCATCCACGACTTTGCCCAAGGAAGTTGCGGAGTACCAATGTGGCCACTTGGCTATGACATATACTGGCTTAGCTACTCTATTAGTCTTAGGGGATGATTTACGTCGAGTCAATAGAAAATCTATTATAGAAGGAATTCAGGCGTGTCAGAATCCTGATGGATCTTTCACTGCTGTAGTAGCTGGTTACGAGAGCGACATGAGATTTTTATATTGTGCTTGTTGTGTATCAGCAATTTTGGACGATTGGTCGGGAATTAATAAGCCAGCGGCTATTAATTATATTGTACAAAGCATTGTGAGTATACATTTTTTTATGATACATCGTTAGTCGATGTTACTCAAAGAATGTAATCAGTAGAATATTTATTTCAATGGGATGTGATATTTGTTGCAGTCTTACGATGGTGGAATTGGTCAAGGTCCAGGATTAGAATCTCATGGAGGATCTACATTTTGTGCCGTAGCAAGTTTGTTTCTTATGAACGAGCTAGACAATATTTTGTGCAACGAACGCTTGAATAGGTTGAGGTATTGGTGCCTTATGAGGCAAGATGACGGTTTCCATGGAAGGCCTGGTAAACCATCAGACACTTGTTATAGTTTTTGGATCGGAGCTACCTTGCGGCTTCTTGGTGTTGGCGAGTTATCAGATTCGGAAAAAAATAGGACGTTTCTGTTAGACACTCAGGATACTTCGACGGGAGGATTTAGCAAGTTCAAGTTCGCAGAACCAGATCCTATGCACACTTACTTGGGCAAGTGTTAACAACGTACTCAATTTATCTAATTAATTAATTTTTTTTCCACAACATATGATCATAGATTTTCTCTGTACAGGTTTATGCGGGTTGAGTCTTATAGGAGAGCCAGGGCTACAAGAAATGTACGCTGCTTTGAATATATCTCAGAGAGCATACGCCCAATTACGAGACATTCACAAAAGGTGGAGGAACGAATGATTTCCATAATTAGCGACATTAATTTTTATAACTCATATCAAGCGCACATGAACTGGATTTTTTGAGCCTATGCAATTAACTACACCGTACAATTACGTGCAAAGCGTTACTCGTACAATCAAAAAGCAGCCATTCTACAAGAGTCAATTACCTCTGGCTTACTTTCCCAAACATCCAGTATTTTATATGATTTTGAAGAAGCTTAATTGATCATTTACAACACAATTTTTTCAAACTTGTTATCATGTTTGTCACGATCCATGGGAACGAACACTCCCTGCTGTAAGGGCAGACTCCCGTGCAAACTGTAAGAATAATTTCTAAAAGGAAATACACTCTTCGTGTTATAGAATCCAAGCAACAGGTGTCTGAATAAAATATCACTCGGGTCGACCTTCCACCGATCCATTTACAACTCCAACGAGGTTAAACTCCCCCGCAAGTTTCATCACATTCAGAGGTTAACGATCCGCGCAAGATTTATCTTAAGTAAGACGAATCCTTGCCCTTGCATCGCGTCCCTTCTCATTCCTTTCTCTTTACCTCGAACCAGGAATTCCTAATTCGATCAAATTAAATTCTCAACGTTTTGCAGCCACCTAGGAAAGATCATTAATTTCCGCGAAGATGTTGGATTTGCGAGATTTGGAATTTCCTTTCATTCCAGTTCCCTAACCTCAAAACACCGCATAACGCTGGACGGTCTGAACCGATCTGGACGCGCACTGGACTCTAGGGAGACGGGTCGGGGTCGTCGGATTACCCCCACCACTCGGAGGCGGTCCCATGGTAACCAGGGAGGGTTCGCAGGTCACAACAGACGACGTCCGCCCTTCGTCGGAGGCGGTCGACGCATAGCGCGAGGTTCGCGATTTTCCCGCGCCCGAGGTCCGTCTCATCGCTGCGATTCGTGACGATCGTCATCACGGCCACCCGGATCACCAACAGGCGACATGACTTCCTGAAAGCGTGCGCGTGCCCAGTCAACGAGCGGATTTTAATCCCGCAAGCGGAGCCGAATCTTATCCTAGAAGCTGGGTCGCCCTCGCGACCCGAACCGCGACCGAGGTTAGTACGCGTTTGAAATTCAAATCGACACTGGTTGGCGAAGGCCACGAAATCGGAGAAAGCGAGTCGCTCCCCCCCGCAAAAAAAAAAAGAAATCCTCTCTGGAAATACCCGCGAATATCGAGCTCGATTGTTTCCCCATTTAATTCCAGGATTTCGGAGTTTTCTCCAGACCTTTTTTTCTTTCCGATGACAAGATCAGCGCGAGTCCGAAGTCCCATGATTTTATTAAGGACATTATGCGTACACGCACCCACTTAATTGGCCCATTCGCTCATCACCAACCGGAAACGGTGTGTCGCGTGTATACATATACATATATATATATATGCGCGCACGATGCGCCTCGATGCCTCTTACACGTATACACACACGTGCAGCGTATAAGCATAGTAGAACTCGCTGCTTGAAATTACGTGCAGGCATAGGTACCTACTCGGCATTGTACGGAGCATACAATGGCAGACATGAATGCCTTCCTATCATAATAGATGGATGCATAATTACTCTTATACTTTGACATTTCTTAATTGCCTAACAGCGTATTAATTATGCATCGACCTAACACATCGGCGGTGGAGGATAAACTATATATTTTTTAAATTGAATTTTACCTTAAACTTCGTTAACATAAAAATCATCGAAATTCCCGCAACGACCCTGTCGCTGCAAGGTTTAAGAAAAATAAAATCATTAGGAAAATTTTCATGTAACAAACGGTTTACTTTTACACCCCCGCCGGGGTCGGTCCCGTAGGTGCATGCATGCAACTATTTACTCGAAGTAAAATGCAAACGCAGGGATGATTATTCTACTACACGGTGGCTCGCGTGCCAGTAAGTACGGGGGCACTGCTTATCACGTGAATTATTATAAACCGCGGATTCCAGGTAACCCCCCGTCGGCCGACTTTGCGGCGATCTCACGCTCCGGTTGTGCGAATCGATCGACGGCTGATGGGAGATTTTCACCGCGGCAAACGAGTTTCACCTGGCGAGATATATCTTGGCCGGGACTATTTCTGGAAGGAGGAAAAAAAGATACGAGTTAGAGGATAAACAAGGAACTGATGGAAACCGCACTGAGAAAATAAAACGATTGACACGAAGTAATATGCACCGCTACGACAAATTCCTGCGATGAAGCGCGTCCAAGGAAATGTCAGGAAGAGTGAAGGAAATTCCTTTAAACCAATGATATCATTTTTTTTTTCTCTCCACTAAGTAATCGTTCCTTGCAATTGTATACGATTCGGACAGCTATGTATATTTGTTTCGGTTGAGAAATTTTTTTTTAATGTGTTTATTGGAGAGACTCCCTTCGGGTCAGGTGCATTCGGCTGCAGTGCGCCTCGCGATAGACCTTTGACGGGTGTACCGATTTATCCCGGCGAAAAGGAGTTGTTTCTAGGACGGGCACAGGTGCCCTGCAGGACTTTGTGCCGATGGCATACACTCTATTGGCCAATCGATATCGGTCGCGGCGTGAAATTCTTCCCGGCGAGCGAGTTTCACCGGCGCAACTTTTCCCCAATACCGTCACCGAGGCGAGGCCGGCTATTCCTGGGTGGATTAAAAAAGGAGAGGCTTTGACGAAAAAAAGGGGGAAAAAAAGAAAAAAAAATTATGCCCAACCGACGGGAAATTAACGCGAAGGCGTACGGGGGGAAACGGCTGGCTTCATGAATGGAGTCACTGTCGGCTAGCTCTTGATTGCGGGCTGCGGCTTGAAAATCGAAAGTGCACGACTGCCAAGTCGCGTATACGTTTTACGGGTCGATCTTGAGCGAGTACATGAAATGGATTAATTTAATCGGAGGTGTCGCGACAATGGGTCAAAATTGAATATCAACGGGATAGCGGGTATCGAGAATTGAATTTAATGTCTCAGTTCGATCGATCATGGGACGATGCATCGATCGGTCGAATTAATATCGCGATATCGATAAGCGAAGCCGCGGTTGCAGGTGCAAGAAAGTCGGAGTCGCGCGGTGGTAGGAGCGGAATAAAATCGTAGGTGCCGCGACAACGAGGAACAATTGAGTGTTAACGGGTTAAGGGGTCTAAAAGATTGACTTTAATGGATCCACGCGACGTAGGGGAGCGATTCCCCGGATTAATCCTCATTTCGAAGGGATTAACGAGGAAGGGCGTCGAGTCGACGTACTCCTTGTCGGAGGATCGGCGCCTAAATTTACGTACGACCTCTCGGGAGCAGAGCAGAGCAGATGGCGATGTTTCCTCGGGGAAACTGTACAATTATAACGAGGGGCTCCTGCCGGTTCCTCGCAGCTGTCGGTCGACAGCTGCATCGCGATGAATTAGAAGAAACCGACGACGAGGAGCGAGACACCTTTACGGGACGAGAGGACTCGTCCCCCTTTCGAGTTCGCCCCGAGTCGAAATTCACTTACACTTGGGACGGAGTCGGAAAGTTCCGATATTTTCCCTTTCCCTTTTCGCCTAGTTGCAACGGCGCGGTGGCATCGCCCGTGGGAAAGTGCGACATCGAGCCGGGAACGAGATCGTGCTCCCTGATCTCGGTTAATGAGCGTAATTCCCTAATGATGCGCCCGCGAGGAGCTCGAACGACATTAGGTGCTCTCGCCCACTGCAGGACTTTTTTCGACTTTTTCCTTCCTCTACTGTTATATAAATAAATAAAAGGAGGTCTGAAAGTGCCCCGGATCTCTCGCGAACGCTCGATGATCGTTTCTTAGCATACCTTATGATATGTATTTGTCGCGAAACTCAGCCGTGTCTTTTGGCGCACGCAAATTCTGGATCCTTTACGAGAAATCGTCGATTCTGCGATGAGTCCTGATCTCGATTAATTAACATGATTTTCACCCGCAAAAAGCTGGAATTTTGCGACCTTTTTTTCCTCCTCCACTTTCTGTAAATGATAAAAGGAGGTTTGTACGCGCCAGATATAGTTATATTTGGCGCATAACTCATTCGCCCCCGTGAACTCTGGATCCTTGGCGAGAATTCCTCAATCCTGAGAGGAGGGAAACTCGGGGGATTTCGGAGCTTATGGCAGGATAATGTATTGGAGGAACGAGAGGCCTCCGACTCGCCTTGACGCTCCTTACAAATCGATCCGACTGCCAACGGCTACGGCTTACCTTGGTATGCTGTTATATCCTCGAGACACGAATACCAGGACATTGCGTTTTCGTCGAGTACGTCCTCTCGCGTAGGTGAAACCGCGCGATCCCTCTCATTTGCATATTCCCGTGTATACGTGTTCACCTGTTTCGCAGGTGGCGTGGGGCACGGCTGTGATGGAGTTACAGAGCTGGCTTCTCTACCATCTCGTGGCCGTGACCGACTGCAATCAAGGTACGAGTCGAGCCGAATAAGCGATCCCTCCAACTTCGGCCCACCGTCTTCCTGGTCCCGAAAGTCATCCTCGAGACCTACGGCATGAAATTCCCCCACGTGGTCGTTACCCAACCGTTTCTCCCTTTCACTTAATTCAGGTATTATTTTATGTTTTCATACATACTTCATGTTTTTCTTATTCCGTTTTCGTTCTCCGTTTAGTTCGCTTCCTTGGTTTCGCCTGAGTTCGGGCCCGGCGCAGCGCCTTTATTTCGTTTTTCCGAATTCCATTGTCGTTCCGGAAGAGGAGCCGTACCGATGTTCGATGGTAAGTCCAGGATTGCCGGTCATGATTGATCGTAATTACTACCACGAGGACCCCACCCGAGTCGGAATTTTTATCCTACCTAGAACCTCGGAATAAGTTTTTAGAAAATATATGGAAGGACTTCTATATAATTAATATCCTATTTCAGACATTAAAAGTAGGAGGTATTTATGTATTTCCCTTGCAGGCCTGAGTTAAGAATACTTTACCATACTAAGTATAAGATTGAAAACTATTCGACTTAGGTTCTTGTAGGACTAAAATTTCGACTCGGGCGGAAACTAAAATTCTACCGAGTGATGAGCATCGCCTCCACGTTTGCTCGGCCGAATCGCTTATCACCGCGATTGCGGTCGACCGCGAGCTTTATCACTTCTGCCGAGTGCATTGTTTCCAGAACTCGGTGCCCATTGTCGAGAGCATCGTCTTGTTAAAACACTTTGTTTAATAACCACGTCGTATTTTGACAGTGATGCAGTCGGCGGCTACAGGTGGCGGAGCCTGTCCCGTGGGGGGCACGGGAAGTCGAGCTCGAGATTTGGGTCTGCGAGCCCAGAAGAAGTTGCTGGGACGCGTAGTCTCCAGCGGAGCTGGGAGGTCGCTGCTGATCGATGACGCTACGACTTCCCTCTTGGACAATCTGTACAAATTGATGGACAAGGCGGCTAGAGCCAATCCCACGCTGGACAAGAAGCAGCCGGAGAAGGTCCTGAAGAACATCGTTAAGTTGTCGATCAAGGTACTCCAGGGTGCCGGTTAAGGCTCAACCGTATCTATGGAACATACCGGACATCCTTTTAATTCGCCTTTCACGTGTCCACCTCAACTCGTAGATAGGACTTCTGCAGCGGAATCAGCAACTGGGACCAATGGACGAGGCGAAGTTGGCGGAGATCAGGACGGCCCTCAGGGCCGTGGCGATGGCGGTGGTGTCCTTCTACGAGCTGGAGTTCAGCTTCGACAAGGCGTACTTAACCAGGTCCCTGGAAAGGTGCAGAACGGCGGTGAGGCTCCTGATAAAACCCCACCTCACGGACAAGTCGCAGGACCGGTGCGACCAGGTCTTCGACTTCCTGTGCCACCCGGACTTCCTGGACTCGGTCTTCGGGCAGGACTCGGAGCATCGAGCCACCCTCGGCCTCCTGGTCGGCGACGTCAACAAGGCGCTGGACGCCGGTCATCTCTGACTCCCGAGGGACTCTCTCCAAGGAGAGGATCTGGGCGCTCCCGAAGGGGTGCCCTTAGTCGTTAATGCGTTTCCTACCTCCAGGACGGTCGCGGAACCCGGGGATCCAGCGATCGACCACTCTCGGTCGCGCTCGTATTTATTATAATTCATAATTTATTTCCATCCTCTTATTTATACGCCAGAGCGGGGCGGCAATAACCGCGGGAATACTCTGATAATCGTTATCAATCGGGCTGTACACCGAAGAGGAGATGCGATCGCACCTTCGAGTCATTGTGATCCCCAAGGCGGAGTCCAGGAACCTCGTGTCGTCGATCGAGTGACGAATTAAGCAATCAATGATATCGTTTCGGGATCGACCTCGGCTTATGTACATCGGAGGACGTGAATGCCTTCCCTGCAGATATGGCATTGCGAATGTACGAAGAGATGGCATCGATGTCCTCCACTGTACACCTTCGATTTTCTGGGGGTCGACGCGTCCGCACTCATCACTGGTACATATCACTCTTTATCAAACCGTGGCATATCAGTTTCCCTTTCCATTCACAAAGGGTTCTTAACGAATCCCTCGACACTCAGCTCGGTGGAATGTTCTGTGTACCTCTTTTCTTATTTTCTTCCCTCTTCGGTAAAAAATCCGCACTCGTAACCTGATCAGTCTTTCACGTCACACATTTTATACACAGTCTACACCGTTCGTCGTGATACGCGGAGAATTACAGGCACAACCTGCCATTGTACCCATAAATATATATAAATATATACATATATATATTACGAATAAATTATTTGTAAAAATGAACCGAAGGGTGGACTGGGATCTTCGAATGATCGAACGCCGTCGTATCCGTTTTTTGTTCGTTCCTCGTTATGAATACCATTGCATGGAATTTATTTACATAAACATGCAGTCGCACATACAAAGTTATAACGCTATAATTATGCATGCTTCGCTGCCCGAACTGCATCGCGGCTTTTTCGATATAAATAACGCGTTTACGGTTTAGGGCAGAGGGGCGCCTAATTCGATCGAAGGTCGCTGAAAGAAAATTCATTCCTGCTTTCGCCTTTACAAACTCTGCCACCTTTGCGAGAAAAATGTCGTCGGGCCGACGCACGTGAATATAAGTCGGACAACCTGTGTACATATATATGTATATATTCGAAGTTAAGAAAAAAAAGAAATAGATTGCTCGGTAGTCGTATGTCTAGTAATGTCAATGGTAGATAAAGAGTGCACGGAACATTATCGCGTGTGTCAGACGATTACACCCTCTGGCAGTATTGTTGTGAGCCTATGTTAAAGGACAATCGTGGCAAGGAAAAAGAAAAAAAGATGGAACGTTGCAAGAGACTTCCTGTCCGATATCCGTAGTTGCCTCGTGGACGTGATAACGCTTACAAACTAATGTGATGCGTACCGATACATTGTATTTACATGATTCTAAATGCGTTTTAAAATATCAGCTGATCCGCCGTTATCGCGATACATTTTCGTCGGGAAGATGGCAGCAGTTTGAACGTTAACACGTTAAAACGACAGGATCGCAGTTTCCCTAGAGAATTCAACGTACGACGTAAAAAATTAACTGATACGATTAAAACAATGATTAACATCGGAACCGTGGTAATGTCTTAAGAGGATGTAATTCACTCCGGTCACAGACATGCAACTCGACCCGAACATTGTCCCAGTCGAACACATTCGTTCGAAACTGATGATAACAAACAGCAACATTGATAATGTCGGAAGAGAAGCCATACGGACACTCAAAAAATTGGAGAAAAATTTCGCACAGAGTTAAAAGGATCGAAGAGATTTAAGTACACCGGAGGGAAAATTAAAACAAATAAATCACGTTACAGCCCTGTGTTCGAATTGGCCGAATACGATTGGACGTGCCAGTAAACATTTTTTGGCATACCGGTTACATAGTCATTCGCAACCATTACAGTAATCGAAACACGAAGTCGTACAAAAACAATTCTCTTGATTGCACACAAGAAAAACATTTACACAAATCACAGATCACGGATACTGTTATTCCCCCTTGGACGCACGCGGTAAACGACTTTTGTACATTTATCGAATGCAGATCTTTTAGTAGGTGACAAAAATCGTCTATTCAACTGGAGAGCGAATTTAGTGAAGTAGCTTGCACCGTTAGGAAGAAAAAAAAAAAAGAAAGAAAGAAAAAGTGATGAACACGAATTGTTTTAAAAGTTGTTCATATAATGTTAACACTGAATTTTAAAACCCTCGCTGTGCTGGTTTCATAATTTCGCATAAGTAGAAAATTGTTCTGCTAAGACGGACCCTCCTTCGCATCTAATTTCCCTGTTGATTACTCGATTATTGCATTTGGAAGCAGTCGGATCTCTAAAATGCTCCATCGGGATTAATAATTTAAACGCATTCTGTACAGTTTCCTTAGAGTTTCATCGCGCCCACCGCCTAAGCTTTGTGTCCACAAGCAAAGCTCACATTCCTGTCGAGTCCTCGACCTTCCCTAACTTCACGATGATTAGCTAGAAGTATAACTAGGCATGATGACGACATAAAAACCATTGTAACTTAAAGTTTAGTATCACTCCGTGGCACTCGCACATATTCAAATTTCAATAGATTATTGCGTTTTCTAAAAGATCACTCACGTTAACCGCGGACCTGATGTCGAGAGGTTAGAAACACAGCAGATCGGCTCATGACAGATCTGACCAGGATAGGAACGATATTCAGGCGATACCGATCTGTAACTCCTTTTCCTACATACTGCGTTAACTTCTTAGGTTATACACGCCAAGTCAGGGCTTCGATCTCTTCACATCATAAAATACCAGTCTCTTTTTGTCTTCTAAAGTATTAGTATATCCCTTACGGTAATAATGCTGTGACGAGCACGTGTCAGGAATTGAATTTAATTCACTGCCATAATCCTGCATAGTTTCCATAGAGATTCGCTGGTAATGGGCCACCAGCAGTGAATAGTCGCGTGCCAGATGCATCGTAACAGTGCGTATAAATGGCTGGGGTATACTTGACGTTTTGAAAGCCATCAATGTACTCTTCGTCAGGAAACTGATAGCAAAAGAGAGAGATTTCCATAAATTATTCTCTCGATGATAAGAAATAATAACAGCAATGCATCGAGGGATGCTTACCACATAACCTTTGGAAGCCTTTAATACGACTGTTCGATTGGAATTAATAGATGATTCTAGGTACTTCTGAGCCCTCACATCATAAAACATTAACATTCCAAGACCAGTGCCAATCGTCAAAACTGATCCTTGAAAACTTGCAGACCTTATACCACAGCCGCTGTACCTATATTTGAACGCGACAGTGATTATTACTGCATACCTTGATTTGTTACTGCATCAGATTCAACCACTTCGGAAATACGAACCGTGATGGAATTTTTTTGATGGGTTGCAATGTCCTTGCATCCAGGAGAAGTGTGTACGAACGACATCCAACAGCGTAAACTCCATCATCTTGAATGGCCAAACACACGTTCTCTTGGCATGCTGGCAGTTTCCTTGATATTTTTTGCTTGAACGCTTCGGCAGACCATATATGTATAAAACTGTTCAGCGATAATGCTGCGATTTCGTTGTAAGCTTTGTTAAACGCTAATGCTCGAACCTTTTGAGCAGACCGACATTCCTTCACGCAGACTGGCTGAATGAGTCTGTTTGGAAATAAATTAGATACATCACGTGCAGTACGTGCATATCCGACAAATTGAACGTCATCCAGTAATGCCAAATTTCATATGGACCTGGAATGAGGTTAACGTAATGGTATATACCTGTGTGTCGGTATGTCTGCTTTGTCGGGAGCTTCTACGAGATCACTATCAATGCGCCACAGAGCCATTTTTGTATCTCTAGCTCCAGAAACTAAAAATTCGTCATCCAGCCAGCACATGTCGAATACCCAATCTCTATGACCAGTTTCTCCAACACAAACAGGGTCTAAAGTCGGTAGCCTATATATTGCTATCTCGTTGCTGTTTCTAGCTCCAGTGGACAGTAGTGTCCTATGCAAACATTAAAATGTAGTATTGAATTATATTGAGTATCCTATTCGAGTTCTAAAATATTTTTATAATGTACCGAACATATTACCTGGAAGGATTTATTTGCACAGAATGAATGCCACATTGCTGTTCAGGTACAGCATTACCTCCGGGATTTGTTTGTCTTCCGTGAAGGGAAGGTATTTGATCTAACTTCTGTGTCGCAACGTCATATACCATTAACTTATTGCATTTAGTTCCGAAAACAACTTGCCTATCGCTAAGCCATTGAGAACAAAATACTTTGTTCATATTATTTAAGCTAACTGAATATTCTTTGAATAAGTCATGTGTTAATATATGACGTGAACCATATTCTTGGTTGATTTTTCGAACTTCCTTGGTATTAGTCTCTCGGGCTCGCACATAATCAACAAAATTAAAAGACGTTCTTAAAAACTGTTTTCCTTCAGTGACCGTTTCTTCCTCATCGTCGCTTGACTCATAGCAAACGAAGTCCTCTGGCTTATCTGGTTTCCGATTTCTTTCAAGCCTTGATGCGAGTCTAACAGAAAAACGTAATTAATGGTTTTTAATTACTATCTGATTAGTAATTCAAAGAGATCGACAAAGAAGTACCTTCTGGCTCGGCGTTCTTCCAAACGTGAAGCACTGGCACATGGTGGATGTCGTCCATAAATAGTTACTCTTTGTGTCTCGGCCATACTTTTCAAATTTCTTTAATCGGTATGTGTTCAAATCGTATATATATATAATAAAACTGGATGTTGAAAATTACAGGTAAATTTATAGCTACAGCCTCTCAGAATCGTAACAACTTATTCTATGGAATAAACTGTCACTTACGCATGCAGATTATTCAATTGTCAGTTCCTAATGTACAATTTCACAGTCTCGTAATAGGCCCATCTATTCAAAGGCGTTGTACAGCAAGGTAAATTGCCTCAGAGACTATTCCTAGCTAATAATAAAGCAATTTCTAAGAATGAACCTGTGGTACATGGTAATACGCTGGCATCAATACGTGAATGATTGTTTTAATTTCATCCAATTAAGAAGAAAGTGGTACTTTCATGCATCTGAATACATACCATTTTTTTCTGTCATATTCATACGTTATTAAAATGTGTAAATCATTTAGTGATTAAAAAATGCACGCTATGTTTCAAATAACTTTGGGAAAGTTCACGTACCCACGCATACAAGTCTCTTAAGAAACACCTTTTTAAGAATAAATCAATCGACTTCTACATATTTTAATTTCTTAACAATCTCTTAACGAACGGTAAGAACTCTCCTAGACTTGATTTGCAATCATGAACAAACCCTGTATACAATATAAACAATTAAAACTTAAGATCTGACACAATCTCGAGATGCATCAATTATCTAACAAGTCGTTACAGAGTATCGTCTCTCCTCCACATCGCCTCTTATTCAAGTTATTCAACGGTCACTTTAAGAATAGCAAAAGCACTCCAAGATTTGTTTTGCAACGGCGAACAGACTCGATGTGTAATAAAACAATTTGTAACTATTACCGTTCCAAACCCTTATCAGTCTCACGGTGAAACAGTCGCTTAGCACCAGGTTAGATTCAGATGAAGAAAATATCCATCAGTTATTGATATACAGATATAATGTTAAATATTCTGCGAATCGTTCCAATCGAGCGCTACAATAGTGGAGGTGCCATCAAATAAAAGGAGTGGTAGCTGCCAAATCTATCGAGCTCCAGCGAGTCGTCCTTCCTTCGGTCTCGCACTTTTCTATGCACACACCCACTCCATAAGTTTGTTAATCCTCCTCGCTTATAAGCTTCGAAAAGTGCGACGCAAAAGCGAATGGATAAAATGCGACGGGACGCAGGATAAGTCGACAAAATACATGATAAGCAACGGGCTCCTAACGGTATAGAGTAACTTCGACCGCCATATTGAAACCAGCAGCCCAAGCAGCCTGCTGCGAGCAGAGCTGCCAACCGCGAGGTATTTAATTTTTAAATAGCTCCCCGTAATTTTTTATTTAATATCAAACGCAATTCTTGGCGGCCTTGAACATTAAGTCGAGGTACCTCACGACGTAACGAGAAAAAATACGTCCAGAAGCTGATAAAGAATATATCTGAGAAGACATTAATTACGGCATTTATCGACATGTGCTGCGCGCCCCCTTCCGTCTATCTGCGCATCTTGGCAACGTTGCCAACAGTTGACGGCATTTTTTAAATAATCATGGCGGCGTTTAAGAAGACGAACGCCAAAATATTTACAAAAACCGGACCGGAAATAACGCCGGACAATATTTACTGGAAGAAATACACGGTAGGTGGTTTTGTAAAAAGTATGCGTTCCATTAGTCGAGGGGCGATTATTATCCATTGCACTTTCGCATGACAGTTACCACGTGCGTTCTACTTAACCTATACCACGTTCTTATTGACGTTTGATTTAAATTTGAGAACTTACTTGATATAGTTTAAAATTGTGTCTTCCTTTTTTTAATTCAGCCGCCCGTGTTAGTGAAGGAGTTTGGACCGATTGATTACATTGACTTTTCGCCAGCTGAACCTCACTTTTTTGCTGTAACCTGCTCGGTAAGAGTGCAGGTGTACAATCCGATCACAAAATTGGTTACAAAGAATCTTAGCAAATTTAAAGAAGCCGCTTATGGTGGTTCCTTTCGGAGAGATGGAAGGTTGTTGTGTGCGGGAGGCGAAGAAGCTGTTATTCGACTTTTCGATGTTAATACCCGCAGTCTTCTCAGACTCTTCCAAGGACACGAGTCTGCGGTTCATCGAACTTTTTTTACTAATGATGGACTTCGAATAACATCGTTCTCCGATGATAAAACGGTAGCTCTATGGGACATAGCTACTGAAAAACAATTATGTTCGTTCACGGGACATAATGATTATATCAGAGCTGGAGCCGTCAGTCCTGCGTCACCTGACATTGTCTTATCAGGAAGTTATGATAAAACGGTTCAAATGTATGACACCAGGACCAACAAGAGTCTTTTTACAGTTAACCATGAAGCTCCTGTTGAAAGTTTACTTTTCTTACCATCTGGTGGAATATTTTTGTCTGCTGGTACTTTTAATGCAAGCTTATACGTATGATTGTATTCTGAATTAAAAATGGATTGTTATATAGATTTCTTTTTTAGGTGGAACCGAAGTGAAAGTATGGGATGCACTTGCAGGTGGTAGATTATTAGCTAAATTGTCGCATCATCACAAGACTATCATGTGTTTAAGAATAGCTTCAAATGGGCATAGAATATTATCAGGATCTTTAGATCGGCATATTAAAATTTATGATACGGGCACATACAATGTTGTTCATACATTGGACTATCCAAGTGGAGTTCTCAGCGTAGGAATAAGTGTAAGTAGTAAAATGGGTATAATAAGAAATACCGATATACAACTGAGTGGTATAATCATATTATAATAAATATTATGTACAGGCCGATGACGAGACAATAGTAGCCGGAATGGTCAATGGTTTAATTTCTGTTAAACGGAGGGAGGAAAATGTTAAAGATATTAAGTCACGATCTAAAAAAATATCCTATCGTCATGCTGGTGCTAATTTACATACACCTGCCATCGAAATTATTCATGACGAAACTAAACAAATTATGGGAAAGCATGATCATTTTTTGAGGAAATTCCAATATTCCAAGGCATTAGACTGCGTTATGATGAATTATGTAGCGAATAAAACGCCACATGTCACAGTTGCTGTCTTTCAAGAATTAATAAGACGTCATGGTTTAAAACAGGCCTTAGCTGGCAGAAATGGAAAATCACTTGTCAATATACTTAAGTTTATTATAAAACATCTGGGAAGTCTCAAATTTGGTAGAGTCATATTATATGTGGCAAACATACTAATGGGTAATTATTGCAAACGTAATAAAATATTCTAACCCGCAAAAGGTATAATAATACAAATTCTGTTTTAGATATTTACGAAGAAAATTTAGAAGAACTTGGAGCAGAGCCACGTACAATGTTCACTCTTTTAGCGAGGAAGCTTGAAGAGGAAGAGGAATTGACGATATCTTTGTTAGAATTGCAGGGTGCATTGCATATGTTGTTAGCAGGCGCAGAAACAGAAACTCTAGCAACTGACATAGATTCTCAAATTTTAGAGCCTTCTATTGCCGCGCAAAAGAATCTTATCCTAAGTATAAATTAAGAAAAATTTGCTAAAATGTGTACATATTTTTAAAAATAAGTATTTGAAAAAAAAATTTCGCCTTGGTTATATTCAATAATTTGTCTCAAAAGTATCATAATCATTTCACTTTATTAACACAAGTTGTGTAGTGTATTAAGCTGTGACTAACATTAACTTACTGGTACAAAACTTTCACTATTATTTGAGGTACTTTTGCCAGGCAGCACTGGAAGGAACATCAGGCATTATCCATCCAACTGGAATCGGTGACCCTTCTCCGTCGTATCTCACATACGTATCCCATGCCTTCCTAAAAGGAACACCAAAAGTTTATTACACATGAAATTGTATGTTATAAGGTAATTGGTGAGTAAATATTGAATCCAAACCTTAATGTAATGAATGCATTCAAATCTTTCTGAGAAAAGTCGAATGATGGATATTTCTTTCCAAAAATTGCATGTTCCCATTCTTTGAAAGTGCTTCTCGTTTGCTTCTCAATCTTCAATTCATTGTCTGCCTTTACCATTAATTTCAAACCTTGCTCTTCAAGAGAATAGTCCCTATCCAAAGCTGTCCACTGTTCGATCAATCTCACTGTAAAAGTATTTACAAGAAATTGAATGTAAGTTTAACATATTTTACTATGAAAATAAAAATAAAAACAATATTTCCATAAGTACCTATAATGTTACTGAATGTTTCATCAGCTGCCGAAGATAAGTGTTCCCCTCTTGCGCGAGCAATATTAGCTTTGACTTTCCTTAAGTTTTGTAATTCTTGTAGCAGCCCCAAGAATCGTTTAGCGTCATTTCGTTTACCTCTTACATCAGCCAAGATTATATCCGCATCCTTACGCATATTATCTTCTTGTTTCTCTCTTTCTATTATATCTTGTTTATTCTTAATCCACATATCAGCTTCAGTATGTAATCGAACTCTACGTTCAGTAATGAATGCTTTCTCAACTTTGTTCTTTGCTCTCTTGCGCTTTTCTCTCAATCTTTTCTTCTTACGCATCTTTAATGCTTTCACAAGGTTGCCGTTGAATTCTGGATCTTTCAATTTCTCCAATAATTCAGAAATTGTACCTTTTATTTCTTTACATTCTTTTAATTTTTCTTTCCACTCTGTTCCTGATAATTCACCATCTTTAAGCTTGGAATGAATTGATTTTAGTTTGTTGCATAATCGATGAGTTGTAATTAATGCAGTTTTGGCTTCTGAAATTTTCAACTGTGAAACTTTCTTGTCCTTATATGAAATCTTATCGGTTGACGCAATTTCTTCTACAAATTTCTCAAGTACTTCTTCGTCGTTTTCCCTTAATTCAATGGTTAAAACTGGTAACGATTCATTGTTAAAGGTGTGTATCGACCCATAAACAGGATTAAAATTAGCTTGAAAGCTGGCATTGTAAGTATGCATGGAGCCATGGTTGTCCACATTTACCGAGGATCGTTGATCCACATGTGGTACAAAATAGTTGATTCCAGAAATTTCCGAGGAACCCTGACTATACATTGTACATTGACATAAACGAATATACCGTATTTATAGAGTTTAGGAACTTAGAACTACTTAGTACCTAATATTGGAAAAGTTATTAATCGTTCGTTGGTGTATCAATTAGTAAATGCAAAATATAGCTGATAAAAAATTGTTAAATAATTTTAACTGAATATTCCTTGTGAAGTTTGTTTAATTTAACATAACAGAACATCCCCTTCTTTGGGGAGCTGCTTCTCTGCGTCGCGTAATATGTTCTCGGCCTCGACGTATGTTTCCGTATCCTTCAAATCTTGCTCTGTTTCCAAAATCTTTTTAAGATCGTCAAATGCTTTAGCAAGGCGTCTCTGACAATCCGGCACCATCATCAGGGATTCTTGGAGAACTTCCTCCTGCTTTTTTATGTCATGGACATCTTTGCCTAAGCAAACGGTACATTAATATTAAAAATAATTATAAAAATCTACGTCGACGTTGCGACTCAACATTCAGAAATACAACCGTAATTTAGCAGTAATATTAAGGAGAGTCAAGCTCAAGAATATCCCAGAATGTTCGAAACAGTCTATACGATCAATGCGTATGAAGTGTCCTCACCCTGTTCTTTCAATTTCTGTATCCTCTCCCGCTGTTTTGCAGCTTCGGTTTCATACGTTACCTTCTCTTTGGCAAGTCGTTTCACCACTCCGGTTTTGATAGTTAACGTGCGAATGCGCGGATCTGACATTTTTCTACAAGAACCTAAGTAAATAATTCCGTATATATTAACATGTGCGAAAAGGCGAACAGACTTTCCATATAAGGCGAGACAAATGACGAAGAGAATACATACGAGAAAGCGGCGAAATTTCCTGTGCGTATAGGTTATGTCACTGCCGCATCTGGCGCTTGACGTTTATCGAGATCGAATCGAACCTCGCTTTCGAGATATCGACCATTTTCGAACGATCGACCGTCGTCTGGTACCCATTGTCGCTTCAAAGTATAAAATGCCCAAAACCAGAGGATTTATTGATCTTTCGTCATCCAAATAAAGTGTGTCACAGTACAGGAGTTAATTCTAATGAAGCACTTTGAAAGAAATTGTCTCATTAGAGAGAATAACGCGTTAAATGCGGTTGGCAGGAGGCCGGCAGGCGTGGCTCGAAGTTCAAAATGGCGGCGCGGCCGTCGGCGAGTTCGAGCACGTTCGGTCTCGCGGTGCACTTCAGAGAAGTGTTCGCGTTTCCGCAGAGAAGAACGCTACGTTGTGTCCGCACTGCTGGCCGCGCTGAAGGAGGAAGCCGATACTCGGGCTGATTGTGCCTCGACTCGCCGTTGATTCCCCGAGAAATGTAAGGGAAAGAGGAGTTGAGGTACCATGCAAGAAGACGCGTTCCCGGCCGCCGAGAAAATCCTTTCCGACATCGAAAATGTGCTGAAAAAGGACACGAATCTGTGAGTCTTCGCTGGGTGGAACAAGGGCGGGGTTTTTGAATACGCCCATATGGACACGACCGACGTGTTTGACGTTTAAACGTCACGATCAGCCATGCACGTTGCATAGTTTGCATCCCATTATCTAGAAAAGTTAGCATATTCGACGATCGCGTCGCTGTCGTCAGATAGATTGCCGCAGTTGCGGCCGCTGCGGGATCGACGACAGCGCCGCGGTCGGCATCGCGGCGATCGGCGTTACTACGGGTTACTTTTTCCTTATCGTTCCTCCACTTGATTTACCTTCGTTTTTATAAAATATAGTACACGTTACAAAATAATCGCAAAATCTGATAACGTAATGTGTCGCGATAAATATCCAGGAGTGTTGCTAATATTTCTATATTATTGCAGGGTCAGTTTCGAGATAATCCCGGCTCTGGATAACGAGAACAAGTCCCCGGTGTTCCACGACCAACACTCCCTGGGTCTGGCCTCCTGGAGCGTGAAGCCACTCTACTTCTACACGTACAATCGTCTGCTGGAAGTTCGAAGGAATCGTCACCGGCGCGAGGAGCCGGACACCCTGGCGAGATGGCTCCTAGGTGCTCTTCTGCTGAACCCGGACGTCTCGACCTTTTGGAACATGAGGAGGGAGCTGGTGAGAAGCGGCAGGCTGGAGCCCGTGGACGAGCTGCGTTTCGTCGCACTCGTCCTCTACTACAAGGCGAAATGCTTCGAGGCCTTTGCCTACAGACGATGGCTGATGCGATTCGCATTGGAAGGCGAGCGACCAGCGGTCGAGACGGTCGAATGCTTTCTAAGGAACGAGATCGACGTGGCGACGACCTCGGCGAACAGGTACGCGAACAACTGCCACGCCTGGAGCCACCGGGAACACGTGGTGACGATCCTGGAGAAGCTGGCTCCGGGCCGGACCCGGGCCCTCCTCAAGGCCGAGTGGGAGGCCACCGGGAAGTGGTGCAACCGGCACGTCTCCGACTACAGCGGCCTGGCTTATCGACAATTTTTATTAAAAAGGCTCGTCGAGGACCTGTATCGAGAGGAGCAGGAGGTTGCCGAGAAGCCCTCCGAGGACGAGCTGGCGAGGCGAAGAGAGGCCCTCTGCGAGTTCGTTGGCGTCGCGGCCAGAGGCTGCAACGACGTCTTCCTGCTGCAAAATGGCTCCTCCGACGAGTTCCTGGAGGTGATGCACGGTACTCGAGGAGGCAAGAGGCCGGCCACCGACCACGACCGCACCCTCGTCGGGTTGTCCTATTGGACGGAGGAGGTCGTCCTCAACGAGGATCTCATCAACTCTTACCCTGGCCACGAGGCTCTCTGGTACCACAGGAGGTTCCTTGCGCATGCCCTGGTCGTTCTCGTCGCCTCCTACGAGGAGTCCTCCTCCTACAGGACCGCTGTTTTCGACTCTCCTATCCGCGGGCGAGCGACCTCCAGGGCACCTTCCGAGGAGGACGCTCCGTCCAGGGGCCTCCTCGAGCACGCTTTCGGGACTCGCAACAAGGAGGCCATCGCCACCGCCAGGAGGTTCGGACTACACCAGAACACCATGGCTGATAGGTTCCTGCAGTTTCTTGGCTGCATCGGCCTCGAGCCGTGATCCCGGTTTAGGTACCTAAATAGATGTAAAGAATGTATTTTTAAATAAACCATAGTTCGCAGTTACGTCGTCGAGTGGTCTTTCGCCCTCTGGTATCTTCGGATATTGGATTATTATCGGAAGACGTCTCGAAATGGGTGCAAGGTCCATCCCGTAATGGCGTTGTTTATAAAATAAACATCGTGTGGTTTAAATAATAAACATCAAACTTTTCAATGGTACCTAAGCCGGCATAAACAGTCGCCGAGGGGCTCTCTTCTTTTATTCGATCCGAGACTATTTTAAAGCCTGAAGATCTCCAGAACCATCGCGAGTGGGAGTTCGACGCATAGGAAGAGTGAGTCACTCTTCGGGGTTTCTCTTTCCGAAATTCCTGAATTTTTCGCAAATCGATCTCCTTATTTACCATATGTTTGATAGCTCGAAATATTAAATTAAGTTAATAAGTACGCGCGGTTCTCTCGTAGAAATCGGTCGGTAGGAACCGATTAGAATTTGTGCCTGAAATTCAGAATGTCTAGAGGATGTCACGAGGTGGTGCAGGAGAATGATAGATTTAAGCGATCGCCGAAGGTAGAAATCGGTGCTTCCGGGAGGGATTTCCGCTGTTATGAAATATGCTCCCTGGTCTTAGCGAGAAGGCAACTCGCCGGTGACATTGACGACAGATTACTTCATAACATATTAGCCGACACTCACACGTGACATTTTTCTATCATTTCCATTGGTCGATCCGCGCGGTCCTCTACGTTAAGCAACGCAAGCAGTCGATAGTCATCCTCGGACGTAGACGGCGTTAACTTAATCGCGGAACTCCCGGTTAGTGTCGTGACGGGCTGGACTGCCGAGCGACTTCTGGAGAGCAGGGTTCGTTGATAATTTTTTTAACTCCACTTTTCCATCAACCCCACTCGTAAATAAAATATACCCGTTCCATAAAGGTCCCCTGCGCCAGGATAAATATTTATTTACATTGATAAGAGCCCCAGTTCCGGTGAGAAAAATCAAGAGGGAGAGGAGAAGTTCCACCTTGGGTCCGTCCCTTTGGTCTAATTTAGCCTAGGTCCTAGAATGTTAAAAAATCTGGCATTAATTCCCTGCATAGCTTAGACTTTAATTAAAGCATTTGTCTACTTTTTTTAGTTGTAATCCAACATTAACAGAGAGGGGAGGTATTTTGAAGAGCAGCTGGGCAGGCATGGGGTCGAGCAACGAGGAGGACCTTGCTACCGGAACAGGACTTCGCCGAGGCAACAGTCTGCGATTGCTTTCGCCCGCGTTATCGGAAGGTACACGATAGTCCCATAAATGACTTCCTTATCGAGCGGATACCTGCGATAAAAAGTATGAGCGAATTTTTTATTAACGCCAAGCGGTGCTGTTATCACGAATCGAAGGGCGCGACGAGCGGCGCAACGAAACGGTCGATAAAGTGACGATCGCGGGCCTTTCGAGAGGTATTTTTAGGAGGCCGAGCTTTTACGCACTTCGTGGAAAAAGCTCGTACACGGCTTGCGTGGATTTGGCTCGTAAAGCACCGAAAGGCTTCCCTCCCGGCGAGCGCGTTTCGTCTTCCTTCAAGCCCCAGGGGGTCGCACGAAATGGCGTTGAGCTTTCGCAATGGAGAGACGAGAAAAGTTCGATTTTCCTCCTTCCCCGACCCCCGTCGAAGAAGTGCTTAATTTAAGCGCCATCGTCTGGCGACTGTCTGCCAAAAGCGTGGCTGTGACGCGAAAACCTCGAGCCATCGTCACGAGGCTGGTCAGGGGCGAGCTTCTCTTTTATAACTCCTTCGAATATTTTTTTCTTTCATTGCTAAATGTCCGTTCGATACACCCCGATATGTCAGAGAAAATGGATGACAAACTGTGACACATTGCGGAGCGAACGGTGACTTCTCGAGGTGCGGTGTCCTCTCGAGCTTCACGCTCGAGGAGCGTTCGACAGCGGTCGGGAAATTCCCATTTTCTGTCCACGGAATCCCTTGTATAGAAAAACCGTAGAAATAAAAGTTCCTCGCCATGTAATTCCCCGCAACTTTTGTCGAGGGTAATTTCTTCTAGAGTGTACCGTTTAGCCGCGAAATCTCATTCATACGAGGGGCTCTGGCGCTCGGCATCGGGTGCGCATCGGTGAGTGCTTAATCGAGCTTTCGAGTAATTTACAAAGAGGCCGCAATTAATACTCGCTCGGACCACCCGGTAACCAGAAGCTGGGGCTAATCGACGGCGAAGGTCGAGGAATATCGTTGGATTAAATTAGTTCGGGTTCTGGCGTTGCATACGAGATGTAAGGCGAGCTTCCGCACCGGCTTCCCGTTTAATTGCCTGGTTAAACGATAGTTGCGAGAGTCCCCTCGGAGTGGTCACCATTGTCTGTCGCCAATTAATTTTACGTCATCGCGCGCACCGTGCAATTACCGTTGCACATTGTCTCGAGGAACTTGGGCACTCCGGCCGATTTTTCCGACCCTCGATTTTCGACTTTTGCGACGTTTAGGAGGATCGAGCCGACGATGCCGCGCACAGGTAACTAGATGTTTCACTTCCGGCGCCAGGTGCGCTTCCTCAGGGCTTACCCTGGCGTACTTGGCAGAGAGGGTCGTCCTCTGGGTGGGACAAATCTCCCCCAGGGTGGAGGTCGCTCCGAAAATACCGTTGAATGAAGTTCGATAGAAATCGCGCCGCGAATCCTCGGGCCCGGGTCCGCATTTCGCGGTCACGTTTTCCGCCTCGGATGCGCGGCTTTTTGCCAACGAATCCGAGACCAGGTTTGACGTTATTACGGTGTCCACCGAGAGGCTCCATTCAGTAGGCGGAAACCCGGGATAGAGATTCGTTCCTCTCGTTTGTCGACTCGGCGTCGGGGATTTTCCAACGAGTCACGGGTTCTTAAACGCGACGCCGGATTTAGCGTGACTCGGTGCACCGACCGCGATGGCCCTGGAGACGCTACACGACGAAGGTAAATTCCTCACCAACGTCTAGATTTCTACGACCTATTTTTTTTTTTCCTCCACTCCATCCCACCTTCAACGACTGCGACGAATAATTCCCGACCGCGCTGCCAACTTGTTAGGATTCTGCGACTGTACATAGGTATTCTCTAATTAAGCATCGGCTTCGCGCGGAGGGAAATTCGTGGGCGCGATAAACACTTCTTAAGATTCCTCGACATGCTTTTTTTTCCCTCTGATTAATCCCTAGTTTCCTCCTACGAAATATCTGAGTCACGGTGATCGCGTACACGCGCGCGGGGTCATTTTCCACTGAGGATAAAAATTCCATAAAAACAAATAGTAGAGAAGAAACATATTAATTCAAGGAATAATCATTTGGCCGAATGGATTCATATAAATTCTCACGATTCCGAGGAAACGTCGCATATGATTTATTTTATTTCAGTCAAATCATTGAATGAATTTAGGAAATATTTAATTTGGTACCATTCAAGGGAAACGTTTCATTGTTTCAATGAATTTCTTTTCTCAGTGTACGTAATCGGTTCACGTAATGCAGGCACTTACTTATCGTGCATGCAATAATATTTTAAGGGAATTAAAACTCCTGCCTCTGTTTTCAGTGTTTGACGCACATTGGAGTCAGTGATTTCTCGTTCGACCGATGAATCTAAATTCCCGTGTCCTTATCATGAGTTTGATATCGCATCGTTCGTTTCTAGCGGGTGAATCGGGTACGCAGCTGCGCCGAGGAGGATCCCTCAGGATATTCCGGTCGAAGGATCAGAAGGACCAGAACCGGCTGAGCGTCCCAAAATTGGTCGATCCAGGATCAGCTGATTCCCAGATGGGGCAGTCCAGGGCCGTCAGACATGCAACCGTGGTCGAACCTGCACCGGAACTCCTTGCGAGAAGTCTCCTGCAGCTCGGTTGTCCTGCGGTCTCCATGCCAGAGTAAGTACAGGTCCTGGGAAAGGAAAAGAAGATAGGTTTTAATAAGTGCCATTCATCGGGTACCCTCGGCAGCACGTGCTGCCGAACCCTGAGGAGTAATTTCTGCCATGACTTCATCAATTAAGTCCGTTATTCTCGTGCATCCTGCATCAACGAAGATTGGACCCACCGGCATCAAGCGGAACCTGCCGTCTCACCTGCAGGGCAAAGCGTGTCCTCCACGGGGAAATATCGCGGGAAAACTCATAATGGCTTCGAATTTCCAAGATTAATTCAAGCTAGATATCTCTATCGCGGATAAACGTCTCTACTACGTGCACGTGCAAGTACACGTGTCGTTCCTTCCTCGGCATCTCCATTCAAGGTCGGGCGATCAGCTGATCGCCGCATTAAATCGCTGCCTCAATTTCAGCGGGACAACGGACACCTCTTTAGGAAATTCCAACTTTAATTCTGAGGATAGACAGTCGTGAATCATGGGAACGTTAAAAATAGGAAGTTTTTAAGAAATCTCTTAAAGTGACGGCCTGCTAAGCCTCCATTCAGGTGCGCGTCCAATAAGGCCGATCAGCTGATCGCCGCGTTCTGCCCCTGCCTTAATTCCTGCAGGAGAACGGACACCTCGTTAGAACATTTATCTATAGAAAATTCGACTTATAATTATGATAATGGAATGTCGTATAAATGAAAGATATTTTCGAAACGTGACATTTTTAAAGAAAGTCCTGCTGGGGCTCCATTCAAGCGCGCATCCGGAGAGGGTGATCAGCTGATCGGGCAGGAGGCGTGGAGGTTAAGCTCATCGAGTGCGCCGGAGCGTGCCGGAGTATGCGCGAGTCTCTCGTCGGGATCGACGCGGATCGGCTCGGAGTCGGAGTCGGTCAATAGGTGAGCTCGCCGGCTCCAGAGGCAGGGCGCAGACGCGATTGGCCGAGAGAGGGTGCGCGGATGGCGAGAGCGCCGTCCGCGAGAGACGGGAAGAGGAGCGCACCGGGAGACGTAGGCCGCACCGCGTTGTCGCGCGTCGCATTGCCGTATTTTCCGCAAGTAAAAGGGGTGAGCCTGGGAGGGTACCTCCGGAAGACCCCGTGAGAAACCGCGTGACCTCGTCGGGAGGAGTGTCGGAGGCAGGAAGAGAAAGGAGCCTTCGAAACACGCCTCGAGAGGAGTAGGAGCAGGAGCAGGAGCAGCAGGCTGAGCCCCAGCAGTACCACCATCGGCAGCGGAACCGCGAGGTCCAGCCGCAGGTCGCCGACCACCACCTGGCGGCTGCATCTCGGTACGGTCTCTCGAGGTTGACATCTCGACCCAATTGCTGGGGATTTTTTTTCGCCCACGAGGAAGATTCCAAAAGAGTGCTCTTCGGAGAAACCGTCGAAGACGTCGTTCCAGTTACCGGAGGTATTTCGAGATCGAAGCCGACTCAGAATCTTGGAATCTCTCGAGGTCCCGAGTCCAGGGGGGAGGATCCTGAAATATAAGGAAGCTGCAGGGACGGTTTAAAGAGACGGGGAGAGGAAGATTCATCACTTGGGCATCCGGGCCGATTGGAGCTTACGGCATCTCGAGAGCAGCTTCCGAGGTCTATCGATTGACTGCGCAGGATTTGCGGCAAGGAAATCGCGCGGGAAGTCGGGTGGGCTCCTTATCGTGGAGCGGGACGTGTGGGAATGAGGACCCGGGTGGTATCTCGCGGTACTCGGGGCTAGTTTGAATGCCATCCCTGTGATCGTCGAGACGGGACAGTGGCGCCCCTCTACTGGACGGCCAGCTACGACACAACTCACCACAGGTGCGGCATGCGCGAGATCATGCGCCGATCCAGGGGACATCCATTGGGATTATCGCGTCTAAAAGAAATATATAGTTTTTAGAAATAACTCCGAGATAAATCGCTCGGTCGACGGCACCTGACGCGTTTGTCATGCCTCGCACTAAATACGCATACAAGTAAACGGTATTTACCTCGAAGCACTTAGTAAAATAAATTCCAGATTTACGTGCGTTAAAATAATAAATAAATATAGCATCCCATTTATTCGGGTTTGAGAGAAATAATTATTCTTTGAATTAATAAAATGTTTCTTGGGTACTATTCAAATGCCTTTGGTTAAATGATATTTCTTTCTTCGGTGCAGACTTTGGGTAAGGTATTTTTAATTACCCTCTTTTTCAGGCCCCGTGGAGGAGTAGGGTCGGAGCAGGTTCCCAGCAGTGACAGCGATGATTCCACGACGGCCCAAGGACACCATGGCAGCGCACATGGTCCTCTTCATGGCCACGGTCAAGGTCAGGTTGAAGGCTTCGGCGTTCCGAAGGTCCACGTCTCGGGCCCTCCCAATGCAGCCGATCCTTCTGTCCTCAACGGGTAAGTCAATTTATAAATCATTTTGCAGATTTTGGGGGTCCATGCAGATCCATGTCGAGACTTACCTATCTCTGTAAGCACATTTCAATCCGGAAGCGGAGATGGTCACGCTCGGCCTGACGTGGCATCTTTATTTTTATTTCCCTATCGCTAGTGCAGCACGATGCACATTTCTTGCCAGAGATCTCCGACGTGAGCTAGAATTCTAGTTATCACTTACCAATCGCACGACAGAGCGCGATAATGACCCATGAACTGCACTTGTGTTGTACACATCTATACCGGCAATAATAAAATGCGGATCGTTTTATTCGACACTTGCCTTGAGTTTTATTGCTTGAGATAAACGAGCATACATTCTCGTTGTGTCCTTCCAGGGTGTAAAATGCACCGTATAGATTTTTCTAAACTTCACTGCATGAAATGATACTCTAAGGTTTCCTACGTGTAGGTAAGCTTTTGATATTAAGGTTAATCTCGTTGGTTCGGTCCCGACCTCTGATGTATGTCTCGTCAATGCCACGTGTGGGTCACACTCAGGTCGATGTATATATATCTCTGCGATCAGTGCTCTCGGCGACTCTGCAAAAAGAGGAATATTAATTTCTACGTAGAGACTCGAGTGTGACGAAAGAAAAAAAAAATTGCGTAAAAACGTCGTACGTGTGTCTTTTGCGTCAGCGTTTTGGAATATTCGTCGACACGGTGGATTCCTTGGCTTGGAAAAAAAAAAAAAAAAAACGAGGCCTTGATCTTGAGTACCAAGGTGTGCGGATTACGCACCTGACAGCCCGTGGCAAGGAATTCCGGCAAATTCCATCGTTTCCTGTTCTTCCTATACTTCGGATTCGGTAAATCCGCAAACGTGAATCCTGAATTATGAATTTCTTCGTGTTCGAGTGAAATAATTGTTCCCCGGATTAACGATATACTTCATTGGTGGAATATTTTCCTTTTTGTTATGGTCGGCGAATTTTCGTTTAGACAAATCCTTGCCTGCAAGGAAATGGAAAAGGCATGTAAAAGAGATTGAAAAGTGTCATCGATTCAATTCTTATCTGGAGGAGTCCCAGAACTGCCGTGATGGCATTCGCGGGTAAAAACAAACCGTTTTCAGAGGTGACAATAAATCTATTTCCGCCAGCGAGGGAATGGCCTGTTGTGCAGCTTGCAAAGCTCGGGCGCGTGTTCACCAATAATTACCCTCGAGAGGGCGTTTCTTCGTAAGCTATTAATACAGTTGCCTATACTTCGTTTGCGATAGTAGAAGCTCGCGACGATTCCCAAACAGCCATTCGATTCAATTAACCTCGATTCGCATCGGCCCTTTCGCCGAGTGGGACACGAAAACGAGTGATAACCGAGTATCGTTACGAGTTAATTTCCAACAAGTATCGATACACTGTACTACGCTATACTCTATCCTAATAACAGCTCGAGACGATAAAAATTTAAAAGAGCAGTCTACTTTCAGCGTTTCGGTTATCTCATTACAAACTAGACGATGATTTCAATGCATCTTGATCTCAGTCTCAGAAAAAGCAAGATCAAGAACAAGACCGGGCCCACCATGGTCTTGGTCTTGCGCTTGCATAGACTAGTCTTGTGACATCCTCTGTACGATAACCCCGTGATATCAGCCCTCGAGACGAGAGGGCCGATAACGAACCATCATAAGGATGCTAAACAAACCCCGCGTCAGCCTATGAAACTCGATCGAGGAAGCCTATCTCTCTTGACGGAGATCCTCGAGCAGTCTCATCGGGCTTCCCTAAGTGCGCGTTTTCTGTCGGATCATCCACGCGGTTCGTCGTTATACGAAAAATTAACGGAGGAGACTCGGAAGGATCTAGTTCCTTTCCGGGCTCCCTTCGAGAGGAATCGGCTTGAGGGGCTATTCGCTCGGAAACCAGTGAAAACAATTTCCTCTTTTGGGAACCGATTGCCCTTGATTTAAACTTAAATGTTCCGGTGATTTCCTGTTACGTCTGCTCAGGATGTTCATCTGACCTCCACGTGATTTCGGTATTAAAATCCATAATTTTCTAAGTGAATAACCCCTCGGCTCGTCGAGTGCGCAAACATGCTCGAATAAGTACACGGGCTCGCATAATTGGATAAACGTCGTAGATCGGACACGATTCTTATGACGGAGGTCGTGCCGTGTTGATCTAGGAAAATTTCTATCTCGCTGTTCTGGGTCCGCAGGAAAACAGCGTCGGGTGCAACCAGTCTTTCCGTATTTTGTGCACATTTGCCCGCGTGCAGTCCTCGCTAATTACGTGTGACGTCCTCGTTGCGCCAGCTGTCTCGCATTTGCATCTGACTGCGCTTCGGAGATAATCGCAAAAAATAATGTCGACATCAGACGGTGAGAATTCCCGGCGATTCTTGGCTTCCGCGTTGTATTTCTTGAGGGGCGCCTCCACCTTTTGTCGTAGCATGTCAGACGAACGGGTTGAATCGAAGGAGGTGTACCGAATTACGCTGCAGTGGGTATAGGCGGGTATCGAGCGGCCGCATGCGGACAGCGGAGAAAGAGCGGAGAGCATCAACCGCACCAAACCATGCACCGTTGCACCATTGCACCGGTACCAGTGCACTTGCCAGATTTATGCCTACAACGATGGGAAACAACGAAAGAAAGAGCCTAATAATTAAATTCTAGGAGTATCTCTCATACCCAGAGGTGATTTTTCAAAAAAACTCACGGCTACTGGAAGCGCCAATGAATCGGGCCCCGGGATCACCAGTAGTCATAGTCGGGCACATGGCGGACTTCCATCTACAATTAACGGAAATAATCGAAGAAAGGGAAGAAATATTAAATTCAAGGGGCACTTTCCGTACCTAGAAGCTGTTTTCCCTGAAAAGTCAGTCACAGCTACCGGAAGCAGCGGATAAAAATTCGGGCCTCAAGAAGCGCGACGCGCGGGATCCAAGATGGCGGCGGTGGGCCAATAGCGGTTCGAGCACCCTCGAGGCCCCGCGACAGAACGCAAATATCTCATATTCAGAATAACCCGCGAAGAATACTTGGATAAATGCTTAAAAATAGCCGGAAGATGCTGCATCGGCCAATGATTCTTGCTGGTGAAGACGGAGACTTCTCTCGAGGGTGATTCGGGTGATTCGGGGGGTTCGGGCATGTTCGGGTGGGTTCGGGACTCAATACGCGCGTGGGGGCCCGGGTTCCAAGATGGCGGCCTGCGCGGCGCGAAGGGGCTGCGCGCGCCGGCGGCAAGCAGCGATACGCCTGGCGACGGCGGTGCTCGGCAGCGGCCGGCAGTGCCCCGGCGGTCACGGCCCTGGACGCGTCGTCTGCAAGTGGAGGTAGGTCCAGGCACGACGCCGTCCGGCGAGGAAGAGGGCCTCTCTCGCTGGCGGCACCGAGTGAACGGTGAAAACGGTGCGAACAGTGGAGAAAGTAACTCCCAACGGAAGGTGCACGTTAAATTCGGAAAAGGGAGCGGGAACTCTCACCTGGAGGGAGGAGGGCGACCCGAACGTCGCGAACCTCGCGACCATAAGTGGAGACCGCGCTCGGACGCGTCGGGAGGCGGCAACACCGGGACGGCCGAAGCGGTGCGGGCCGACCGGTCCCGAATCTCAAAAGTTCCACGGTATTCCTAGTGAGAGACTCCTAACTCCCTTGCGCGAGAACTAGAACCCTTAAGCACTCCTCGAGACGTCGAAGTTCTCGGTTGTCGAGGTGATTGAAGATTTTTTACGTTTTTTTCGGGTGCAGTGCGGGAGTGGCAAGGTAGAATCAAAGTGGAACCCCGGTCGAACCGGAGTCGCGCCCTGGCCGGCGTTGGACGATGGGACCCTCCCGAGCTCTGGCGCCGTTGCCACGGTGATCGGACTTTGTTTATAAGGTTCTCTTTGAATTTCTTTTTTCCCCCCCTTTCTCCGAGGAGTCGCAATAATCGACAAATGCACCTGTGGGGGCTGATCGACCGTCGCTGCCGTTTGGTTTTTGTGTATTATTATCCCCCCCTTATGTCTGCCAATAAGGGCAAGGGTGCACCGACGCAGCTCGACCGGAAGGACTTTTTTCCCCTTTGATCCTGGACTTCTCGGAAGGCCGCCACGTTGTTTCGAGCCCTGGAAATACCTCTCGGGGCGTTTAAAAAATAAAGGAGGAGGGGAAAGAAAAAAAAGGAGGAAGACGGAGCGGTCTACGCCAGAGGGAGCCATGACCAGGATTTTCCTTTTTAGCGATGCGGAGACGACGGGAACGGCTAACGGAGTACGCATGCGGAGAGCTCGAATAATTCCTCTGTGCCTTGGTGAACGAAGGAGAGGGTTTACCCGAGGACTGGGAAAAAGAGAGACGAGGGGAAACCGCTTTCTGCAGGAGTTGCGGCGCCAACCGCGGAGTTGCTCTTCGATGCCTAGAGGACACGGACGTGGCGGTAGTTGAACCTTGATCATCTCTTCTTCTTTTTTTTTCTACCGATTCCTCCTAGTCTAACTGATGCACGTCATTGTCAGATGTATATAAGTCCGTGCATCGGTGCGACAACGCCGTTGGGCGACTTTGCAGTGCGACACCTGTGAGACCGTCCAGTCGAAGACGTTGTTTTCTTCTAGACGATCCCGAGGCTCGTTCCACCCCGGGGGGGGGGGGGGGGGGAGAGAGAGAGAGAGAGAGAGAGAGAGAGAGAGAGGCGCGGAAAGGGAGAGATCCGACGACCTTCCCAGGGAAGTCGAGAGAGTCGCCTTCGTGTCTACACCTTGGCGGCTGAGCGGCCTTAACACAGGAGACAAGTGTGTACGACCTCTGCCGACACTGAAAGAAAAGGAGAGGCTTTATCGCCGACCGGTCGTTCCCGAGATCGGCTGAGGAGAGGGCAAAAACGAGACCCGGCTCTGATTTTTAAGACGAGGTCTGAGCGGAATCAACACAGCTGTGGAGAAGAGTAAACGAAGACAGATATTAAATGAAGATTAAACGATGATTAAACAGCGATTTAACGGAGATTGAACCCAGATTGAATGCAGATTTAACGCAGATTTAACGATACCGCAGGTAGACCATCCGCTGTGGATTATAGGAAAGCGTAAACGTTAACAACGGGAGGTGGATCCGAAACCAGGATTCCCCGATCCTGGAAATTCTGGACCGGTGGAGGCAACGCTTTCGCACGTATATTTCACGCGAGCGAAGGCGAGCCATCGTTTCGGGGTACTTTTCAGCTCCCCAAAACGGCGTGTACCGAGGAGGCCGCCTCTTCGATCAAGGACTCCATGATGCTCTGTTTCGTGCAAGGCTTCCACGCCCGCGAAGATACGAAAGTGCGACGATCGAAAAGGTAATTTCGATCTCTTCGAGTTCACAAGGAGACCCTTAGCGTTTAAGGAAGGAGAACCTGCTGGTACTGGGCGGCCGCCCCGGTCGACTCGGAGCGCCCGGAGGACGCGAGAAACTCTCGGTTTCACGGCTAAACGGTGCGTGGTAGAGAGAAACGCCTTTAAGAGAAATTGTTCGTGATGTTTTTGGGAAAAATTTTTGTTCCGGAAGGTTTTCGATATTGCGCACCGTTGAGGCGGGAACCGCGCATTCCTGCGCGAGGCGCGGGATGTACCGTCTCGTACTCGTCTACGGTGTTTGTTAAGAGCAATTCCGCCTGCTTAGGGTGTCAACAGCCGAGGTCTCCGTGCCAATTCCCTCGGCGTTCGTTCTCCGAGTCGACGAACGACCCTCGAACCGATGCCTCGATCTCGCGATAAGTCGTTCTCTAGGAAAGAGCTGGGCCGTCTTCGAGACTCGCGTCCATCTTCCTCTGCGGTCGATATAATAGGTCGGCTCCACTCCCGGCCGACTATTTTCGCGTACCCTCTCATCGTCCCACGAATCCCCCGAAACACGACATCCGGATTCTCGGCGAGGATGTCGAAGTTATCTCTTGGCATCCGCCGATGCGCGCCAAGGATTTGCGAATTCCGGTTCTCGTCGATGCCGTCACTCTCTGAATTAACGTGAAATTATCTAAAATCACGTAAATTCATCTAAACTCACGTAAATCCACCCCCTAAAATCACTCCATGATCACCCCGTGACAGGCGCGAGTAGCGACGCCGTTGCCATGGCAACCGCTACCCTGTAAACAACCGCAAGGAATAGTGCAGCATTAATCATGCATCAAATTAATATATACGCTCACAAGCAAGGCATGCGATAAGAGAAAATTAAAGTTCTGCCTTGAAATCCGGAAAAAGTCGGCCCGTGTAATTTCTGTCAGTTTAATGACCCTCTTTAGGTTCCCGAGCGTGGAGGAGTCGCGTTATAAAGACGCGAGAAACCGGGCCCCGTGATCGAGGTGTACGTCGTTACGCGTCGCGAGGCCGCTAGGCCGATGAACGAGCTGCGACGACGGTTCTCAAAAAGTACCGCTAAATCGAGGCGAACTTTAGAACAACGACCTCGCGGCAGCTGCCGGTGACGTGTTTTTTTACGGGGCTCGACGCTCTCGCGTGCGCCCCGCAGGGCCTCTCTCTCGCTCCCGCGGCGCCGCCACTCGCTCGGTCTCGCTCGCACTCATGGCGCGGGCATAACCCGAGCGCCGTAACTCCGGACTAAAGTCACGCAAACCCGAGATCTATTTGAGCTTTTCGTTGGCCATCGTCGCGACTGCTCGTGAATTCCAATTGCAAGGAATCTTGGCCGCGGAAAGTACACCGTAATTTATTTAAAAAAAAAAAAAAAAGAAACGGGAGTGCTCCTGATTTTTGCAGGCCATGCGTCTGCGGGTAGAAGACCGCTTGGTAGGAAAACTGCGATTAATTAGAGTCGCCAATTGAGATTGTTGTTATCGAAATTTGTTGCCATATAGGGAATCGTATTACAGGCTTTGGATACGATTGTATATTCCGATCGAAGTAACTCTTCGTTGTCAAGCCAGCTCGGAGTACCTGGTGGATGCATTTCTTCGCCGACGCTTTCAATGATTTTAATTGTCTTAATTATTTCTATTATTTTCATTTTTTTTTCCTATTTGTGGGGCATCTCGGGATGAATGGGTTAGTAACTCCCACGTGGAGGGTCTCGCCAAGGTAGACCCTCGTACTCGATGTCGTGGAATATCACATTGCATTGCAGGAACCGCTTGTGCAATGCGGCCTTGCCTGCCTCGCTGACCTCCTTACTTAATAGACGCTCTTCTCTGACCATCGTAAAGCCGGGCATGTCGATATCATAGGGCGATCCTCTCTGACTTTATTCCCCACTTTGGAAGCTTTTGCGACTTGATCTGCTATTTTTTTTTTTACGCAAAATTACGATTTTCTTCTCACCCCTTAAGACCGCCACCTACGGTCGCACGAAGGGACGAACTCGTCACCTGTGAATTTCTCGATTATTACTCACATAAAAAAAAAAAGTAGAAGACATTAATTGAAAGAGTGAAAATTCAGGTTTTCTCGAATGATATAAAAATGAGAAAGGTATAGAAAATATTTTTTTTTATGGGTAAAAAGTGGAGTCATTCTCGATTTTTCTTCTTCATGGCGTCACGTTGTATACATCCCTTTCGGATACATCATGGATGGTTTTCTTTTCTTTTTTCCTGTTACACTCGACGTTATTCTTCGAAACCGCCATCTTGCTCCTTCCTCGAAACGTAACGGCAGAAATAGTCGCGGCTCTTTTGAGCTGCAACGTTTCGTCTTCGGCACCTCTGCGACACGAGGCGACGGCGATAACGCGAGTACCAACTTTGTTCCTCGAGTTATGGTCTTTATCCTGTGATAAACTCCTGGGAAAGAAATTCGAGTCGTCGAGTGTTACTCGGTCGGAACGCGATTACCCCTTAGGGGCGGCGAAATTATCCTCAGACAATGCACTTGCTGAGGCTGCAACCCATGTAGATGCATTTTCCGCACAGGTTGACCCTGACACGTCTGAAATCGCTCCAGACTGGTCGTTACCAGACACCGAGCTCGGTTTGGCAAATACCGCGAATCGGATGCCCGGTTAGCCCGACGAGTACGTGACGGGACGATGCACGTAGAGTGCATAGGTGATGCAGCGCCGGTGCACTCGCTCCGCCGAGCCGTCGCTCTTGTCATTGTGCAAGGCAGGAAGTAAATGATAATGGCCACTTCTGCGTTACGCGATACCCGTGTGTACGCAAACACACGCGCAGCCGTCCCGTTGCACCGGCGAAAAGTGCATCGCTAAGTCGTTCCCTCTCCCTCTGGGGAGGGGGCGGAACTGTTAACGAGCCTTAGATTACATAAAATTTCAGAGTAAACCGAGGCGAGAGGCGATAAGCATCTTGCGGACAATTTTTCCATGTGTGTCGAAAGTAGACGACACGGCGAATCGCATATGCATCCTTGTTAAGCTAGTTGCATATGTGCATGCGCTTGGCGGGGTCGAGACGGCCGCCGATTGGACGGGGCATATGTTATTTACATCCATTATTTAAATTCACTTGGAATAATGGATGAACGTCGCCTATTCTTCCTTTTCTCTCGCCTATCAGGAGATTCACTTGGACTCGGGGTTTATCGTCGATCGATTACCCTCGAGGCGCCGATCTCGAAATTCCGATCGACCTCAGACGTGGTGGCGAAGCGCTCCTCGAGAATCGGAAAAATTCCACGTTTCTCCGAGACATTTTTTGGCGACGTTTGATGGAATGGAAAAAAAAGTTTCATGGAATTTTCTTGATTTTTTTCATCGCCCGGACGTGGGGACGAATTTCGCCCGTACGACGAATGGGCTCAGCGGAGGGAGTTAATTTTTCGGTAAATAATCACCAGGGGCAAAAATAATAAAGGAAGTTTCGACAAGAAATTTCATCGGTTTCTGGGATTGTTACGAGGTTTGCGACACCCGGTGTATGTGCGTCTAGTCGCGGACTTTCGTCTCTCTTAAATGCGCACTTGACGCCACTCGCGTTGCACATGTGCAAGAATACGTCGGCCCTCGGTTTAATATTGGCACTCGAGTAAGAATCCTCTCTGGCATGATGACGGATATTCGCGTCATGATCTAGGATCCACCATGACGTCAATACCGTGTAGGCGAGTCGATCGGAGGACGATGGGAAAATTGAAGTCCAGAAGAAAAGGACGTGTGCATGATCAGTGACGAATGCATCTTCTGTGCGACCGGGTTATCGGGCGCGAGATTAGCCTCGATATTTTCCCTCTACGCGTTTGCGCGACTACGTCGATAAGTCGATAATTCGATAATTCGATAATCCGATCGATCTGCGGTCTTTTCCGCCGATACCTCGACCGGTCCTATCGTTTTGGGTTACGTAGATTGCGAAAATGCGGAATCGCGTAGATAGAACTTAGAGGCCAGTTTCGTATCACCTTATCGATACACTCTTTCCTGGCGCGATTGCTTTTCTATCCGGCTCTCTCCTTCCCGTGGAAAAAAAAAAAAAGAAAATCTTGGGGTCGCGAAAAATGTCACCCTCTGGCCTCGAGGGATTTATCGGAGCGCGTATAGGAGAGCGCACGTCGCTAATCTTGCGTGAGAGTGTGCGTGCACTTGCACGGTACACGCGGTGCAAGTGCGTGAGCTGAAAGGAGGCTGCTCTGTACACGTATCTATTAATATGTACATGTATATGCATGTAAACATAGTCCTCGGGAGAAATATTATCCTCGGAGGCGTTAAACGGAAGGAAAAGAACTATTGTATAGGGAATTTTAAACATTAATGATAACAAGGACGATTCCACAGAGAAATTCAAGCACTGCGAGGATTTATTCCCGAGCGTCGTGTAGGGTCACCGGAAGTAGTGGAACTTCCGCCCTCTTCGGGGTCTTCGTCGGGGCTCTTGAGTCAGGCACGCGATGCCTCGCCAAATGTCGGACTACGGCATTTTCCCAGAGTTTTTTAACTTTGACTTCGCCACACATTATCTTGCGTAAGCGTGCACCTAGGGCAGGAATTATACCTAGGGGTATAGGTGCTGCATGAAGAATTCAGAAGCTCGGAAGGTCGAGTGCCGGAGGACGACGCGGGTTTGACATTTCGCGATCAGTCTTGCGCGATCCGTCCAGGGTGATCGGGAAATCATTTTTTGCAGAACCGTAGTACATGGAAATCTTGGATTTCCCCGATTTCGTTGATTTCTTAGATTTCCTCAATTTCTTAGATTCCCTCGATTTCTTAGATTTCCTCGATTTCTTAGATTTCCTCAATTTCTTAGATTTTCTCAATTTCTTAGATTTCCTCGATTTCGACGATTTCGTTAATTTCTTAGATTTCCTCGATTTCCCAGATTCCCTCCACTCGCACCTGCAGAACCTTCAATCCGAGCAATCTCGCGACTGCCGTTAACAGTGCCCCGGATTTTTGCGATCCCCTTATCAGATAAAGCAGTCTTTTCGAGACATATCGGAGACCAAGGTGTACCGGTCTCTCGGATCGGCAAACAAGTGCAGGAAAGAAGGAAGAGACTCTCATAAACACGACGGTCGTTATCTTTGCGTCTCTCGATCTTTGAGCTCGGCCAGGACTCGGAATTTAAAGGATTGCCCCACTTTCCCGGCCAAAAGATACCCATTCTCAAAAAACCAATTTTTCCAGAAAATAACTCAAACGAAATACCCATCACTAAGCATGTACGATCATTGAAATGCACCCCAGCATTCTTTTCTTCAAGCAAAATGGACGATACAAAAATTCCTTCCCTGCATTTAAGCGGTTGCAAAATAAATGCTCGTTGATAGGTATTATAATTATTTCCTAAAAAAGTTTCTCATTTTTTTTTTTTTTAATATCAGGGGGGTTTAGCCCTTTAAACTTTTTCAAAATATTCCAAATAGGTCGAAGATCTTTTTTGACAATGGAATTGGAGACTCCAGCCCTGATCGAGTTTTGCCTCCGGTCTCCTCCGGTCATCAGGACGAGGTACGGACTTGTCCCCTGGACCCTCGTCATTCTAAGAGGGAGGGCCGGACTCTGTCTGGAGGACCGCAGGAAAATTAGAAATTAATGATTAATCGTCTAAGAGGCACCATCTCCAGTGGGAAGAGAAAAGCGTACAGTGAGGTGGCGGGGAAAATTATAAAAGCGTATCTCGAGGCGCCTCCAAGCTGACCCCAGAGTCGGGGTCGACGCGATCCCACGTCGAGGGGGCTTCGCAGAAATTTCCACTTTAAATAGAAAACGGGGTCCTAGGATGGCGTTCTTTAAATCCGCGAAAAGTCGAGAACTCGAGCGAGCCAATCCTGCTCCTGGAAAACTGCCTCTGGCGGAGGTCCAACGGAGCCTCTTGGTTCCCACTTGGCACTGGTTCCAGGATACTCCGAAATCCATCGATATGGTCCTGGAGAGACGATAATTTCTCCCCGTTTTCTTGGTTTCAGGTCCGCTGGGTCCCTAGGAGCTCGCTCGGCTCCTAGCACTCCTCTTCAGGGCGTCGCCGGTCCTCAGGGTGTCGCCGGTCCTCAGGGCGCCCAGCAGCCCGCCGTGGGGAGTCAACTCACAGTCTCCGGGAACAACAGCTCTCGACAAACTCCCCCCAGGAGTCCCAGTCACACGACTCTGAAACGGAATGACAGGTGGGAGAACGTTAGAACGGGTAGAAATTACCATTGATTATCGGGGAATTTAATTAGGTATGCACATACCGATAGTAGGAGTTGTCGGTGATAAGGATTTTAAAATTGGCTCTGAATGGTTTCCTCTCTTCAACATTTTCCAGCAGGTGTTCGATCTGTGAGAATTTAATCAACATTCCGAGACGATTATCGCTCTCATGGCGTCCGGAGATTTTTCTCTCCTTTCCCTGATCATTGGTGTTTTACAGCAGGCTTATCGTCGGGCGCTACCACACTCCAAAGATAATGTCCCCAGTGGAAGATACCAGGTCTTATCAGCCTCGTCTATGTATTCCCACTCTCCGAGTCAATTTTTCCAATGTCTTCTGCTTCCCCCTGAAGAAGATCGATCGGCTCGATCAAGATCAGCCTCTGATCTTCTCTAAATCTTCCGAGCCTTGGGGAAGGCTTCGCGATAGACCCACGCGCTCGAAAACGTCCCAAATCTCGACGAGCCACCCCTCGCACCGGAAAACACCTCGAACAAAAGTTACTCCCCTTCCTCTTCTCTAAAAATTTCGTAGGACCCATTTTCCCACAGAACGCTCCATTATCGCGGAAAACGGGAATATATTGCAGGGAGCGCCCTGCACCTGTCGGTCCGGTCACAGCTCCAGGTTTCGAATTTCAAGGTTTTTCCAGTTCCGGGCCGAGGTCCATCGGCGGACGCGCAGCTGCAAGTGCCGGGGGAATTATGGAGATTAAGTTAAATAACACCGAAGTTGTTTTGCAATAGCAGGTGGTCGGGCGAGGCCGAGTGCGCGTGCGCGCGCCTCGTATCCGCGCACACGCGCTCTCTATCTGGATCTCGCGACAAGACTGATACGGATGATAACGACGGCTTAAAAAAGGCTGGAAAAAACAGAGAGGAGTAGGCCTCGACCTCTGGAGTCTAGTCGTCGGCCGATGACCGGGCCGGACGGTCGCTTCCATGTCGACGGGGTCTTCGGGTTCCTCTTCGTCATGGAGGGCCTCTCCATGGATATGTGCAGCAATGATCTCTGGAGTCCGATGATCGTTAGAAGGAAGATCAACAGGTCTCGGTCCTCGCCCGGTACCACGTTGCCCCTCTTCAGGGTCTCCAAAAATCCGGACGAGGCGATTGCCCCGGACAAGTCGCGCCTCTCGTTTGAACAGGTGTCCAGCTCCCAGGTCTCTTATCGACGGGACTCTTCTCCTTCTGATTGCAGTCAGCTCTCGAAGCCTCTGAGCAAAAGCACGCCCTCCATGACAGCCAGCTCGGGGAGCAGCCAGACCTCGACCACGACGGTCAGCAGATCCTCTGCGAGATCTACCACCAGCAGCGGTCGCCAGAAGAAGTTCCACCGACACTTCACCCAGGTAACGATTACCTTCCGACCAGGTGAAGCGCCCCATCGAAGGAACGCGTGGATCACTTGGATGTGTCTTGCACCATCGGTCAAATGTTGTGTCGTGTCGCACCGCACCTGGACCGACCTCGAAGAGGCTGCACTGAGCGGGGACTTTGCCATCTAGGCGAGATAAGAGGATTAAATTTATTTAAATTGTAATTATAAGTGAAAACGTCACTTCGTAGGTGGAATTTAAACCGATAGAAATTCCCGGGTAAATTGACACATATAATAATTAGTTATCCCGATGTCGCAATAAGTTGCAGTGGAATTACGTCTTTTCCGTGATGACACATTAAACAAGTTAAGTTATAAAAAATTAGAGTGGGATTTTTTTCGCTCAGTGTCAAGCCGTTAGTCGGGTAGGGTCTTTTAATCAGGGGTTTTTAGGCGCGTTATCGTGTTTATACGGACGGAGGCTCTTTTTCCATGAGGCGCTTCAAGGTCCTCCTCGTCTGCTTCCGGGTGTAAGATCAGTGCCGAGGTGAATTTAGTCTTCGAAATTCTGCAACCAGGTCGCTCCGGACGAGCGGGTGCTCAACTACTACAGCTGCGCCCTGGTCGGCGACATCCTGCTGCAGGGGCATCTGTACATCACGCCGAACTACTTCGCCTTCTACAGCAACGTCTTCGGGTACGTGACCAAGCTGCTGATACCGACGACCTCGGTCCTGAAGATAAGCAAGGAGAAGACCGCGAGGATCATCCCGAATGCCGTGGCGATCGCCACCGAGGACGAGAGGCACGTCTTCTGCTCCTTGCTCTCGAGGGACTCCACCTTCAAGCTGATGAAGCAGGTCTGGGATGCTGCCCTGGAGCCGAGCCCGGCCCCGGACATCCTGCCGTTGCCGGAGGTCGAGGCGAAGCTGCTGCCCCCGGACACGCTGCTGGTCGACGACTCCGAGGTGAACCCTGAAGAGGACGATTCCAGCGAGAGCGGGATCGACCGCACCTCGAGGCCTCCTACGGTCACCGACACCGACGGCCAGTCCGCCCAGGAAGTCCCGCAGGTCGGCTCCTCCCTCGCGAGGTGGGTACTCATCTGGTAAAATGTCCACTAGAGCGTCTGGTTTGCCCAAATGCGACATTAATGACCCGATAAAAAAAAAAAAAGCTTAATCGCATTAAGATGTTACTTCTTTGGTCATTTGTCTTAACGTAATCATAGTTTTCTTTGTAGACTGGAACCTGCGGCGGTGGTGGTGGCGACGACCCCGACGTCGACGAGCATACCTACCGTCACGTTGACGGAGAAGTCGACCCGGTCGACCAGCTGGCTCCCTTGGGACAGACTTCAACCTGGCACGGTGATCGCGGTGCTGGTCGCCCTCCTGGCCGCGCTCTACGTCTCGGCGGCCCTGATGATGATCAGGATCGACCGGCTGCACACGGCGTACCTGAACCACCCCCTGGCCTCCCCCGAGAGGTTCACCCAGGACCGACTCCTGCAGTACCTCAACTCCAATCTCGACCAGATCGTCAAGGTGCGCCAGGTCTCCTGGGAGGAACCACCTTCATCGATAACATAATTTCTCATTTTTCATTCGAACATGTTTCTCAGGTCAGGCAGAGCCTGCAGACGCTGTCGCAGCAGTTCGTCGCGATAACCGAGGGAGGTGACCCTGGTGCAAGGGTGTCCGGGGGTTCGACCGACCACGAGGACGCTCCAAGTTAGCCCAGGGTCAGAAGAAGCGATGCCATTCGACCGAAAACCACACGAGATCCCCCTCGCCCCGCTAGCGTATGAAACGCGACGTAAAAAAGGACTCAGAGGACGGACCTCCACGGCCAACGTCGACTTCCGGCACCCTGAAGAAATTAGGCACCTAGACTTCGGATCTCCGAAGAGTCGCCGGACCTTTCCCGCCCGGGCGGAGTGTCGTCACCCGGGCGACCTCGTCTGTAGGGACAAGTCGGGGAGGGGCTTTCGTTTTTTTTCTTTTTCTTTATTTCTCTTTTTTATATAACTAGTCACGCGTACCTTAGCCCCGGGTACCAAAGCAGTGGACGGGAATAAAAAGCGAACAGACAGAAATCTATATATATATATATATACACGCATATATATATAAATCTATGAATATACATACATATATACAAATATATATATATGTATACACAAGGTAATAGTGAATGAGGTATCTCGAGGTTACTCGCTCGTTATTTAGATACTAAGTAACGTGTGCTCGCAGCTAGTCTGGCGGTACAGCCATTCGCAGGGGGGCGACAGCGAGTGGTCGTTCACATACATAAATATGATTATTAGACGAGGGGCTCCTTCTTGACGAATGGGAGATTATTCAGGGAAATAGAGCGGAAGATTTTGGACGATACTCCTTTTCGGAGGATATTTTGAGAGCCCCTCTTGAACGCGCGAGGACTCGCGGGGCGAGTTTTCGACCCTGGCGAGATCTGCTGCGAGGATTGGCCTTCTTGTGTCCGATCGTCTGCTCGAATGATATAGATCGACGATGATGATCGGCGATCGGCTCGTCGATGGGTCGGTTTATCCCTGGGGAAGTGGAGACCATCGGCGACCGGGCGGTCGCGAGCGAATGCGCGAACCGTAGGTGATTGACTGTGATAATTAAGATTGCGGATGCTGGGCCTGGAAGGGGGGTCGATCTCTCGAGGAAGACCTATTGACGACCCCTTGATCGATAATCGGTCGCTCGGGTCCCTGGGAACAACCCTTACACTGATAAAAATCGATGGAGATTTACGCACTATTTTTTTTTTTTCGACACATCTAGTAACTGAATTTTCCACGTGGAAGGACGTAAGATGGAAAAATGAAATTGAATTATTGTATGTAAATTTACATCGACATTTTTATCAGTGTAGTTGAGGAATTGGTGGAGTGTACTCGAAGATCGACCGCCCCTTGCGATCCTCGGCAGGGGATTTAAATGAAAAGTGCTGTTACATTAATTAGCCGGTAATCTATCTAACCGTAGGGATGCGATGTATTCACGTATAATTGCCTCTTTAAGTTCGGTCGGCCATGCTGTAACGTTTTTATCGTCCTCGTTATTGTTAATTCTATCTCCGTGACCGCTCCCCGGCGGCCCGTTGCCATTGTCTCGTTGTCATTGGACTCGTTGTTTCTCGATGAGAGGTAGTGGTTGTTATATCATTACTGCGACTAATGTTCTTACTAATACCATTAGTTTATTACGTTTGTATCGCGGACAGGAGCGCCGCCGATTTCGGGACGCGTATTTGCAATATTCGATGTCCATGAAAAGGGAAGCTCGGATTGCTTCCTTCGAGGAGTCCTCGTGGACTGGACTTTTTTTTCTCTTTTTTTTTCCCCTTTAGCCTCCGTTTTGCGCCCTCGAGGGAAACGTGGACGGCTCTTTCGTTCCTTTTTATGGCGTCGACTCTTTTCGACGACCCTTCGTCGCCGGGCATCGATCCCGACCGAACGGGGAAGGACAAATTGTGCCGTTGGCGTGATAAAAAAGAAGAAGAAGAAAAAAGAAGGAACGAATTTCGGGAATTTCATTCACCTCGCGAGAACCCATCGCCGAAATTTGCCGTAGGACTTTCCGGTCGGTCGCGGACTCGAGATGTAAAAAGGACATTAAGGATTAGGGATCTCCGATATGAATTTTCGAGGGAAATTGGAGACATCCTTCTTCCTCCCGAGGGAAATATTTGTATCCTTAGAACTTCGAGGGAATTTAACGAATGGGCTATATCTAAATTAGAGTTGAAGTTTGAGACAATTCGGTGGACTCGGGGAAAATATTTGATAGATGAGATTCTTAGACGCCATTTCGACATCACCTTAATTAAGGCTGAAATTTCGACTCCAGCTCTTGACTGAGATCCAGAGAAGGGATAGAAGTGCTGAAATTCTAGTCGGGGGCGAGGGGAGATGTTGCGATCGATTCCTTTCTTGACCGTGCCAAATTTATTCGGAATCGATTTATCCCGATCGGTGGAAATGATTTTCGAGCCCGCGACTCGACTTCCGGCGAGACGCGATTAGCGTTGTAAGATCCTCTCGTGCGTCCTTCTCCTGATTTATGTGCGACTACTTGCCTTACGCTGTAATGTGTTAGACTTTTTAGAAGGGTGCTCAATTACACGGTCCATTTTTTCGTAGGACGTCGCGTTATTTAAGGACACTCGGCTACTCATCGGCGAACGATGCTCTAAGGACACTCATTGAACGAGGAATTTCGGGGGAAGGATTTAAATCCTTCTCGAGGATATTTCCTAAGTCTTTAATTACCGAGCGCGAGCATAATCCTAGGAGAGAAAATCGGGAATAATTGTAAGCAAGAACTCGGGAATAATTGTAAGGGAATAATGTTTGCGCAGCCGATGGGTACGTCGAGAGAGTTTAAAATCAAATGCAATGTTTAATCGATCCTAAGTCGAACGTTAAACAGGCTTACATTAGGGTTACAACACTTATTGTTTTCGGGGAAGGAAGGAACGGAACTCACAGACGGACGGACAGACCAAGGGTTTAACTTCATAATTATGTGTAGCGATACACAGGCAAAGAATAAAACCGAAAGACTACCGAGACCCTTTCGTTTCTTCTTCCGATGCGAGAAAGAGTAGCCCACTGGCGAGACCAGGGTCACCAAAATCTGCAAAGAGTCGACCGATAAGATAGCCTCTGCGGTTTTCTTTCTTCCCCCACTTTATTTATTTTTTTCTATCTTCGTTTATCCGTTTCCTCCGCGTCGAAAAACTCTTCCTGGCCCAGTGATCATTTTCCGTGTTAATTTCGGAAAGACCGACGGGGGCTGGTTTCCCTTTCTCGATCTTTTTTTCTCTCTTATTCTATCCGTATATTTCTTTCTACGTGGCAGAAAAAGAATCGTACATTTGCGGAGGAACTTTCGCAAGGAATTTCCACGGGAATTAACGTCGAGGCATTAGCGTTGAATTATGGTCGCCGTTCATGGAACATTCATCTTGGCTCGAGGCAGGCAATCCCAAGTCTCCGGGAATTTGTCACATTTATTTAATAGGCGTTCCTGCAGAGATACGTCTTGCCGACACCCGAGATGCGAAAAAGGATCGTCCGGGTTTAAATTGCGATTTATATTTCTGTTATGTTCGAGCAATATTGTCCGGGTTTAAATTGCGATTTATATTTCTGTTATGTTCGAGCAATATTGCAATCCACGGTACACCCATTCGCGGGCGTACAGAGCAGATTTGCATAACTGGGCGCAGGACAATTAGCGTCGCGACTTCCTGGACCTCGATCCTGGGATATTTTATTGTTTGCGGACAGGGTGATGGAGAAAAAAAGAATGATAACTGCGGGACTTCGAATGCGTCAAGGCGTATGCGAAATTCCCGACACGGCCGCTTCGGGTGATCGGTGTGTCACTCGCGGGAATAGTTTGCGATTCGGTAAATCGAGGCCATATATTAATATCCCGAGAAAACAATTTGTTAAGAATCTAGGGAGTTAATCTGGATCGTCTGTCATTGACCGCCGAGGCAATCTAATCGCGCGGCCATTAATTCAGTCTACGACATTCCCAGTAATCGAGTGGCGAGATTGAAAAGGAATTAAAATATCCATTTCAAGCTGAACACGATAGACTGCAATTTCTCTTGCTACGACAGTCATTGATCTCGAGTGCAACGATCGACGCACCTTAGGTACACTTAAAAGTTACCTGCAAGTAAGGATAAATCATCGCGATAATTCCCGCAAAAAAAAAATATCTGGGTCGCCTTAAAGATACGTAATTAATTATTAATCGTTGCGGTAAATTCGGGTAAGACTGATCTGTACAGATTTAATTAATGCGTGGACTTTACTGAGGAATCTGGCTTAAAGTCGCGGTTTACGGATTTATGATTTGTAGTAGCGAGTGCGGGCACTTTTAAAGGTTCCTTGGGATTGTTTCTAATTTTATTATATTTTTTTTTTTTCTACCACTTTGGTCAAGAAATTCGGACAGATAGCGCGTTTTAAGGTGAGAGGGGATTCGCGAGGTCTGCCGACTGGACATATAGGAAGCTGCGGCTACTATAAAAAGGCAGTCACCGACAAGCCGGCACGTTAGTGCGTCAGTTTGGTCATCGAGAGCCGGACACATCACGGTAAGAGGTAATTAGTCATTAATCTCCATTGGGGAAGAGGTCGATCGTCAATTTCGATACCGACCTCCCAGATCGACCCTTGATGCGCCGGTAGAAAAAGGTGCGCGGATTAAAAATCCCCACGCTTTGTCGGCACCTATTAATTTTTTTTTTCTTCGTATCATTCCACTACTGTGATCGTTTTTAATTCCTTTTTTCCTTTCGGTACTTTCTTGAGATAATTTCCACTTTTTATTTTGTTACGTCACTTGAGTCATATTCGGGGCGATATCCTATAAGAAGGCAGTCACTGATAAGCCGTCAGTTTGGTTATCGAGAGCTAGACACTTCTTCACGGTAGGCGACTCGCCGATCTCCACCTTTAGAGAAGAGAACCACTTTCGATTTCGACCTCGAAGGTCGAGGAAAAGATTGCGCAACCTGGTCGATCGGCTCTCCTCGAGACCGGTCCCACCGAGTCGGTCGAATTTCCTATTTGAAATTCCGATCATGCCCGTAAATTAGGGGACCTTTTTTCTCCCTCTGTCTCCATCGCGCAGAAATTGTCGAAGTCTTCGGGGCGGCGAAAAATAAAGATGACGTACTCGAAGAAGTGCCGGAAGTCGCGGGGATTGAATTCCAATTTTCTTCTCGAGTACCTGCGGAATGGATAAAATGGATTCCCAGTTTAAAAGCACTTAGAGTGGTATCTATCTCGGTGCATCGGATGCATCTTCGCGGGGGTGCATCGCCGGAGTTCGATCACGAGACGGAATAAATCACCTTAGAAATAAATTGCACTCGAGAAAATCCGGAGGATCCGGTGCAGCGTGCATCTGCAATTTAACCCAGCCTGTCGTGATAAGGATAGAAATAAAGAACACCCCCGATATAAATAGGAGCAATATTTAAAGCGCGTTCCCAGGAATTAATCAGCACTTGATTTCGGAGTGATGCATGTCGACCTACATCCGTTTGATGATTCAGATTTCACGGAGGTCCTTCTAATTACGTCACGCGATTCCCTTTCGGGGTCTCCTCGGTGCGTGTACGCACGTACTTCTTGCACTTATCCCGAATCGCTTTGCGCAACGCGAAAAGACCGTGAATCAAACGCGGATACGTCCTCTTCGGCGTTTCGCAATTGCAGTGCTCGCTAGCAATTGCAAAATCGTCACCTCGAAAATCGCCTCGAGCGATGCGCGCACTTGCATCTCGCTTTGCATGAGAAATCGAGGATGGCGAGTGCCTCCTACAATAAGTGATGTCAACGACGGCAGCTCGGCCTTCGGGTTGACAAGTGACTCGTCTATTCCTCCTGCACTCCAGAGAATTCCTGGATTTTCCTGAATTAAGGCGATATAAAAGTGTCTCGTTTATATCACGTTTTCTCTCCAATCAAGAATTTCAAAGCAAATCGTTTGAGACTTTAAATTCCTTGGACATGTGCTTTCATATCATCTTAACGCATTTCTAGAGTTCAGTCAAAATCGAAAGTGGTGCTTGACGGTGATTTTTTTTTTTTACAAGGGTGACGTGGATGATCTTTTACATCGGTATCCTTTTTTCAGATGGGATCCTTCGCGCCCTTGGTCGTGGAGCAGGTGTACATGTACGAGGAGAAGAATGCATCGGCACACAGGACGAGTAACTTCGAGGTGGTGCACGAAGATTCCCCGACCCCGGTGCTTCGTCGAGGACAGGCATTTAATCTCGCCTTAAGGTTCGACAGAGATTACGTGGACGAGAGCGACATCGTCAGGTTGCTCTTCAGCTTCGGGCCGAACCCCAGCGTGCTAAAAGGAACCAGGGGGGTAAACACCATCACGAATAGAGACGCATACCTGACGGACCTGGAGGCATGGGGTGTCAGGATGGTGGGAGCCTACGGGACCGATCTTTCCGTGGAAGTCAGGAGTCCCATTGACAGTCCTGTCGGGGTTTGGCAGCTGAACGTGGAGACGACCACGGTTGGCAGTAAAAGCCCGCCCAACACCTTCCACTTCGAGAAGGACATCTACCTGTTGTTCAATCCTTGGCTGAAGGGTGGGCTGGAACCTCTTTTCAATTTTCCATTAAAAAAAATAATAGGAGTAAGGTATTTATTTATATATTTTTGGACCTCTTTTAGAGGACCTCGTGTACATGGAGGACGAGCAGCTGCTGGACGAGTACGTGCTGAACGACGTGGGGAAAATCTGGATCGGGCCCATGGGCAGTTCCCGAGGGAGGGAATGGGTATTTGGCCAATTCGATGCCTGCGTCCTTCCTGCCTGCCAATTGTTGCTGGAAAGGTCGGGAATTAAGGCAGCCTCCAGGGGAGATCCTATCAAGATGACTCGAGCCATTTCCAGGATCGTGAGTCTCGCTTACCGGATATAAAATAGAGATCATTGTTAGGAAGCTCGATATTTCCTAGGGATTTAATTTTTATCGACTTCCAGGTGAATTCGAACGACGACCAGGGCGTGGTGACGGGTCGATGGGACGGAAATTACGAAGACGGTACAGCTCCTGCAGCCTGGACAGGAAGTGTCCCGATCCTGGAGCAGTTCCTGGAGACCGGGGAGGAGGTGAAGTACGGACAATGTTGGGTCTTCGCAGGAGTGGTGACAGCAGTCTGCCGAGCCCTGGGGATCCCCTCCAGGGTGATCTCGAACCTGGTCTCGGCGCACGACGCCAACGCCTCGTTATCAGTGGACCGATACTACAATCTGGACAACGAGGAACTAGAATACGACCCTGAGAACCCCAACGGGGAGGACTCGATCTGGAATTACCACGTTTGGAACGACGTGTGGATGGCAAGGCCGGATCTTCCCATAGGGTACGGAGGCTGGCAAGCCATCGACGCGACTCCTCAGGAACCTTCGGATGGGGTTTATCAATGTGGTCCAGCCTCCGTCGAGGCTATCAGAGAAGGAGCAGTCGGCTACAACTACGACATCCCCTTTATGCTGGCCTCCGTGAACGCCGACCTGATGAGATGGAAGGAAGACCCCGAGAGCGAGTTCGGCTACTCCAAGATCGAGTGCAACAAGTACCAGTAAGTGAAACAATTACCAGATTTTAAGAATAATTCTCCAGAGCATCGTCGCTGAAGTTGATATCGAACCGTTGGAACTCTTCAGCATAGGGAGGATGATCCTGACGAAGGCGCCCTGGGTCTTCGACCCCAACGGCGACAAGGATAAAGAGGACATCACCTTCATCTATAAGGCTCCGGAAGGTACGGAGTTGGGGGTATAATTTTCATTACAGGTGTTTGGAAGGTGAGGAAGGTCGATATTAATTTTTTTTGTGTCCAGGAAGCCAGGCTGAACGGCTTACCTTGTACAGAGCGGTGAGAGGGACCGAGAGGGCGAAGAGGTTTTATTCTCTGCCGGCTCCTGGGAAAGAGGACGTCGAGTTCGATCTCGAAGACCTCGAGAGGGTCAACATCGGAGACCCGTTCTCGGTGGTGGTGAGGATAAAGAACAGGTCCAGCGAGCCCAGGACCATCCAGGCCATCCTGTCTGCAGGAAGCGTTTATTATACAGGAGTCAAGGCTAATTTGGTGAAGAGGGCCACTGGGGAGTTCGTCGTGCAGGCCAAAGAGAGTACGTCCAGCCGCTTTGTACAATTTTTCTCCGGGTTATGGGTTGATAATTATTTTTTATCTCCGTCTAGACGAGACCCTGAAGCTCACGGTGACGGTGGACGATTATCTGGACAAATTGGTGGAGTACTGCATAATGAAGCTGTACGCCATCGCGACCGTCAAGGAGACCAGGCAGACCTGGGCCGACGAGGATGACTTCCAGGTCCTGAAACCCAACATCGACGTCAAGGTAGGGAAGAGTATGGAGGAATTTATCGTTTTATCTTGTTCTCATCTCATGGTCTTCCAGATCGAGGGCGAGCCGATGGTCGGGAAACCCTCCACCATCACGCTGAGCTTCAAGAACCCCCTGAAGAGGAGGTTGACAGATTGCAAATTCAATTATGCCGGCCCTGGTTTGTCGAAGAACAAGACCCTCGCGTTTAGAGACGTGGAACCCGAAGAAGAGGTCTACGTGGAGCATCAGCTGGTCCCCCAGAAAGCCGGGAACCAGAAGATCGTCGCCACGTTTACGTCCAATGAGCTCGTCGATATCACAGGATCTGCGGCCGTGGATGTCCTGGATGTCGATTGAACGGAATAGAATCTTGTTTAATTACCCGCGTACAAAGTATAGGTATAAGCATAGACCTAGGTACTGACATCGTTTGTAACAAATTGCTACGTCGAGATTTATCTCACCTGGCGTACCAGTTTCCTCGTACTCACTCTGACTTGCAGTACGCTAAGATTTTAATTATTGATGTCATGATATTAGATTCATTATTGCTATATTATATTAGATTCAAACTGCTACGTTATCTCACCTGGCGAACCAGTTCCCACGCCCTCACCCCCTACTTACAGGACACCGAGGTTTTAATTATTCCACGCCTACGGGTAGCCTCGTGGAGATTTATTTTACAATCAACCGACACGGGAACATGTAACGCATAATAGTTTTACAAGACAGGCACCCTGCCAGTTGCTTAAAAAATTATTAACTGGTCAACTCTCGCAAGCGATGGAGAACCGCAGGCAGAAGAAGACGAGCGTGCAGGTAAAACCGTAAACAAGAGCCAGGACATTTTTCCTTGAAATCGAGAGAACTCCTTGATACCCATACACGTCGTCGTCGTCTTCGAAAACCTCCGAACTATCCTTCCCATTTTTCCAGGACCTCTGCTCCTGATCGTCCTTCATTTTCGGAACCTCGAGTTCGGACTTCCTTGGTTCTAACTTCTCTGCCAACTCCGACAAGGATTTCGTCTCCGTTCCTGGATTCCTTCTTCCCAGGGTCTGGATACGAGGGTCCTGGACGGTCCTTTGGTCAATGAAATTCCTTCGATACAGACTGATCGTTTTGTGCAGGTTTTGGGCGTGCTCGGAGGTCCTTTCGAGTGCTATCACGATGTCCTTTGGCAATTGGCCCAGGTGGTTTATCCTCTGCAAGGTGCAGCTTTCAGTGCACCTGTCTTGACGAGCATCAGATGAAATCAAGGACGAGGATGAAATTTCATTCAGTGAGTCGTTCTCGAGGATATTCGGTGTATCTTCGCACGTTTCATTTTTTATCCCAGTTTCTTTTAACATTTTCGGTAAGTCTTGGTCGGTGGAAATTTCGACGGATTTTTTTGGACAGTGCTCGGTCTGGGTCATGGCGACTTTTATTGTGTTTGTGTTGAATGGCAGTTTAATCATAGTTGCATCGTATTGGCAATATGACTCGGTGCAAGTGTTTTTCTTATGACGAAGCGGCATCAGATTAGCTGTCACTCGTTTCGAGGTCATTATTTTTTCTCTAGATATTTCCTCGGTCTCGATTGAGACATCCACCGCTTTCAGACTCGTCTGAATCGACCGCTCTTGATAAAATTCTTTCGCGATAGTCCCGGAAGTGGTCGAGTGAATTAAATCTGGAACACAGGATATACTTGCATCTCTTCTGAATGTCGCTTCCTGGATGATTTTTCTCTCCAGAGATTCGGACCCTACCTTGTCATTTGATGGTCTGAAATCCAGAATACTAGGAATGCTACACGAGGTGCTTGCATCTTTCGTTAATTTTTCTTTAAGGGATCGCGATCCTAAATCCGGAGAGTCCCCTGAAAGTTTAGTTTCTCTCGCTGAGAAAAATCCCAAGTCTTTTTCGGACGACAAAATGGACACCATGGAGTCGTCCACCGACGTCTTGGAGTTCTTCCTCGACGAGGAATCTCCCTTTTCTTTCTCCATTTCCACGGCAGTCGAGAATCCCTTATCACTCCCTAAACGCGCGAAATTTTTTGACAACTCCACCGGCAATTTAAATCTCACCCCCAATTTCTTTCTGTCCAAACTTGCACTCGGATCATCTCCGAGGATCTCTCTCAAAAGCTGCAGAGACTTCGCGTGTCTATTTGGACATTTTTTCCTACTCGTCGATACGGAGTTTTCCAGCTTTCCCTGCTCTTCGGACTTGATCGAGGTTGATTTGCTCGAATTTTCGGAATTCGAGGTCGAGGTCAGGGAAGCTTGGCAGCATTTATTCGACCCAGCCTCTCCGATCGAACAACTCGAGCTGAATTCCGCGTTGCATTCCTCCGAGACCATGGAAGCAATTTTCGAGGTCGTATCCGAGACGATCTGGTCCAGGGATAAATTTTTCCCAGCATCCGCAGTGGACCTTGAAACACTTCCCCGAAGACTCGACGTCTCTTCAAAGTCCATTTCCTTTCGGGAATTTACGCTCCCCGGAGGGGAAATATTTACCGACCCCGATGGAAATAATTTTCCTCCACTCTCTACCTTATTAATTATCAAATTCCCTCCCGCCTCTTCCTCGGAAATCTTTAGAGGCCTCTTTATGATACTCTCCAAAATCTGCACGACTTTCGTCCTTTTCACTTTGCTGGCGGCGACGCGATCGAAATGCACCTCAACGTTCGAGTTGCACTCGGATGCACTTTTTGAGGCGAGGGATTTCCCCCTGGATAAGAAACTTCTCCGATCGTTAAAGGAATTTAATGGATCCTCTCCATCTGAGATTGTTATATCGGATCGGTCGCTCCTCGAGGAGGGCGTTTTCGCTCTAGTTGTCGAGTTCGGCGTTACATTTTTTAAATTTCCCTTTTCTTCAGCTCCTGGAAGACCCGCGACGAAATTTCCTGAGCCTTTTCTACCCCTGCTTTCCCTGGAAATTAAATATCAGAAGATGATAAACACCATGGAAATAATTTCCGTCTTAATCCTACCTTGCCGAATCGTTCTCTTTATTCTTGCTCGAAGTGGTCCTCTTCTCAGGATGCGCCATTTTGTTTGCAGGAATTTTCGCACTCCCTGCAGGTTTCCACGCGGGTTGCAAAGGTTCTCCATGTTTTCTCGGTTTCGTTGACTTGCTTCGTTCTCCGATATTATTGCAATTCTCATTTGATGCGACTATTTTCCCCGAGGTTTTCTCTTTCCTTAATTTATCCAGAGAGACTTTCCACTCGATCGAGGACTCCGAATCGTTCTTCGCGTGATGCATTTTCGGGCTTCTGGAAATATTTTTACAGCCGCTCCTGTTCGGGGGAGGAATTCTTAATTATTTCTCCCGTCATTAAGAAACCCTCTCCTAATTTTCAGGACCTATTAGAGTCGGGCGAGGTTCTCTTATCTCCAAAATTCCCCTGGGCAATTATCGGCTCCTCCTTGAGTTTCCTCGGTGTCTCCTCTTCGGCCAAAGTAATCACGTCTGAGATTAAATTCTGCACTCTTCTTCTTTGAATCTCTGAGGTGCGAACACCCTTCCCCTCGAACTGCACCTTTTTCTACGGATTTTAATAAATTCGTTATTAAAAAAATATATATACAATCCCTGCACTTTTAGTACAGGTCATACATTTCTAAGTAATCTTAGAATCCTGCGTCATACATCCCATTATGATTTTATGAAATTGTCGGAAAATCAATACCCTCGTGTATTAAATTTCTAACACGGGTTGACGAAATGTATAAATCTTACGAGATCACGGTATTTTTTTTTTTCCACCTGCCTTAAACAATCGCACCGGTGAGGTCTGAATTTTTTCGTGAACATTTTTCGACGCCCTTACGAGGCTCTTCTTCGTTGGTCCAGGACTTTCGTTTCTTCTCTTCGTCGTCGAGTTCTCCCAAAAGTAACTCTGCTTTTTTTTCTTCGGATCGCATCCCAACCACCCGAGGCGTTTTCCGGAAAAGGAGACGCGTTTTCCGGCTTTCCTTCCGGGGGGTTTCCGAAAACGAGATCGACGTTTCTTCTCGTCGAAGTTCCCCAGCTTCTGCTCTCTGTACTCCTTGAAGTCCAACTCGTCGACGAAGACGTTGGGGGAAGAAGAGACGAGGGTCGAATTCGTGGTTTCCGAGGGAGAAGGACGTTCCTCTCGAGATTTCTCGAAATAAGTGGAATGATCGCTGCGAAGCGACCTCCAGGACCTCGAAAAGGCGCTTCTCGGAGGATTTTCCATTCTCCTCGGAGAAACGTCGACGAAACTTCCCAGATTTCCATTTCCCAAAATCCCCGGCACACTTTTGGCTAAAAGATCCGAGTCAATTGTTTCATCCCCTCGATTTATTTCCCCAATTTTCGCGGATCTTTCAAGAGGACTTCCCTCCGGATTTTCCACCCGCAGGATGTTTAAATTTTCTTGGAAAGTCAGAATCTCGTCTAAAGGTTTCTCCCTGGAAACATCAAGGATCTTCATCCTTGCGTCGCATTTCCTTTCTGTGAATATGATCTCTTCTTTGAAGTTCTCCACGGAAGGATCTGCAGGATTCGCAGCGTCCTCCTTCAAGGATCCCACACTTATCCCATTTTGCAGAGGAATTATAAAAGTGGCGGATCGACATATGCCTTTTCCACTCGTCGAATTCTCCAAAGCTAGTTCTTTATTTATCAAGAACGTCTCCTCCCTCCTAGGCTCGTCAGGAAGTTCGACTTTGCAAATCAGATTTTCTTCGACATCGCGAGTGGGTCTGATGTTCTCTGGCTGGATTTTCTTTCCCAAGATTAAAGGATCACCCTTGATGTCCTTAACCGGTCTCGAAGGATCATCGAATTTCTCCCTTTTCAGACCGTTCGTGAAAATATTCTTACTGCTCCTAATCTCGGAACCGATGGACCATAATTCCTCCTCGAAGTTGATCAATTTAATCGGGGGTGATAAGAAGGGCTGGTCCTTCGTCGATGTCCTGGAAGGACGTTTCTCGTCGATCTCTTTGGTCAAGGATCGAGACCTCCTCCATTCTCTTGAAGCGTCCACAGACTCGGTGCTAAAATTCAATAAATCTCCGGCCTTCCTTTTTTCCAAATAGATCTCGACGAGTTCAGGCTTCGAGTCCTCCGATTTCCAGGAGTTTTTCGAAATCCTGTGGATGGTCGACATCGAGGAGGAGGTATTCTTTAATTTTGCCAAAATCGAAGCCCCGTTTGCGGAGTCCACAGGCGACATGTTTTGCATTTTATTAAATTTCGGGGACGCATAAATTAATCCACTTTGACTATCCGCCTCAAATTTAATTTGGCTGATTAGATTGTCATTGATAAATTTGATTTCATTAACGGGCGCGTTTTTACCGAAGGTATTCTCGATTCTGATGCTGCGAGGAATTTGCGCCTCGGTTTGTGAAGGACTTGCTTTCCTGGAGGATCTCGCGCAATTTTTCGCGCTTATCCAAAATCCTTCGAGATCGACGTCCTGATGGGCCTTTAGCGAAGGATCGTTTAAAAGGTTCTTTGATTTCCTCGGACCCTTTTGGACGCGTCCAACGAATTCGCTCCTTATTCCCAAGGATCTCGAAAGCTGGAGGTCGTTCAGCTTCCAAGACTGCAGAAGACAATTTGCGCGATGATTATGGAGTCCACTTTGTGGGAAAGTGCAGGTCTCGTGTCTTTGAGAGCTGTCCATCTCGAGAACTTTTCTGCGATATCGATCTACTTTACATGACTAGGAAAAAAAAAAAAAGAATTACAACCGTTTACCCTCCCTGATAGTCTACATAATTTCGCGTACTAGCGTGGAATTTTGGCAGGGAATAAATCGGAATACATTGACGTTCCACGGACGGTCTCGGTGGTCTTGTTTTGTTTTCAAAGCCTTCTCGATGAGTGACGTTTTATGTATCTCCTCTGGTTATCCGTAATTAATACATTAAAAATCAATTATTATGGTATTATTTAGAACACTTTAGACCCTGGGCATTAGAAACGGTGACCGAATTTATTAGATGTGATTATACATTGTAACGATCGAATCACTTCTGGGGTGCAGTGGGTGCGGACTGGTTCGATGATTTTGAGTCTCGCATGGAGGCACTGCGTCTTCGCTTAAGCTCTTCTTGACGTCTTGCCTTGGCCTCCTTTTGCCTCTGGGCTAGGAGTTTGGCGTATTCGGCAGCTTGTTCCTTGCGAGCCAAGCAGCGTCGCTTCTTCAAAGCTAGCCTATGTCTCTTCCTCTGTAAAATTCAAGGTTTTAATAGAGACCGGTCAGGCTGCGTGTTATAGATCGGATGAATAATGAAGCATACCTGAAGAGTAAGCGGAGTGATAAGACGCTGAATTTTAGGTGCCTTGTGACGTTCCTTTTTACCCTCTTTTTGAATCGGTCGCTTTACGACAAACTGACGCACATCATCTTGTTTGGAGAGATTGAAGAGCTTGCGGATCTTGCTAGCTCTCTTTGGTCCAAGGCGACGAGGCACATTAATGTCTGTCAATCCAGGAATTTCCTATGGAAAAGGTTTGGCTCATCAGATTTTTATAATGCCTTAATTGTAACGTTAGTGAGAATATTTAATTCTATGTACCATTCGTACACTGAGAAAAAGTGCAATTATAGACACAGTCTCCCAAATCAAAAAATGGAATTTAATATTCCATGCAAGTGAACGTCCCCAAGGGGGTCATTTCCCTTGGGCACTGCCTAGGCATGGAATATTTTATTTGTTCAAGTTTAATGCATTAAGAAGGTTACTTTACCTGTTCTCCCTTCTTCACGATAACTAATGCAAGGACCGATAAATTGGCATCGACGATGCATCCTCGAACAGATTTCCTTTTTCGCTCGCCGTTGCGACGAGGTCTATAGCACGAGTGTCCCTTTGACAACAGAAGGCGTACACGACCTATGCAGCGTTAATAAGAAATTAATAAACGGTCAGACCAGCAGTATGGCATTCTATTGCTATACACTAACCATTTGTCAGGACACCCTGTTTCATCGGGAAACCCTGTTTATCGTTCCCTCCAGATACCCGGACGACGTATCCTTTCCACTCATCACCAAGGGAGTCAGCTTCCACTTCGGCTCCCATACGCTTTTCATAAAAAATCCTGAGCTTGTGCTCATCAGAAATCTCGAACAGTTTCTGACATCCTGTCGCTGGATATGACACGTTAAGCTGGAAACGTTACAAGTTAAACACTTTACAGTACAGTAGTAAGTAATTTAGATGATGACCGTTTCAATGTGCACAACAAATACTCGTCGGTGTTGAATTTTATAAACGCGGTATTGAAGAAATCACTATCACGAAAGATAACTGATTTATAATTTACTAAGCTGCGTAAACAATACTAGACTCGTTGCCGACGAATTAACCTCAACTTTCTACAACACAAGTTTCCCCACAAAAATCACTGAAATTCTCAAGTATATGTACGCCGAAATATCTGTAAATATCCCGTCATCTTGTTAACGAAATCTTGCATTAGAAATATCCGCGGATTGTCGAAATATCCTCGGATTCGTACCTTCATGGTAACAGAACTTAAGCCGTGCCACGAGCCATGGAAGAGAAGGGTCTCGCCGATGAATTCGGACGAGACTAGAAGGTAGTTTTTGAGCGAAAGGTGGAATCACTTTTGCCATACTACCACCATCGTCCGCGTATGACGCCACTGGTTAGTTAGTTAGAGAATTCGATCGAGAGAGGTCCCACTTTTTCGAAATAAGAATCGAAATTCCTCACCTACCGATCTCTATTCCCATGATCTATGACTAGGCAATCGCGGATAAATATTTACATTAGATAAATCTAGATAAATCCATTTAAACGGAATATCCCAGAGATAAGATACTTAAGTAAAGAGTTACCCCAAAAAGGGAGCCGACATAACACAAGTGATTCGATGAAGGGAATGTGGGAAAAATGCTGATTTTAGCAGACTGAAATTGAGAGAATCTAAGGATTCGGTGCTGAAATAAAAAGACATCAGGAAGTAGTTACTCTGCCATTTTATCGTGATCACAGAGCTTGGGAAGAAAGTCTTAAAAAAAAGAAAAAAAGAATTCGAGAACGATTCCTCGCGAGGTGGCGCACTCTAGCAGAGGTTCGGGCCGGAGGATTCCCGTTTTCCTTCCTGGTCGTGTCTATCGATTGCGTGCGTGGGGTGGCCGGCATGGCAGAGGTCGACGAATATCAGGATTTTCATAACGGCTCACCGGGAAGTTAGAGCCGTCACCGGAGAGAAAATGTTGCTCGGGATCGAGAGATGATGCCGGGCTCGTCTCCACAGACGGTGACTTCCAACGGCGGTAAATATCCCTCTCTCCCGTTCCTCTTCCGCATTTCACAGGAAGAATCGTAAAAGTTGACAGATGTGCACGGCCAGCGGTTGTTTAGCAACCGCCTTACAATTTGAAAATTCCCTCCTCGCTTTTGTAATCTCAAACACCCTCGAATTCTCAATATCTTTCTTGCCGAACCATCGTCGCCTGAGAATTGATTTTCATTGTGTTGCTCGAATCGTTGCTCTTGTTTATCATGGGGTTTTTTATTTTTAACAATGCAGGACCCGAGTGGGATACGCTGATGGAAGTTCACCACGAGCCAATAGAGAAGAACTATGTCCTGCACGAAGAAATCGGCAAGTGAGTTGTCATATGTATTTGCAACTTTGCTAATATCAATTATTAGGAGCTCGTAATGGAACTTTTCTTCCACTGCAGGGGTCAGTTTGCAGTGGTTCGAAAATGTACAGAAATCAAGACAGGTGCTGTATTCGCGGCTAAGATTATGCGAAAGAAAAGGGTGGCTAGAGGCGTGGCTGCTGCTGACATAGGTGAGTCTGGGGCAAAAGGATTATCGTGTCACATTTTTATTTCATGCTTATAATTTAATTTATATTTTTCCTTTAAGCGAGAGAAGCTGGCTTGTTGGCACGTCTGAGACACCCTAATATCGTTTCGTTACATAAAGTAGTTGACACTGGCACAACGGTCGTGTTGGTGCTAGAACTTATTTCTGGTGGAGAATTGTTTCATTGGAATCCATCGGGTGAAACAGAGGCTGCGCATGTGGTTTGTTCTAACGGTTTCGACTTGGCTAGGATAATTGTCCTATCCAGCTGCTACTATGTTGGAAAAACTAATTACATTGTATCCTTTTAGGTAAGGCAGGTGTTAATGGCGCTATGTCATTTACATTCCCATCAAGTGGCCCACCTGGACATAAAACCAGAAAACATACTTCTTTCGACACCTCCGCCGATGCCTAGCATAAAACTGATAGGTAATTGTGCAGTTGCAGCGCTTTCTTGAGTTTAATTTGATGACAAAGCATCGAAGCCACCCGCCACCTTTTACGGTTACAGATTTAGGTTTGTCTCACCGATTGACCCCCGGTTCGGAACACCGTGCCTTGTTCGGCACTGCTGAATTTGTGGCTCCAGAAATAGTGAACTATGAGCCCTTAAGCTTGGGAACCGATCTCTGGGCAGTTGGTGTTTTAACTTATATTCTCTTAAGCGGGGCATCACCTTTCCTCGGGGAGAACAAGCAAGAGACCTATGCAAACGTGGCGGCATGTCAGTATCAATTTGACGAAGAGTACTTCAGTTCGGTGTCAGTAATTGCCAAGGATTTCATTCGATCTTTGTTGATCAAAGATCCGAAGTAAGTCCATCGCGAATATCGCGGTTAATAATTTTTTTCTTAATTTTATTCAACGAACGCTGTACGAAAACTCATTGTTTTATTTCAGGGAGAGGGGAAGTGCAGAGTCGTGCCTTAAACATCCTTGGATCCTTGCGGTGCGTTCCTGAGACTGTTCTAAAATACATTCCTTACAAAATACATTCGTTACCTGACGCTAACTATAGCGTACTTGTAAAGTTACTTCGTATGTCACGGATACGAAGCACTTGCTGTATAATATATGTGAATATAAGTCAGCAATGCAAGAATTTTTCTTTAACGCGACAAACACACACCTCAATAACAGTTAGATGTGCGACAGCTACTGGCAGTGTTAACTAATTAACATTTACACTCCGCTGCTCGAGTACATGTAGACTTAAAATAGACGTTCACATTGCGCAATCATCAAATCGCTCTAAAGATCGTTTGCACAACGAAGGTCAGTAGTTGCCGATGCACGCAAAATTCCATTAACAGCATTTCAAGGCCGCTCCTTGGAATTACTGCCACATCAGCTAAACTGCCTTACATTCTTTCGATATTATGTCTCCGTCCCTCTTAAAATATATGCTTCAGTGCTTTCTCCGATTTAATAACTATTCAATTTAAAAATTATTCTTCAGGAATCTGAAAGCTGTCATGGTCTTGGATCAGCTGTAATTAGCGCAGTAAAACGTGGCTGTGTCGAGTCGGTGTCTCAATTACTTCAGCAGGGAGCACCGTTGAATGCTAAAGATGCGGTAAACCGTTAATACAATTTTTTTCAACTACTCCAGCATAATGTGTGAACTATATCGATAACTGATATTTCAGAAGGAAGATACCCTTTTACATTTAGCATGTGAGGTCGGAGACGAAGGAATAGCTTCCCTTCTTATAGACAGCGGAGCTGAATTAGATGCAGCGAATAAAATGGGTCTGACACCACTGCACGTAGCATCTAGACATGGACACATCAACCTGGTACGACTTTTGTGTCTTGCTGGGTGCAATGTAGACAAATCAAACAAAGGAATTCGTGCTGATGTGACAGCGATCAAGTATGGTCATCAGGACATTGCCAGTTTATTAGACAAGCTCAGGAATGTGAGTTACGTGCCTACAATTTCACTGCCGAATATCTAACTTGATATATCCATAAATATAATTTTACAGCCGATGCATCGAGAAAATTATATAAAACAGTTGCAACCAACTCATCGAGCAATTGATCGGCTGCACATAAGACTGTTAGGCCACTGTGCTTCGGGGAAAAGTTCTCTTGTGAGTTCGTTAAAGTCTGGCATTTTCAGTTTTGGATTCTTCCGAAGGTCCAAAAGTCAAAATTGTACGATGAAGGTAAATCAGTAATTAAATTGTCCAATGATAAGGATGTTCATAACAATTGCTCATGAGAAATTTATGTTTAGAGGGAGCCAAGTATTGAGTTAGACGTAACTAGTAAACATGGGTCGCTCAGTTTTGAATACAGCGACAGCGAATATGAAGGTACCGTTGGGGTAGAATGGAGTCGAGGGAATGTAGGTAAGAGCTCATATGTTTCCCTTTGTTGTTCAGTTCTTAACTTCTCCATCATTTTTCAGGAGGTGAATGTGTATTCTGGGAGATGTGCGGCCGCGAAGAATTTCTTACATCATATCACTACGTTTTAACCTTTCAACAACCAGCGGTCCATCTTGTAACGATAAGTCTGAGAGAACCCATCACCGTTCAGTTACAGCAAGCAAGATTTTGGCTCCGATTCATTCTAGATCGAGTTCCTCCACACAATATCGGTAAGAGAACAGTAAATATATTTTTTCCATTGTATATAACCCCTAATGTATTCTTTGTCGGTGAAGGCTTTGGAGGCAAGTGCACCGATATCAAAGTAATTCTTGTGGGAACTTACGCTCCGGAACCACTGGCGCCAGGTTCCAATGGATCTGCTCTCCTGGCACCATTGCTGCCGTTCCTACAAGAATTTTCACCAATTCTTGGAGAAGAACCCTTGACGGTGGCTCTGGATGCAACCAACCCTTCGAGTCCTGGCCTGAAGCAGCTTAGGTCATACTTGACCAATGCAAGAATGGAGTTCCTCGAGGTGAAACCACAATTCTGATAATCTCCCTTATCGGCTCTGGAAAAGAATCATTAATTCCTCTGAATTCTTTTGATTTAATCGAAGCCAAGTTCTAAAGTCTCTGAGATCCGTACTTCCCATGTAATCTGAACTCGTGTCTCTTCGCAAACCCACTTCGAAGTATGCTAGCAAATGCACGACTCACGGCATGGTTCGGTACTTGCTTTCGAGAACAGGTTCATTTTGTGCTGAAACGAATGGAGTATGTGAGCTTTCATAAACTATCATGAATCACAATGAAGAACTCGTTTGCAAACTTTTGGTGATTTCGTAAAATGTCTGGTTCCCGCCTTTCCTCCGTCGAACTTTCGGAGGAAGACGTGACTCCATATATATATACATATATATACATATATTGCCTTGAAACATTTATACAGTGCATGGTCTATTTAACCGTTTAAAACCAGTTTGTTTCGTTAAAACGATTGTGCCCTTTGTCTCCTATTTGCTGTGTCCCTTTGGACTGGATTAAACAACGGGGAGGAAAATGTGCAGCTTGATGGTAAAGAACTCGGTACAGGTGTACATGACATACACATGGTCTTCGATGGGTCGAAAGAAATTGATGTTAACTTATTTCCGTTACTATTTCTGTGGTCGTGGAACTTTACTGACTGCAGCCTTAATGCATGCAACGCATGATGTAGGATGGACCGGAGATCACATCGGGTAATCATCGACGTGACGTGTCTTGTGCCGCAGCCTCATACGTGCCCCTGGCGAATCTTGACAAACAGGTCGATCCATTTCTCATTAATCTCATTAACAAGTGACGCGTTATTTGACGTACATACCTCGCGTAGAAGCTTTGTGCATTGCCCCGTAATTGTATGTGCATTTCTCTGAAACGTATATTAAACGATTAACATATGCACACGTATATTTACAATCTATAGAATCTTGCATCGGTGTGGTATTTCATAGCCTCTGGAAGGTCTACGATGGTCCTTACGATGTACTCATTTCAGGGCGCCATGGTGTGGACCGGTCTACTCGAAGCATGGAGAACATACATCCAGGCTCTCGAAGATCCTCCGGTGATGCTCACTCTCCAGGAGTTCCTCGCAGAGGTTAGGAAGATCAATCCTCTGGTATCGCTGGAACATTGTAGGCAACTTTTGCAGCAGTTGCAGGTATCGATTTAATTTTTATGTGAGATTTTTTCCTCCAATCTTTCCTACATTCAATTGACATTTCTTTATCAGACTTTAGGGGAATGCTTGGTTCTGTCCTCCGAACTGGTGGTTCTGAGTCCTGAATGGTTGTGGAAAGATGTGATCGGTTGGCAGCTGAGTCCGGAACAGAGAGGCAGGCTTGGAGGACGGACCACCGGAGTCTACACTTTGGAAGACTTCCAAGCTAGATGTCCTTGTCCTGCGGGACAGGCTTTGCAAGCTCTGCAAGCAGTGGATCTCTGCGTACCGGTACGCCATGAAAGAAAGAAATTCATCGTTGACCCTTACCTTCTTCCAAACTGCTTCAACATTTTCCATTACAGTGTGAGGTTGATGAAGACGAGGTGGAATTTGAAATTCCTTGCCTGAACCTGGTGGAGCGACTCCCAGGATTATGGGAACCTTGGAAACAGAGTTCATCGCAGCCTCATGCCGGGCTTCGCCTTCGACCATCGGAAGCTCCCCTCTACCACCTGTCCCCCGTATTCCCCCATCTTCAGGTAAACGAGTATTGACAAAAAGTTCCTAAAGTAACAACTGCTTAAAAGTACCTCGCCTTCCAGGCCCAGCTAAGGAGGATTACTCAATCCTGGGACCCGAGTGAGTCAGATTTGTATCAATGGTGGCGGGGATCGAAGCTCTGTGCAGGACCCTGCGAATCCCTGGTAACTTTTGAAGAGGAAGAGCAGGGATACATCGAGGTCAGAGTTCGCGGGCCTCGTGGGACAGGTGCCCAGTGTTCGGCACTTCTTGGAGTGGTCCTCGACGCGATAGACTGCAGCGTGGAGAACGTTGCTCCAGGGATGCTGCTCGAGCGCCACTGGCTGAGCCCCAGCCAACTGCGCGACTACGACGAGGTCGTCCATCACTCGGTCTTTAAACAATCGTCTACCTGATATCTATTTAAACCTTCAACTAACGAAATGTTTCTTACACCCAGGTGATACATTCCTGGGAGCCATCGGTGCTCCTCTCGGCGCTGCTGGAGAAGAGCTTGGAGGAGGCGCGCTTCAAGAACCCGTTCAATGGGAAACAGGAAAGCGTCTGGGAGATCGTGGGATGTGGCATGCCCCTGCCGGAAGGCTTCGTCCCAGGGCCTCGTCAGTCGGTGAAGAACATAAAGCCTGCAATTCAGAGAAGACTGGCCCAAATGCTCGATCCACCAGACCCTCAGGGTAGGGACTGGTGTCTGCTGGCCGTTAGGCTGGGACTGGGAGACCGCGTGGCGCAGCTCGACAGCACTGCAGACAGTCCTACTCTTAGGTAGTTATCTGCTCCAGCTACATCCCGAAACATTTAACCCATTGCCGTACAAATTAGCTTCACAAAATCAAAATTCTGATCCCGAGTCCGACTCATCAAAGTACGGCAAGGGGTTAATCAGTTCCTCAGCTTCCCCGGACAATGTTTGACGCGCTATTTCACCCGTGACAATTTCGTTTCGCAGACTGCTAGGCTGTGCCAACTCGGAGTGCAGCATCGGCACCCTGGTCCAGCAACTTCGGGCACTGGGGCGCGAAGACACCGTCCGATTGTTACTTTCGCACACATCGATTCACGTGCTCTCTGTGTCGGGCGACTCCGAGACCGGGTCGAACCTCTCGAGATGACGCTCTCGTCGCCGGGTGATAACTACTTTTTAGCTTCTTTTCTAACGAATTCTAAATCACACCGAGTATTTAAACGAATTTGCCAAAGCGCTGAACGGTTCCGCCCATTACCTCCGTGAATCTGAAGGAAGAGAACCTCGGACGTAACCGTTGATTTCCTCCGATGATTCCTGTACATCGACTGTTGATTAGTATTTTATTGCTAGGAATCGACCATTTTGAATCCTTCGTTTTCCTTTTATTTCTTATTTTCTCTCTCTGTGTGTGTGTGTGTTTTTTTTATTTTGGTTCTTTAAGTCGTCGAGACTGGGTTTATAGTACAGCAACGAGGTGCTCGATCGTTTAAGCGTTTCATTGGTGACTTTGTTCTATCACTGCCTATGTAGCGAATAACGTTTGCAGCAGGCTAAGCACTCGCCTCGCGTTTCGTTTACCGAAGGTTATTGTACTTACGTGCTTCTTGCATATTTATATACGTTAAGACGCGCAGGTGGCAATGAGCAACGCCATCCGGGGAGCGAAAGGCAGGAGCTGCATAATCACTACTTTAAGGATTTATCGCTTGGTACGATTATTCATTGCGTAGTGTTTCGTACTTAAATCACTAATGTTATCGCCTTCGCCATGTGCCATGATATATCACTGTTTGCTCATTATCTACTGGCGTAACGTCGAACACTTTTTACCGCGGCTTTGCGAGCGTCGTCGGGCTGTTTAGGAATGATTAATTCGCTTAGGCCATGGACAGGTACATTTGGTTACCGTTGATCTTACAAACTGTGCATATCAGCTGATCCCTCGACGCTCATTCGTTTCTTTGTCCCGGGGTATATTCCTACTTTGGAGAAATCAATTATTTTTCTTATTTCGAGGATTAATCGAGTGCAAATGTGCCTGCCTCGCGGAGTAACTCTCCTTAGCGTGCGGACGAAAAGCCGGTGGATTTATTGCTCTTGTGTGTGCGTGTGCGTGTCGCCTTATCCTTGCCGACTCGGGTGAACAGAGACAAGTAGCTGTTTACGAGGAATACAATTTAAGGGCTCGACGAGAGGTCGTACCGTTTAAGCAACCGTAAAGCGTCGTTTCCTTCGACCTGACAAAGCAACACACAGGAAGAACACATTCGTCCAAATTGCTCCATCGACCTCTGTATAAGATATTTATCGACATTTTTCGGACACGAGAAATCTCAGCCGTACTTCGACTATGTGAAAAGTGCCAAAGAATAGGTGATAGTCAATATTTAATCTGACTGATCGGCACCAAGAGACCACTTCTATCGGACCGCAGACTTTGAAATTCGTCGGTCGTTACTGTTATATATNTATATATATCAGGAATTTCACGCGTGGATGCGATTTTCTGGCTCGTAATTAGAACCTCTCGTCACGCACTTTCCAACCACGTGACCAGAAACTGTTCGTACTGGCGAAGTTAGGTAACTTTGATAAAAGACTAATCTCTTATACAAGCGTTTCTCTACTCATATCGTGGAACTCTAATTTCTTGTGATATAGCTTAATTAATCAGCTTGCGATGTCAGTCGCATCGACGGAACAGGAAAGTATCTTCTAGGCTGTACTCGCTGCATTTACAAGTAATGTAATTATTACTACGATAACGAGGGCTTTCTTCGAGTGTCCGCAATGTATTCGTCTCTTTTCCGACACTTTCCTTTTATATATACATATACATACATATATATATACAAGTAAGAGCACCGATTCATCGAGATGAAACGTCGGAATGATTTCTCACTAATACACGATGGCACAACGTGATTGTTTACCGAAGAACTTTATATTTATTCGCATATAATTGTGTACTAAGGAGTGTACGAGACGTAATAAAAGCACGTATTACGCCCTTCGACGTGAGACATTGTCAGTTATCTCGGTCTTTTAACACTTAGGATTGTCGCTTTGAGATGCACTGAAATGCTTACATCACAAAGACAAAAAGAAATTATAAGAAATTTTTTTTAACGCCGTTTCAGCATTTTGGTTAGATTAAGTGCGACATTCTTTGGCGTCTCGTCGAGCCATCTCGTATGACACGACAATTACGGTGTAATGACTGGGAATTTGGCAGCGGGAGGCGTTCGCGAAATTTATGGCTGCTCATTAATTATCGGCACGAGCTGAGTCTGCTCTTGACTTCTCTTTTCCACTGAGCGCTTTCGTTGTCCGACTAAAATTCATCTCTACTACTGGCGGGCTAATAACGCAACTATTATGACTACTGCGTCCCCTGGGTCATTTTTTTAAATTCACCCCACCGCCTCAGACAAATAAATATTTTCGCAACGAATTCATTACCTTTCGATCTGCATATAAGAAAAAAAAATTCACTTAATTTCAAATAACTCCTAAGAACTTCTAAGAGAAGCCTGCAATCTGAAGAGGTATTTTTTATACCGAAATTGAAACGTGCTCGATAAAACTAAGAAATATTTTTAAACACTTGAAATTATGGCCAATCATATAAGGGAGTATTTATTTATATGTCTGTTTCCCGGGCGTGACAAAAAATTGTTGAAGAAAAAAAGAAGAGCGATTTTTTAGACAGGGTATTTTGGGGATTTGTTTCGAATTAAGAAACGTTTAAGTGGGAATTTCGGAAATTAGGACCGATGTTAGGTAATCGGGGTAGATGCCAAGGAAGAGACCTTTCCCAGGGAACGTCCCAAATCTCGTTTTCGAGCGGAACTCGGGCGGCGTCTTCGGCATTTCCGGTCCGGGCGAGTTGCATCCCTGGGGATGCAAATCACGGTCATCCCGTGATTGGTCTCGGGCTGTTTACAATTCGATTCTGTTACGTCGCCGTAAAACAGGACCGAGGGATTCTTTTCTCGCCGAAAATAGCATGGGGAGGTGGAGATCGCATTTCGAGTGGAGTCAGTGCAGTGACGGGGGTTGACCAGTAAAGAGCCAAGTGAAATTCGGGACGACAGCCAAACCCGCCAAGCAATTATAGAATTGGATTCGATTGAAACGTTCGGGGAGGCCTGCACCGCCGATTAGTTTTATTTTAGCTTAGCTTCCGAAGGCATCCGGTTGTGCATTCTCTCCGCTGATCATCGCTTCTTCCACAGTGAGTGCCCTCCTAACCGAATCCGCCTTAATCGGGAATTTCCCTCCTAGGACAGGTCCAGGGTCCGGGAAACCTGGCCAGAAAGACGCGGCATAATTTTCCCTGCATTTTGCCCCGAAAAACATCCCCATTGGGAGGGTCTAAAGCCTCGAAGGGATTATTCCAAAGTGAAGCGCGAGGCGCAGCGAGGAGGCCTCGGCGGGCCGCCATTGCTCGAGTATTTTAAGACGCGGCTCGGGACGCTTCTTTCGCGCCGATCGTTTCTATTTTATTTAACCCGATTACCCCTCGGCGAAAGTCGATTAAGGCCGACGAAAGATGGGGGAAGTGTCGCGGAAGGAGAGATGAAAAAAAAAAAAAGAGAGAAAAAAGAAATTCCAGAAGTGCGGCTCCCCGCCAAAGTCTCGGTGACCGATTGTCTGCCTCGCGGCTCCTGACAAGTGATAACCTCGGATTGTCGGTATTGCAGGTCCCTGGGCGGCTTGGAGATTAGGAAACTCCAGTTTAATCCCCGACCCGGTACGAAGGGAGACTCGACACCATGGAGGCCATCAAGAAGAAAATCGCCGCCCTCAAGATGGAGATGGACGCGGCCAATGAGAAAGTCGAGGTCAATGAAACTAAAGCCAAACAGGAGAACTTGAGAGCTGATAAGCTCTACGACGAGGTGAGGGATCTGCAGAAAAAGCTCGCCCAGCTCGAGCGGGATTATTCCGTCTCGAAAACTCAGCTAGAACAATCGACCGCCGACCTGGAGACTTGCGAGAAAGCGTACTCGAAGGTACTCAGAATCTTTATTTAAATACTAGGGCCCGTACTCGTACCTCATCTATAGCGTCCCTTAACACAAAATACGTATATTATCCGTAGATAAGATATAAAAAAAAAAACGTCTCGACGACAAGACGTATCCTATCTGTTAATTTAAAACGGCTGAAAGACGTATTCCCGTCGCTAAAAGTGAGGAGGAGGAGGGTAGATTGTTCAGTGCCATTTAATCGCCTTAATTGGGAGTTAAATCCCCGACTTCAAGTTGAACAACCTAAAAGAAGCCTCGACCACTGGCTCCTCTAAAAATAAACCGCCCCGTAAATCAAATCCACGAGCCAACCCGCCGACCTAGATAATATATAGGAACCGGTGAATCGAGATAGATCGATTAGCGAGAATGCTTACTACACGCGGGGGAATATATTAAATATATATGAATTAGAAAAGAACAATGTGGATTTTTTCTGCGGGCCAGAGTTTACGATTCTAATGATTTCTGACGTTTAGGCCGAGCAAGACAGGACGACGCTGACGAGGAAGGTGCAGGAGATCGAGGCGAACCTGCACAAGAAAGAAGACTTGCGAGAATCGGCTCAGCTGAAGTTGGCCCGTGCTTCCGAGCTTGCCGACGATGCGAAAAGGTACTTTTTTTTTTTTTTTTCAAGAAAATCGCTCTTGCATATATAGGCAAAACCTGCTCTTGATTTTGTATTTTTATTAATTTTTTTTATTCATTATATGAGGCCAAGATCGATTCCCCTCATCTTAGGCTCCAGTACTCAAAGTCCTACACCGATAGACTTGATGTTATCACGTTGAATTATTATTATTAATTGATGGTTCCTCCCTTTGTCTTCAGGATGTGCAAGGTGCTGGAGGACAGGAGTCGGCTGGACGAGGAGCGCACCGAGAAGCTGATGATCGAGCTGAAGGACGCCAGGTTGATCGCCGAGGATGCGGACTCCAAGTCGGACGAGGTCGCCAGGAAGCTGCAGTTCGTCGAGGAGGAGCTGGAGGCTGCGGAGGACCGAGTGAAGACTAGCGAGGCGTCAGTAAATCCTAGATAGGGCGGAGGGAAAAAAAAAGAAAGAAATGAAATGACCCAGGCATTCTCTGTCTTTCCGAAACCGCAGGAAAATCGTGGAGCGCGAGGACGAGCTCTTCATCGTGCAGAACATCGTCAAGTCGCTGGAGGTGTCCGAGGAGAAGGTTGTTAATTGACTACGGGCTGAGTTCTCGGAGTGGACTGTAAAAGGGTCCTTTTCGTGTCTTTTTAACAGGCGAACGCGCGAGTGGCCGCCTTCAAGGTGCAGCTGAAGGGACTGAAGGTGAAGCTGAAGGCAGCGGAGAAGAGAGCCGTCCTCGCCGAGAGGGCCGTCAAGGCGCTCCTCAAGGACGTGGACATGAAGGAAGGCAAGGGTCGCCTCCCCAGGTTCCTTCCATCTACACGCCATGAAATAATTATTAATTAAGTTATTCTTTTGTCGCAGACGAGCTGAGGGAGCAGAAGGAGAAGTACAAGGCGATCTGCGACGACCTGGACAACACCTTCGCCGAGATGACGGGATACTAGACCACCTCCAGGCCTCCCTCCGACCTTTCCACGCTTTCCGCTTCGCTTCGCCATTCGATGAGAGTGTGACAGTGCTTCGCCGCGGGCTGATAATTATAAAAAGATCCGAATCTCGGCTCGATCACTTGGCATTAACTATCGGGAGCTGCTTACCGCTTGCGTCGCTAACTAGCGGGCTAAAAATGCACGCCGCTTTTGACCGTAACGCCGCTTAGCCTGCCAAGAACATTGCCAAAGAGCGCCGCTGACGCTGACAGTCCTCCCCGTAGAGGCGACAGTCCGTATTGACGAGTGTATTTATTTTTTTCAGAGGAGTCCGGAGTACTCGGAGCGCCTCGTGTTCGCGCCATCGGTTGCCTTTAACGTTGTGCCGGTTATTGTATTTTCAATAAAGCCACTTGAGCGAAGATCTCGTCTGCAGCGATTTTTGCATACCCCAAAAAGTCCCGGAAAAATGTCTAAAAAAATTGAAAAAAAATTCATGCTGAGTACTATAAGTATAATCTTACTCCCATTCATAAATGGGGCCACGACAGCTGGTTGATATCAGCATAATTCTATCCCATCTCCCAAACTTCCCTGAGAGTTGTCAGGTAGAGCGAACGTCTGGGTCTCTATGGAATATCTAAAAGAAAAAATTATAGAATAATTAGTTAGACATTATGAATGGGGAATTCACGTGGGAGGAGCAATGGAGTACGGAGTTCTCCGTCGGCGTTTGTCCCAGTTAACATTGACGGATCCTCTTATCACCATTACCGGCAAAGGGCGAGTCTTCGAGAGCGAGAGCGCGTCGGCAGCCGAAGAAGTCGAGGAATTCGCTCGTGTCTAACTAAAGAAACCGACGACATGGTCCTTTTGCATTTCTAGGAGTCTATAAAGCATAGTCCTCCCCGGTCACGGAGTACAGTAACCGGGTGGAGTCGCTTCTTCGAGGGTGCACGCCCGACGAAGCCGCTCTAGAGTACCCCCCGGAAAAATTCATAAGAAATTAAATATTAATTGAGAAGAATTCGTAGATACTCATTTTTTTCATTTCCAATCGGTGGAGCAGCGTTAAACGGAGACCCTGGTTAGAGGAAAGTCCAACATGAACGCGATCAAGAAGAGGCTGCAGACCCTGAAGGTGGAGAAGGACCTCGCCCTGGACAGGGCGGACGCCTGCGATCAGCAGGTGAGAGAGGCAAATAGAAGAGAGGAGAAGCTGAGAGACGAGGTCAGGGATCTCGCCAAGAAGCTGGCCCAGATGGAGAGGGACCTGGCCGAGAGCAAGGACCAGCTGGGAAGGTCCAACTGGGAGCTGGACCAGAAGGAGAGGGTCTTCATGGTGGTGCGTGGAAATCTGTAAATTAGAAACCTTTAAAAAAAAAAATTAATCGGTCTCGTTAGAAGTTTCCCTGAAAGAAAAATCAATACTTGGGAGCTTTTTCACCTGTCTTGGCAGACGCAATCGGAGCTGGCCGTGCTGAATCGGAAAATGCAGCAGAGCATGCAAAATCTGGAGAAAACCGAGGAAAGACGACTCTGCGCTCAGGCGAAGCTCACCCAGGCCCTGGAGACTGCTGAAGACGCTAAACGGTTTGTTAAATAACGTTTTCATTAAATTTAGGTAATATAGATTTTTAATAAATAGTGGAAGTCGTTGGAAATCACATCATCGTGATAATTTTAAGGTCCACGTCACTTGTTAATGAATTACATTATTTGCCATTTCATACGATAAACAGCGATCGGTGATAGGTGACGATCGGTCTTAAAATTGACAATGTTTCGGCGATTTCCAACGATTTCTCTTCGTCTCTTCAGGATCTGCAAGGTCCTGGAGAACAGGAGCAAGCTCGACGAGGAGAGGATGGATCAGCTGACTGCTCAGCTGAAGGAAGCCAGGTTGATCGCGGAAGACGCCGATGCAAAGTCGGATGAAATCTCCCGGAAGCTGGCCTTCGTGGAGGACGAGCTCGAGGCTGCCGAAGAGAGGGTTAAAGTGAGCGAGGCGTAAGTATTTATATTTTTACCTGAGGATTCTGATTTAATCTCTCGAGGAAAGGGCTGGAAATCGAAGGAGGTTCTGGGAAACGTCGCAGGAAAATCGTCGAGAGGGAGGACGAGCTCTTCATCGTGGGGAACATCTTAAAATCCCTCGAGGTGTCCGAAGAGAAGGTAAGAAAATATTTAAAGCGACATTAAAATGAGTGTTATGTCAGGCTATTTAAAAAAAAAAACATTTAATTCCTAGATACTCATGAAACTTGAAAATTTACCAAAACAATGTATCTAATGTATTGAAAATGATACGAATATAAGTGGGATATTTCCATTTAACCAGGCGAACCAGAGAGTGGAGGAGTTCAAGGCGCAGTTGAAGACCCTGAAGGTGAAGCTGAAGGAAGCCGAGAGACGCGCCGTGACGGCTGAAAAAATGGTCAGGTCTTTCCTGAAGGAGCTGGACGAGAGAGAAGGTACTTTATTCGCGAAAGATCGTCCTGGAGAGGCAATTACCCTGGGATATCTCTTCCAGACAACCTGCTCAAGCAGAAGGAGAAGTACAAGTACATCTGCGACGACATGGACTCCACCTTCGCCGAGCTGACGGGGTACTAATCGCCCCCTCTCCTGGGACCGCTTATATATTTAACCATATACCGATTTATTCGATTTAAATGCCGACGAATGGCTAAATAATCCGCCCAGCCTCCTCGGGAGGGCCCGAGAAATTTTCATCCTACTTAGAACCTCTAATTAGGCCTCAAATGGGTATCGAGAGGATATAAAAAGGGGTAAGAATCAATGTCTATAAAATTGAGGTTCACCATTAAACCTCAAGGGCTTAAAGAATAAGGCAGGGCTAATAAGGGCGATATTATGCAGGTTTAAAGTAGGGCCAAAATCTCGACTCGGGGACCTCCGTGGCTAACACCGCATAATCGTTCTTACACGATATCAATTTATTTTTAATCGATTATACGACCGACACAATGCATCGCGAACACCATCGTCGTGTACTATACATCATACATCCGAGAGAAATAAAGTCGTGGAATGTCTCGAGTAATTCCGTAATCCCAGCATGTCGTCCTCCACAATCCATAATATCCGCGATATCAATTTTACTGAGTCGTTCCACATATACGAAATATTATCAAACGATTATCATTACCGACGATTCTTGAAATGAAATCCGCGAGGATGTAAACGAGGAATGACCAACATTACGCGTTATTACATGAATTACACGAGTGGCCAAAGAAATAAATTCCCGACCCTTGGCAAAAAGTTCTGGATCGACCCAGGAAAAAGGAATCGCGATTCGCGCGGTAAATTCGAAGTCGTCTATACACACAGGGTAGTTTGATTTTCTCAATTAGCAGGTAAAAGTACACGTAGACGCACTTCCGCCGACCGAGGCGTGCTCGAAAAGATCGCACTTGGCCGGAGAAAACAGCCAGGGGGTGGGTGGGTGGGTTTGGGGGAGGGAGGAAATGTACAAAACGGGGGCAAAGTGCCCCACTTTCCGACTGGTAACACGACTCGAAACGATATCATACCCGCTTACCGAAGGATCTAAATTAATCGAACTCTCCGAGTTTGATTGACGTGCTTCCTCCTCGTATATGTATATATACATGTATAGGTAGATGAATAACGTGTGTCTCGTTTACTGCGCTTTGTACGTACGTTTTTTTCCGTGTATACCTATATATATATAGCGCGGCGCGGTGATGCGACGGGATAGGGTCGGAAATGAAATGGAAAGGCTGTTATCAAACGTCGATATGGAGAATACAGGCAGTGGAACACCGAGCCGAGGGCAGTGGATCGCATTTTCCAGGATATCGGCTCGCCTAATTTCTTTCCTTTTTTTTTCCCCTCTTTTCCTTTCCCGGGGAAACTTACTCTTAATCGGGTAAATGATATCGGAGCCCGCTCGAACGATACTCGTGTATAAAATGTCGCGCAAATCGCGGGTTCGCTCTTATCAGCGCATCGGAAGACGTGGGGGGCAGGCTCGATCCTCTCCCTCCAGGAAACGTAGAAAAAGTGTCGTAGAAACGGCTAAAAAAATGGCAGCGGTGGGCGTTATCACTTATCTCTTATTCCTTTGTTATGTCGCGGTCGCACCACCGCGGGGCTCGCGAGGGGATATACCGAATCGGAGAACGGCGAGACTCTCGTACATGGGGGGTAGAGAATTTACACGGCGAGTCCTGGGACCTAAATTAATCAACGTTAATGATACTCGTACGTATAGAAACTTTACAGCGCAACAGAGTCCGACGCGCGTTTCGAGCAGCCCTCGACGTGCCGCACCCTGAAGAGTCCGGCCCTTGAACAGGGAAGACCTGAATCTACCTCGTTGAATGTCGATCGATCGAAATCCCCCCCCGTAAGGGTCGATCGCACCGAGGCTCCAGTCGGAACCCATATTTTAGGGCTACCTAATGAGTGATTAGCGCTAATCAACCGATTTCTGGTTACCTGGGGTTATTTCATCCTTGGGATGATTTTCACTCGCGATGCTTATTTCCTTAATCCGAGATTAATTAAACGCGCTAATCATGGTTGGGGCGATTTACGCGAAGTGCCGGGGAAATGACGTCTTTAAGAGACGGAGTGTTCGTTCGTTTTTTTTTTTTTTTTCAGGAACGAAGAGGTGCCCCGGTCCTTTGTGCGAGGTTCCTCCTCGTTCCTCCGGCAGCATCCTCTTCGAGGTCAGGAACCTGTTGTGCAGCAGAATAGGCAGTGAGTTCACGTTTAGGGGACCAGAGATGAGCTTCTTCAAGGTGGGCCGTTCCGGTCGAGGCGGGTCGGGGACCCTCTTCAGGGGTGGACCTGGTTCCTCCTTTTAGACGGCGATGGAGTAGTCGGAGGAGGGGTTGTTCTGGGTGCTGGGCCTCGACCAGAGGGAGCTCCTCAGGCCCAGCTTGAGCTTCTTCAGGGAGTCGATGTCGCACTCGGCCTCGCTGAGCTCCGGTCGATCCCCGCTACCCGGGGCCGGCACCACCCCCGATTGACCCCCCACGAAGGCGGTCTCTGCCACCGAGATCGGCGGCAGCAGGGTGCGCAAGGAACTCCTGCTGGGAACATGCCATCTTAGGAGACAGCCGCGCGAGCAGAGATTTCTGCATGAGAGCCTTCGAGATGAAGATGACGATGAAGACAAACTCGACTCCGTATGCTCGCGCTTAGATCGATCCTCCCTGTCGGAATTTTCCAACCTTCCCTCTAAAATATCCCCTTAAAGACAAACCTTGACAAGATTAATTAAACTCTAAGAATCTTGAAAACCGACATAATGAAATATATATATATCTTCTGGTTCAGTCGAGGATGACCCTCGTTGATTTTTTGACTCGGGGATCATTTCGAAATATTTTTCCTTTATAGATCAGCTGATCTCGGGGAGGAACGATTGCGCGTCACCAGAGCGAGGATTTTTCTGAGCAGAGTCGAGACCAAGGGACGAGTTGTTCTCGTTAACGTGAAAGCCTCGCGAATGAAGATGATGCCTATGAAATCGATCTTGAGATCGGGTTTGCGATGGTTACCTAGATCGTCCTCTTCGGGGCAACGACTTCTGCTCGGACATCGGCAAGATGTCCGACAAGGTGCTCGACATGCCGTGGTAGATTAGGTCCGAGACGGCGCGAACTGGAAGTATTCAAGATCGATATACCTTGTCCTAAAATGAAGGAGAGCCAATTGCTCGACTCACTGTGCTTGAGTTTGCCGGCGTCCAGTTGGTTGGAAGACTCCGTCCGCGAGCCCGTCAGCTGGTCCAGGTCAGACTCGCTTTCGTCGCTCTCGACGTCGCCCGGGGTCTGCTGCTTCCTCTGCTGGCGGCGTCGCGACGACACACTCTTCATACTCTACAAGTATAAAAGCCCCAGAAAAATTCGACAATCCTATCTCCCCACCCACAGTCTGGTAGACAAGTTCTAAAGCACTCAAAAAATGTAATTAATACCCTGAGAAAAAAAAAAGTTGGTCGACCTAAACAAATAAATACGGTCATGCGATCGTACCGTAGAATAAGTTTCACTTGAGAATTAGTCGGCGAGTTTACGAAAAATTCAATATAGCCTGGCGAATGATGAAGGAAGGGATTCATTATTGTATTGGGGAGAGAGTGAACGAAGGAATATGATCATGAAATGATTAAAAAAGGGATTAATAATTTATTATAGAGGACTAACCGCCGCCGCTGGGGGAGGGCTCGCGCAGCCTTCCGTCATGGCATGCTCGTGGTACATGAAGCTGTGAAGAAGGGTGTTGTTGGTGTGCAGCCCGGCCGCAGAGGCCTCTGCCGCGCCTCCCAGTCCGCCCAATCCTCCCAGGCCTCCCAGGCTTCCCGCGCCCCCCTCCGAAAGCTGGAACGTAGCGTACGGCGAGATGTCCTCCGCCGTCTCTGTAACCGAGCAGCGGCATTGCCTCCCTGTCAAATCGCGTCGCATCGGCTCTTCCGCGGGACCTGCGCGAAGCGGGGCTAGCCCTGGCGCCGATGCGGGCGCCGCTCCTCGCGAGTTCCACTTAGGTCAGCCGGGCTGCGCAAGGCGGCCGGGAGTGGAACTGCGCGCGAGCCGAGACCCGCGCGCGGCGCGCGAGCTGGCCAGTGGGGTCACCCGACGGTTTCTGGACGCCTCTACCGCTCGATCGCTCGCAAGTCGCTTAACCACGCTGCTGCAAGGGGTGGTCCGTACCTGAGTGTAGAATCAAACCTGGTTCGTATCGGAACAAACGATCACCTGGAATCTTATCGGGCCCTGCCGTGCTGGCCGCCTGCTGCAGCGCAACTTTGTGGATGGTCGCGTAGTACCGCTCGCGCTGCGTCTCCGCGTTCTGCTGGTTCTCCTGAGACTCCTTCATAGGCCTTTGCACCCGGTCGCCCACGTATCCTGGAAGAGGATCGAACATAAAATTATGACACAGAGTAAAGAAAAAAAAATTATGCCTCTGACCAATTAACGATATTCGTTAAAAATGAATTACAAAATGAAAGTGGAATCAATGGCAAGACTTACGGTTCCGCCAGCGAAACGCGACGGTGACCGCGACAGCCAGGAGCGTCACCGAGGCCATGATCACCGGCAGCATGACCTTGATGTCGGCATAAAATGGGATCACCGCGGAGATCCCCCGGGTAGACAGTTCCGGTGGTGGTGGATCTAGACGAGAAATACCTAAGTATTCGATTTTCCCCCAGGGTACCTCGCTCCAGGACGTACCACCGTCTTTCGTCAGGGTGACGAAAGTGAACTCCGCCTGGTTGCTGCCCGCGACATTGTTGGCCTCCACCTTGAGCTGATAGACCGAACTTGGTGCCAGGTTGGTGACGACGAATCGCCTCTGCATCTTTACGCTGTTGGACACCAGGGTCCAGTGGAATTCGTTGATGGGTCGGTACTGAATGACGAAGTAGAGGATGGGGCAGCCGTTATCAGGCCAGACGTGGAGCCTGAGGACCAGGGTGGTGGAGTTAGGGGATAAGAAGGCTGCAGCAGGTGGGATTCCAGGTGCCTGACCCTGGGTCCGCACCGATAGCACCGGAGAGGATGCACTACTGCCGATCTTGTTGTGCGAGGTCAGGTACAGGTGGTACGTGTTACCGCAGAGCAGACCCTGGGAGGTATCGGAAGAGTTGATTGCATGGTCCATGGATTAAAATAATAACTTATTTTTTTTAGGGTGAACCTTCAACTCGTGGCTGGTCGCTCTACGGGGTAACTGCAGCTCGTCAAGGTTCCCGTGGGTCCTGCGATAATGAAGAGTGTATCCTGTTAAGGCTGCGCCTCCGTTGTATCCTGGCTTCCAGTGCAGCAGGATGCTGCTGGACGTTGAACTCGTCACGTAAAGCACAGGCGCATTAGGAGGGACTGTGATTAGAGATTAGAAATTTTCTGAGTCTTAAAGGCATTCATTAAGGCATTATAAATGATCTCATTCGAGGGTTTCACCCTATTTAGAACATATCCGAACAACGCATCTCACCCTGCACCGTCAGGGTATAGTGGAGTCGGTCGTTCCCCTGGGAGTTCTCCACCTGGCAGGTGTAATTCCCTGCGTCCTGAGTCTGCAGGCTCGAGAGGACCAGTTCTCCGGTCTGCAGGATCTGGAGGTTCCTGCTAGGGTCCGTTCGCACCTGTTCCACGGTGTCCTTGAACCATTCCCTCGTGGGTTCCCCTACGGCTTTGCACTCCAACGTGGCGGATTCTCTCCAAGGCCGAACAACGTGTCCCCCGAAGGAGATGATCTTCGCAGGGACTCGATTGGTAGGAACCTGCGCTGCCACCCTAGAACTCTGACCTTCCCCAACACGAGTGCTCACAGTCACCCAGAATTGGTACTCCACGTGTTGCTGAAGACCGGTGGCCTCGAAGTAGGTGTCGGTAGCTGGGAGGGTCCTTTTCCCGTGGTTCAGCTCTTCCCTTCCATCGACGACCCTGGATTTCGAGTCGTCATAAGGTGAGATCCTGGATGAAAGGGGGCTAACAAAGTCCCTCGACTAGTTCCTTAACTTGCCTGGTGTAGAGATTGTACTTTGTGATGATTCCATTGGGCTCCAAGGGCGGCAACCAAGAGATCAGCAGAGCCTGAGGAGAGCTGACGACCACTTTAATATCCGCAGGACTTCCCGGGACTGCAAGGAGTGATTAGAATTCGGTAGACATACATTTCCACCTTCGATCCACCTAAAATTTCTTTAAGACCCTCACCATCCTCCTCGGTGTGGCAGTACGTCACCCTGGTCGGAACTCCATCCCCAACCCTGGTGAAGGCCAACACCTGGATGCTGTAATTCGTGTACCTTCTCAGACCAGCCAGGACGACCGTCAGGGCGCTGGTTTTGCGAACCTTCGACACAAAGCATGTGGAAGTTAATATAATCCTGTCTTCGGGAACTTCATCTGGCTCTTCTTCAAGAACACTCACATCCATTTCGTCCGTGCCGCGCCAGGCTTCAGCCAGGACAGGTTCGAAGTGGAGTTTATATCCTTGAATGAGGCCATTACTGTGGGCGCTGGGAGGAGGTTGCCAGGACACCTGCAGCGACTGGGAAGACAAGGCTGCACACCTGATGTCCTTAGGAGGTTCGCTGGGAACTGCGCAAAATTAAGAAAAAAAAAATATATATATATCAATTGATTAATTCGTTTCATTCAGGCGTATATTTGATAGGACCACTATCCAAGGGAGGGTAACCATGTCCACCAGGGTACACCTACCGTCCTCCAAGGTCTGGGTGATCAACGGTTCCGACATGGGTCCCGAGCCCACCTGGTTATAGGCCTGGACGACCAGGGTGTACCTGGTGAAGGCACGCAACCCCGTGAGGCGAAGTTCCCCACCACCCTCTTCTCCATCCCCCATGACCGAGGTGAAGTTGTAGGCCGGATTTCCGGAGCTGTAAGGACCACCATGAAGATCCTGCCTGAGATGAGGCCTTACAGCGTCTACGGGGAAACATTCACCTGGTTTCTCGGTACCCCACGTTGAATCCTTGCACATCTCCGTGTCTCAACTCGGGGATGGGTGGAGACCAGGTGACGAGGATCTCCGTCGAGCTCAGAGCTCGGGCTGCGATGTTGATGGGAGGTCCTGCCGGTCTCTGGGGTTCGGTCCTGACGACGAGCTCGGCAGACGGTGCCGATCGTCCCGCAGGACCCTCGGCGATCACCCTGATGGTATACCTGGTTGCCGGCTTCAGCTCGTCTATCAGGGCGGCGTATTGCAAGGGGGGACCACTCAGCTCCTGTTGCTGCCACATGCCACCTGGAGGACGCAGGGAAGATCCATGTTCACCAGGTGGACGACAAAGGCGATCACTTGGGAAAATTCCGTTATATCTATCTCCAGGGTTCCGTACCGTCTCCTTCTCGGTACTGCAGGATGTACTTCGTCACCTCGCTGGTTCCTTGCGACTTGTGCTGCCATTTCACGTTTATGCTGCGACTCGCCACCATGGCGGTCTCCAGGGAGTTCGGCGGCTGCGGCGGCTCTGGTAAAAATAATTAATCCCTATTATTTTTATCCATCTCCTCGGGTACCTCGGTACCAGAGGCAAACCTTGGACCAGCAACTGCACCAGCTGCTGTTCTCGGCCGTACAGATTGCTGGCCTCGCAGAAGTATGCTCCACTATCGGAGGCCTCTGCCGAAGAGATGTGCAGTTGTGCTACCACGCCATCAGGAGTCGCCTCTTGGTTCACCGTGACTCTGAGGTGTAAAACATCTTGAATGAATGAGACAAAATGGAGTTTATTTATTTTTTTTTTTCCTACCGATAGTTCGTCGAGGGGCTTAGCTCGATGTTCCCACCCTTCAGCCAGGTCACTATCACTGGCTTATCACCGTGCACCTCGCAGTCGAGAACGGCGGTGTCGCCCTTCTTCACGGTAACGGGACGAGACTGGGCGGCGAAATATGGGGAGGCTGAGAAATGCAAATTAAACGGTACGTATAAAAAGCCTATGATATACATAACAACATGCATCGATAAAAAGATTTCATTCAACCTGAGAAATAATTTCTTAATTCATCCGATGTCCCGTGAATTTTTTTTCCTCATTGTACGAGTATTTCATTAAATCTTCTCTCTTTTTTTTTCTTTGGTTAATTTAATTTTTTGTCAAGTTGCTTACAGTTAACCTTCAGTTGGACAACCTTCCCGATCCCAGTGCCAATTCCATTGCTGGCCTGACAGAGATAGAAACCTTCTCTGTCCTCCTTCACATGCTGAAGCAAGAGGGTCCCATTGCTGAGGATCTTCGTGTGCGCTCTGTCGCGCAGCTCCTCGTATTCTCCTGATTTACTGCCTGTAAAAAAATCATTCATTAGAATTTTTAATATCTAATTTTCATTTTTCATTTTCATTTTTCTTCGGGTGACTGGATATTCTTGGGGGGGAAATTGGAGTTCCACCGACCTGTGGCCTTCTTCCAGACGATCGTGGGTGGAGGCACACCTTTGGCTTGACAATGCAAAGCCACGTGTCTGTTTCTCTCCACACTGACGTCGGTAGGTTCGACGACCCATCTCGGTGGTACTGAAAGCCAGAGCGAGAAAGAATTAGCAAGGAACAGCCGGACACCTCGAATCCATGCCGTTCTCTTGCTCGCTTATCGCGTTTCCTTCAAGAAGTCCCGTCGCGATCTTGGAAGATAGTGAGAGAGAGAGAGAGACAGAGAAAAAATTAAAAAATCCGCGAGATATGTCTCTAACTCGTAGCGACTTGACAAATGGATCGGCGGATGGCGCAGCGTGGCTTCGTAACGCGAGGACCGCGTGATTTATAATTAAAATTGCCATCATTACTTTTAACCATACACGTCAATCAGTCAAACTTTAACATGAGAGACGAAAGGGTTGATTGGGGCTGGTCAGGGTTCGAGGTTTCGCGATCGATGGCGGTGGAGTTTGGTATCGAAGCGGGACGTGTCTTCGGAAAATCGCTCCCGTGCATTCTCCAAATTGGATCTCGCAATTTCTCCCTCGATTAGCACAAATCCGAATGTACTCTCGCTCCCAGACCCTGGAAAAATCAACCCCGGAACGAGGTTAACTACCCTTTCCTTTGGTCTCGGGGAATTAATTCCAAAATAATCCTCCAAAGGATTCGAGAGCGCCCCTCACAATATCGAAAAATATTCCCTCCACTTCGCTCCCGGGAAATAAAATCGAAGTCCCTCCCCCGAAGAACCTACCCTCAAATGAACTAAAAAAAAATATCTCGGAACGAGCCCCTGGTAAAAAAAAAATATAAATTAAAAAATAGACTTAGTAGGCAGAAAATAGCGAGAGCGCATTCGAGGTAAATTCAGGATATCATTGAATTTCTAAAGATGTCTCTTGACATTTCGGGGCAGATCTTCCGGGACTGTAGACCCGCCTCGAGGAGGTCCATGAAGAATTCGGGGGTTACTGGGTAAACTACTTTACAGTGGTGAAAAAAAACGCTGCACAAGCGAGATACTGTGAGAGGGAGCCCAACGTCTTGCAAACGGCAATCGCAGTTTCTCGGTAGGTGCGAGTAAGGTAAATATATGTATATATATATTCGACTTACGATCTGAAAGACGAGAAAACGTATATATATATAGACATATATATATAATCCGCGCCAGGCGTGGGATGGGTACCGGGGATATCAATATATGTGACAATAGATCATCTCACTTATCGCATTTCTGTCTTTCCAGGGACATACTGATCGCCGAGGAAGTATCGAGGAGAAGCCGGTAAAAGACGCGATCTAACGACTAGTCTGATGTATATATAGTCATATACGCATGTGTATATATATATCGGCATATATATATGAAAAAAAAAAATAATATACGGATGGTCGAAACGTACGATCTACTAGCCTACGGATTTTAGCGGTGAAGCTCGGGCGGGACGCGTGGGCAGCACGGTAGATAGACAAACAGGTATATAACGTATGTATGATACATAATAAATATATATATATATATGTGAGTACAGATTTATGCCAGAATGTCAACCATACGTATATACATATGCACGTGAACCAAGGGCGAGAGATGCGCATACGCGTTGCGTGCCGTGCGTCTGGTGCGCCGATTAGCCGCGTGTTAGACGGTTCAGAGAGGAAAGCTCCGGTCCAGAGTGAGAGAAGTGGTCGAATACAGCCTGGGGTCGTATGTATAAATGTAAATATATATATAATTGTAGAGAAATATGTCCACGAGTAGGCGAGCGAGAGCGCAGCCACGGAAAACGCGCCGCTTTTCCAGGGAAGAAAGCAAGGGGGATACCCACGCGACCTCCTCCGTGCTCCAGCAACGAGCGGAAAATCGCTATATAATAGTCGTATCGAGACCAGAGACATACACAGAGACCAAGCCGGAGATAAACTGGCGGATAAAGAGCCTTATGGCGAGCCTGAACGTGCACGGGACATGCCGTCTCCCCAGGGATTCCCGGGAGCGTCTTCTCGCGAGATGCGCAGGCATCGCGAAGATGGCCAGCCTCTGGACCACTTGAAGGTCCACTAAAGAAGGTCCCGTCAACCGCGAAATTTGATATTAATTTTTCTTCATGCCATGCCGAATCGTTCAGAATTTTCTTCCCGGGAATAAAAAAGGCTCAAGTCTCTACACCGTGACAAGATGCCTAATTAGGCACATTCAACGTGTAGAAAACCTTTATAAACGAATTTAAACCCCAGATGAGACTTTCGTATCGCCTTAAGTTCGGAAGACGCAAAGATGGTGATTTTTAGTTGTCTCCTCTAAAGTCCACCAGAGGCTGACCAGCTCGCTCGTTAGACTTACTGATAGAAGCTAAGAACATCTAGATATTGTATATTATAACACGGTAATGAGAAAACAGTCAAGAGAGAGCATGCCAAAAAAGTCCCACATACAAGGTCTTAACGTCAAGAAAGAGAGAATATGAGAAGAGTTAACTATGAAATTAGGAAGAGGTGCAACTGTTACCTTTATGGTTCGGTCAAGTCAAGCAAACCTCGGGGGGTCCACGAGATACCGACGCATTCCCAGAGAGCCAAAGCAACGCAAATGTAATACACACTGTGTGTTGGGTGTGGGCGTGGATAATTAAGGCTTAGAGGGATCGCGAGGTCGCCTCCTCCTCAGGAGTCGCGCGCGTGCAGGCCGCCATCTTGGAAATCCAGGAGTTCCTCCTTCGTAGCGAACCCGCGACGAAATTTCTATTTAAATGCGAGCACGATAGCGAATCTGCAGGCGACGCATATCCCGAAGAAGGAGAGCGGAATGACAAACCACGTCGACAAGGGAACCGAGCCGAAAGCGCGATCTCGCGTCGATGATGATGATGATTTCGCATGAGGTCGCTGGAGGGTGCTCGAACGGGTCCAAGGAAAATCAGGAGGAACATCATCGGGACGTACACTCGAAAAAAAAAAAAAATGGGACCCCCGGAATCTCGCCTTCGATCAGTAATAAAAATATCAAGCCTAAAAACTCACATATTCCTCGCATAAAAAAAAAGAAAACTAAAATTACCAAGTCTCGGGTCATTCTAAGAATCTACCTCTATAAGAGCTCTATAGAAAATTCGGCTACCCCTTCGACTTAAAAAAAAAAAAAAAAAGAACCAGGTAATTTATATCCTGTCCAAAAGACATTCATTGAACCATAGAAATAAATTTCTAATGCGAAGAATATGTGGCTGGTCGCATGAAGAAACGCGTCGCACCTGACTGATTAGATTTTTCTTCAGGCAAATTATGGTACTTTCAATTGTAGAGGACATTTCATGGGCACCATTTATCTCTGGTTCAATGAAAATTTGTTATCAGGGTGGACCTCGATGAGATTGACGTCCCTGGAGGGTGTAAATTCGAGAGGGGGAAATGAAGGAAGGGGTGGAGGGCCGAGTTTGATTGATTTTAAATTGAATTTTGGGAGACTTCCGGGGGTGGTTCGGTGGGCTTCGGGGGGAGGATTTGGGGGCCGATCATCTAGTTACCTTTTACCTGTAGCTTGGCCGTGTACCTGACTTCGGCGGCGGGGTTCGCGGCGACGCAGGTATAGTCTCCGGAGTGCTCGGCCGCGAGGCTCGAAATACTGAGCAGGCTCGAGTAGGGATCCAACATGGTGATGTTGGCGACGGAGGCCAATTTCGGGGGCAAGGGGAAGGGATTTTGGCCGTCTTTGAGCCAGGAAATGGTCAAGGGTGGGTCGCCCGCCGCGACCCCGCACACCGTCCGCGTCCGCATCCCCTCGGAAAGTCCCTCTTGGAAGTTAAATGGCTCAATTATAGGGGGTACTGGAAAAGGTCAAGAGAGAAGAGAGAACCATACGTGAGAGCGAGAAAAAGATGTCATCAAAAAACTCCGTACCAGCTGGTAATTGTATATATATGTACAATAATAGATATATATATATATATATGGATGGATATGTACGTACGTATATACACATACGGGGGCTGCTGGAAATCAGCGCAATTAAGGTCATGTTCCTCGTATGTATATATATAGAAATTTCCTTCTCAGTCAGAGTCAGAGAGAGAGAGATAGATAGATAGAGAGAGAGACAATCGTATGTACAGTAGAGGCAGTAACGTAACAACGTAGGAGAAGAGTGGCCCCGCCAGGACTGACCACTGACGCCCCATTAAGAGACACATCTAGCATCGCAACCCCCACACATCCTGTTCGTCCTAGAAGCAAGCATTTCTCTGGCCCCTCCGGATGGTCCAGGAGTCCTCCAATTTTCTTTTACCATTGTTTCCTCCTTTCGTAATCATTTTATTATTTAAATTCAACGCGGAATGTCAGGAGACTCCCTCGTCAGCCGGAGCGACCATGGCAGGACCTTCCAGTCGGAGGTCCTGGATCGGGATGGGAAGGAGATTCGGAAGGCAACGTGCATCAGGACGAGGGGTCCGGTTCTCCAGGTTCTCCGGTGAATCCGGAATTCCATGCCCTGAGCGAGAAAAAAAAAAATGGAAACGTTCACCGAAGAAATATCTCTTTGAATGGTATCAAAGAAATGTATCGTTAATTCAAAGGATAATTACACGACTCGAGTAAAATCGAAATAAATTGCACGCAACGTTCCTTCGGAATTGTGACAATTTATATGAGCTTATTCGAATGAAATAATCATTCTCTAAGTGAACGAGATATCTCTTTGGTTCGATGATTTCTTTTTCTCATGACAGGGATCCTGTTTTTTACCGAGGAGAGATGCTGGCTGTAAATCCAGGTGAACCTGAGATCGGGACCCGGGGCGCCTCCGGGGCGACCCCATGGCGAGGGCGAGTCATGGGAGGCATCGATCGACCTTAATCACCGGGTCCTGGGGGACTCGCCTCCAGGGTCCTCCCCGGGGGCAGGGGGAGCAGGTCCTCCGACCACATTCTCACGGAACCCCACGCATTCCCACGCACCGGGCTGTCAGGGTGTCTTGGGCGGTCGCGGGGGCCTAGAGGGGGATTACCATGGACCACGAGCTGCTGCGTGTGCGACACCTCCGCGGCCAGGTTCCGGGCCACGCAGGAGTAGTTGCCGTTGTGATCTAGAGATAAACTTTCAATCATCAGTATGCTATTGTACTGGTTCATATTGTTGATGACGACGTGCTCGGAGGGGCCGAGCGCGCGGCCGTCTTTCAGCCAGGTGATCGAGATGGGCGCGTCGCCCCTGCTCACGGAGCAGGGCAGAGTGATGCGTTCCTTGAGATGAAGATCACGAGCCGCCGTGAAGGGGGTAATCTTGGGGGGAACTGAAAACGACAAAAGAGACCGTCAGGTCCAAATCCACGGAGCCAAATCGACGTCGACCCGGGGAGCCTGAAAAAATCGATCATCTCGAGCGCGACTTGGGTCGACATGCGAGTCGACTCCTCCGCGTCCTGGTCCAGGTCCAAGGGATGCAGGGTCCTCTTCGTGTCGCTCTTTAATTTTCCATCTCTCCGTTTTCCTCACTCGTCATGTTTTTTTTTATGGGGTTTGTTCTTTAACTCTTCCTTCTTTCAGGCCTTACCGATCACGGCCACCTCGCCCGTCCTCCTGGCGTTGTGCCCCTGCTTGTTCCGAGCCGCGCAGGTGTACTGCCCGGTGTCGGTGTCCTTCTGCACGCTGTTCACCACCAGGGTGCCATCCGGGAGCACCTTTTGCCGCAGGTCGTCCGGGAGTTCTCGACCTGCTCGCTCCCATTTGATGCTCTCTATGGGGTATCCCGCCACGGGGCATTTCAGCCGCAGCGTTTCCCCCGCCACGGCCGTCACCTTCGGGATCATCCGGATGTAGGGCGGTCCTGTGGGGAGGTATTTATTTAGCGTTTATGGGGCAGGTTTTTTTGGGGCCTCGGGATGGTACCGTAGACGTTGAGCCGAGCTGCGTGGGTCACTTTCCCTGCTCGGTTTTCGGCGGTGCAGGAGTATTCCCCTCCGTCCTCCACCATCACGTGGCTGATGTTCACGTGGGAGATCACGTCCCCGTGGACCGTCACGTACTGGCCGATCACCAACCTGTGGGGCAGGTCAGGGATAGCTAAAGTATGGTGGCGTGATTCGGCACAGTCTGGTGGCGGGATCTTGAATTTGGGATTGTTCGTCGTATTTTATTGATAACCATAGATCCAAGATTTTATTGATAACCGTGCATCCAACATTTTATTGACGACTAGAAATCCAGGATTCGGAGTTGGAGCGTCTCCAGGAGCACTCCAGAGGGAGCGAGACATCACTTCCACGTATCAAGAGGAGCGAGAAGGATTCCCGAGGGATGAAGGGACGCAGCATCCCGGATGGAGTCGGTCACCCAGTTTCCATCGGAGATTCGTCCCTCGTCTCGACCCCTCTTCTCTTTACCTAACCACCCCCCGGTAACTCGCCTCACAATAAATATCCTCCCTCCACCTCTCGCGTTTTTCTCCTCTCCCGCGGACTGGAAATTGAAATTGAAATTGCTCGGCCGGCAGGACGTTCCCGCGGGACCGCCGGACGCGGGGGCCACGTCGCCGCGGAAATTACGTTTTAATTATGAATCGTGGACTCTCTCTCTCGACTTTCCTTCTGTCCCCGAGTCTTTTTTTCCCGGCCTCCTCCCACCTTCGAAGAGAGGCGCCGGCCCGAAATTGAGGGAGGTACACCCTCGAGTCGCCGCCACCCGTCTGCCTCCTCCAATTTCCTGAGACCTTCCCTCGGGACCCGGGACACTCGCCCAGCATAATTTCCCAAAAAAGAAAATAAATCAATGAAATTAAAATAACCGAAGTCTGGGCGTCATCCCTATTAAAGCGCCCGAAAATCCTTCTTTCAATTTTAACTATCAAACTTGTCAAGATTAGTTATAATAAATAAAAATTGGGAATAAAGCCACTAAGAAAAGCGTCATAAAATGATAATATCTTCTTTTAACGAAGTACTCACCTCCCGTTTGTGGCCAAGGGGAAGCCGTCGAGGGCCCAGGCGATCTCAGGGGTAGGGTTCCCGGCGGCGGAGCACTTCAGGGACACCGACGGCCCGGATTGCAGGGTCTGCTCGATGAAGGAGTAGAGCAGCACCGGGGGTGCGTCTGAAACGCAAAGTCGGCCGGAAACGTGAAAAAAGACACCCCCGGAGGGTAGGCGGCCGAAAGGAGGATCCGCCTCGTTGAAGCTCTTTCAGCTCGGAGCCTAGTAAATGATGTCCAACCCCGTGGAGGGCCCCCGTGCTCGAGGGGGTGCACCCCTCTCACCTGGGATACGACGTATCACGCATCGTCTCGCTTTTCCCGGAAAACGCAAATGGGCACGATTTCTTAGCGCTTCCTACTTGGCGAAAAGGGGATTCTCCAGGATTCATCTCCCGAGGGCGGGGCATAACGTAATTAATATGCATTTACCTGTCGCGGGGCAGGTGGAAATTAACGACGTCGACCCTCGCTCGGTAATTCCCTCGGAAGAGTCGATCCTCGAGACGGAAGTAAAGAAGAAATAAAAATGGAAATAATCCAGTCCCTTATAAATAATAAGGTTCAATAAATAAAATAAAAATAGTATTTCCAGTCTCGAGTCGAGAGAAAAGAAAAATAGAATTGGAAATAATAATTTTCTCTTTCTGAGACACATTGTAGGGTGATTCCAGCACCCCTATTTTTTAGGTGGAGGGGCATGATCCGAGAGGGACGTGGGAATTATTTTAATTGATATTCGTGGATCCAGAGCAAAGAGTAGATTAAAATCGTGGCGTTTAAAAGTAATTCCGCCCCGGTGGCGGGAGTGGGCGGACTCCTCCACGTCCATTCGCGAGATTGAAAATAATCTCTTGGTGAACAATAATGACTCTAGCCGTTTCCAGAGGGAGTTTCGAGGTCGTTCGAGTGCGAGGAGCCGTCGATTCGGCGACGTCGCATCATCTCCGGAAGAGACGAGGGATAATACGGCCGCCGATCCAGCCTCCCTGTATCATCTCCACGAGAGATAATACGGCTGCCGAGAGGATCCCTTTCGTCTGAGGACTCACACCGCAGGAATTAATACGTCCGTTTCGTTTTAACGAGACGGACGACGATAGCGTGAGGACGTTAAAGCGAAGGAGGAACTGAAATCAGCGAGACGCGACTTTTCGAGAGATTTTTTCGAGACGCTCTCTTCACGGAAGCTGTAGGGGGAGTTTTACCCCCCGCGGGTGATTACGGCTTTGATGGAATTATCGCACATCCCCTGTAATGCACCGGGAGCGTTCGTCGATATCGCCGCGGTCGTTATCTCCTCCTTATGAAGTCCGGAAAAATTGAAGGAGCTGTCTCGAGAAATGATCCGACAGGAATTTATGAATTCTTCGCTCCAGTCCACTTTTCAAAAAAGCACGACTTAACATTGTTAAGCGGTAATTTTTGTAAGTGAGACTTCTCATGGCTCCTACTCATTTTCTTATCACATTTCAATACTTTCCAGGCTTCTAGGATAACTTCGGTCGGTAATTCCGTCTTTAACGCGATTACAGGGTTCGCGCGATGCGTAGGCCCCATTGTTCGACCACGTCTCGCGGTGGGTGGTGGGTGGCGCTCCTATCGGTATCACCTCCCGGTCGTTACCTCCGCGCGGAGTCGCCGAAGAGTGCGCGCCCGGGGGCGGGAGAGGTGCAAGCCGTTTCCGCGTGCACTCCGCGCGACAAAGGAGAAAGACAATGGACCCGCTCGGATGGAAACGGCGCGCGACGGCCCGGGGAACTTTTCCGACGTCTCTCCAGGCGAGTCGTCGCCGTCGCGCAAAGGAACCTCGCCCGGGATCGCCGGCAAACGAGGCCCGCCCGGGCCTGCTCCGTAATTAAAAAGTGTCGATTCGTCGTCATTAAAAACGCGACGGAATCCCGGAATTGATGAACCGTCTTCCCGGAGCATGCATATGCGCGAGAATTTTCCCCCAGACCGAGGGGTGGGAAAAAAGGAAGGAGGCAAAAAATGGGAAACTCGAAGGAAGAGAAAGATCCTCCGTCGCCGACGTCGAAAGAGGAAGACCCGAGGAGAACGACTGCTACTTATCGGACGAGGCGTCGCGCGTTAATTATAGGGACGCTGGTCCTTCCGGGTGCAAGGGTGCAGGGGTGCATTCGGCGGGATCGATAAGGGAGTTCTCCGCGGCTCTCTCATTTGTCCGGCGGGTAATCGCCGGCGCGCGAGAGAGAGAGGGGCGGTCCGCGAAGTAGAAATTGCGTTCCTTTTTCCTTTTTCCCTTTTTTCCCTCCTTTTTCGGCCCCGCTTTAATGCCGCTTCCTCCATGTATACATATGCGTATATAGGCGTACATTCACGTATGTACCCCCACATGGGCCCGTAAATATATCTATACACGTATATATTTTTATATATACGTGTATAGAATATACATCCAGGATGTAGGGGCGATATAGGATACGCCGCACGCGGCGTGTCTCTCTTCGTCTCTCTCGCACTCCCGCGCTCGCCGCTCGCTCCCTCTCTCTCGGCCCGCGGGCGCAGCGCTGTCGGCCGCGACGTACCTCCGCGCCGCCACCCTCCCACCCACCCGGAATTCCCTTTGACGTGAATTCCATGCATTACCGAGCCTGACGAGCGAGACGCTAACTTCATTGTTGTTTCAAAGGCCCCTCTCGCGGATGGCTGGACCAGATATAGGGCACGGGGAGAAGAGTCCGGGGAGAAGAGTGCCAAGAGTGCCGGCGTCGTCGCGGCCTCGAGTGCTGAAAAGAAGCCCTCTCCCGGAGTGCCGGCGACGGCACGGTCAGCTTTTGTCCGCCGAGCGTGCAATCCGATCGCGGCTTAATGCAGATCCGAGATGTCGCCACACTCTTGCACCCTGCTTCCGGAAACGGGCTTTCTTCCCTAGGGCCTGTATCCCGGTTCTTTGCCCCGGAAAAATGACGCCCGGTTTTTTATAACCTTACTTATCCCTCCACTTCTCCGGAACGTTTCTCTGATTTTGATAATCCACCTGTGCAGCGAGTGGTTTTTTTTTTCTTTCTTCTTTATTTGATTAACCACGGATGTCGATTTTTCTTTTTTCTTTTGTTTACTTTAGAAGTGAAATTTCGGGTAAGAAAAATCCTAAGAATGGAAAGGAGAGCGATTGAGAATTCGAAAAATTTCAAACTCGACTCGAAACGTATATCCTGGGTTCTGTTTTATCCCCCGGTGATAATTCGCCGATAAGACGCGACGACACTTAGCGGATCCTTGGATACTGCAGCCTCCGAACGATGCACTCCTCTTTACGGCCAAACGCGCCCTCCACCCCTTTTACATCGATCCCACCTTTGAGGGAAGCTAGATTGATATCCGCCCTCGGCTGTACGTCTTTACGAGGCGCTAAATTTTTTAATATATTTTACAACACCCCCCAAGGATTTTTATTAAACGTTTAAGAGGGTTCGATCTTATATTACGGCAGAGGGGAATTTAAGCTCCCACCTTTGCAAATCGAATTTTTACTCCCTTCATCCCTTGTCTCTTTATCCAAAGATATCCTTTATCCCCGGCTTAATGTAAATGTAAAAGGCACGAGGACAATTTGGCAATTTTGGAGAAAAAATTAAAAAAGAAGAAAAAAAGGAAAAGGTTCAAAGGCGATTTTTTGAGATTTCAAATCGAAGAGGAAGAGTCCGTGCGCTCTCTGGAGGTCGATCAGCTGATCGATGGATCGATTCCAGGGCGGTCAGGGAGGCGGCGAATCGACTCGCTGACCTGGTTTTGCTCTCCTCCGGGTTCTCCTTCGGGAAATCGGTCCCTGGGACCAACCCTCCCCCCTCTGGCGGGGTTTTATGGCGCATGAAATGGACTCTTAATACCTTAATGCCGGCTCGAGTTGCGCGCCCCATTCGGCACCACGTACGGCTCGGCCCTTCTTGGGGGTGCGGGAAATTTATCGGCCTCTTCCCCCCCGGCTTTTCCGACCTTTTAATCCCGCCAATTCCCACCGATGGACTCCCCGTTGCGGGGATTGTATTTAATAATGTAATAAATATCGACGCTCCGACCTGGTCGCGCCGCGCTTTGGTACTCCTCCTCTTGAGAGAGAGGAAAAATCTCAATCGAGCTTGAGATTTTTTAATGAGCCTCTAAATGATAACGATAAAATAACGAGGATAATGGGAAGATGGAAATACACAATAAACAGGTTTTTCGGTTGCCAAGTATTCTTTGAGTACTTTGAAAATTAGTCTCGGAGGAGGCATTTTTTGAAAGAGGCTCACCTCCCAGCTGTAGTTCCGCCGATGCTTGCGCGGTCTCTCCCTCCGATCTCTTCACGATGCATTGGTACATCCCCCTATCTTCTTTCCCGATCCCATTGAGCATGAGGACGTCGGATTGCCTCCCAGTCCCAGGAAGTTGTCGACCATCCTTGTACCAGGTGACAAAATGGGGCCCAGCCTGGGGATGAGTCCCGATCACGCACCTGAATTCCGCATTGCCCCCCAGGTGCACGCTCAGGAGACTCGGCGTCACCTCCACGTGCAGGGGGGCCGTCACTATCACTCTGAAAAAAAAAAAAGAAATACGATTTCGAGACAAATCAAAATTCAAACGATCCCAAATCCATAAAACTTGGAGAATCAGTGCCTAGTTAAACAGGTAAAATCGTACAGGGATTATTATTCCGCATAAATTATTCATATAATTTTAAGAGACTTACCTGAGCTCCGCGCTGGTTTCTCCTCCAGGATTGGTCGCCGAGCACCGATAAACCCCGCTGTCTTCAAGAGTGACAGCCTCGATAGCCAAAACGGGTCCTAGCAACCTGGTCCTGGGTCCAGGAAGGACCAAGAGAGGTTCCGCTCCGGTCTGGGCGTACCAGCTGCGGAAAAAGTGATTTTTAAGCGCTTCCACAAGGACCCAGGACTCCGTGAAATCCGGGAACTCCGGGACTCCGAAATTCCCTGGGAAGAATTTCGCGGCAAAATCCGGCAACGCGCTTCATCAATGTCCGCGGCAGAAACGCCGACAACAAAATCACTCCGGCCAGCCGGCCAATATCGATTCTTTATCGGGCCGCATATTTCACCGGGAGGGAGCGATATCCTATGAGCGACTCGCCTATCTAACATGTCGATCGGTTTCGAGAGATACCCCAAAGATAATCCCAGAGACTGCCCCCTGGAAAATTCGACTTTTCCCCGAGATCTCGTGTCGTCCCATTCGAGTTATCAATTTTATCGGATCCGCGGAAGGCAGGCGATACAGGTCAGGATTTCCTCAGGAAAGGTCAAGAGATCAGAAAATATGAAAATATAAAAAGCATGAAAGTATGAAAATATGAAAATCGAGGACCGGCCCACCCAGGATACGGCGAACTTCCGATTGCGCTACTCTTGAGGCTTCACGACCCCGTGACTCCACTTTCCTCGATCAAAGTCGCCCCTTTCCCCCCGTCAACGAGTACTACCCCCAGCATCCGTTCTCTTTTCTTCTCCAGAGATTCCTCGGCCCTCGCCGTTCTTTTTCCACCCTTTTTGACCTCCTCGGCCCCCGAAAAGAGGAAGCGAGGTGGTCTTCGGGTTCCTCTTCGAGGTCGGCCGGGCACGCGTAAGCCGGTTCTCCGTTCTCCCTGCACCCCGTCTCCTCTTCCCAGGACATATCCCACATCTCCTGGTTAGGTTCTCGTGTCGAAAGGAGCCGAGGAGCTTAGGTTGGCCTTGCACCGGGCTTACCGATATTCCGGAACGGGGCAAGCCTGAGCCACGCACACCAGGGAGGCTGACTCGTCCTGTGACACGTGGACCAGCCCGGAGTGCACCAGGATCACTGGGGCCATCACTCCTCTTTGGTCTGGAATTGCGAAATCGATCCCACGATCGTTTTTATGAATTTTCCACATTTTTTGGCAATTTTTTCTACGCAGAACTACATTTCTCTCGATCGTTTATAGCACGCAGAAAAATTATTCACGGCCATAAGAAGAAATTTGATTTGCTACGACAAATGTTCTTAACGTGATAAAGACTAGCAGAGGATAATTTTGAATTGCAAAATTTCAACGAGGAGGCGATAATTTTTCATTTAAATAATATGACGATTTTTGTTTTTTAATCATTCCTTTTCGATCCTTTACCGGCTATCCTGAAGTTGGCAATGGAGCTGACGACCACCTGCCTCGTCAGCCGGTGCATCGTCCTGCACCGGTATCCTGGAAACTGGTCGCTGAATTCCAGACGATGCACCAGGAGTTCCCCCGTAGGCAGGAGATGGAACTTCCCGTCTGAAATCCAGAAAGAAAAGGAGACTTTTCGACGATTCCACGATTTTGGCAAGATAATCGAGGGCTGACGAGTCCGGGGAATTTCTTCCCACCCTGAAAATCCTCTTCCTCGGAGGTGTTGCAATTTTATTCCCCATAATCCTGTGGGGTCTCGGCGATGAATTCCGGGATCTCTCGCGCGAGGAGGCGCCGAGTGAAAAGAAGTTCCCCCGCGGTGTTAGTTTTAACGCGTTCCTTTTTCTTCTTTCCTTCCCGAGCTTCCCTCCCCTTTCTCGCTTTCTCTCTCCGTTTTCGCCGAAGCGCATTTCCCTCGACATTTCTCACGAGGGCGGGGCTCGTTTAACTTTAATCCCAAAGTGCAGAAGACGCGGACCGCGGCTGAAACGCCATTTCGGAAGCGCGTCCTCGTGGGGCCGGATTTTCCAGGTCGTGATCCTAGATTTCTTGATCTATTTTATTTTCTCCTTGAAAAAATAGAGTCCCGTAGGAAGAAATTCTCGACACAAGAGTGCCCTGATTTCTTAGGATTTTTTATGTCCTTAATTTTTTTTTTTCCTGCATTCGAGAAATTGCGCCGATTCAGCGCCAAGTGCATTATTCGGCGCGCCGAGTTTCTTTACGAGAGTCGGCGCTCGCGCATGCATAAACGGCCGAATATCTCGGCGCCTGGAGCATTTAGGCAAAAATGGCGCATACATTCATGACACGAGTCGTTCATGCCCGATCGATTGAACCCCGAACGAACCCGGTAGGACCACCCGGTGCCGAGATATTCGGGGTCGAAGCTCGGCTCTTCGTTCATTACAAGTCTGGTGCATAGACGCGAGCGCATCTTTTCGGCACCGCGGTGAAGATTCCGGTATTCAGCTCGGCGCAGTGCTGGAAAATGTGAAAAGAAGTCTTCCAGCAGCGTTACGCTTAATAGATTTTCCCCAGGAGGCTTTCATAGGCCCTCGTTAAAATGTTCCTCCTCGGCGAGGACCTAGTGCGACTTTCCCCTAGAGCTGCACATGAAAAGCGGAATTGCCCACCCTGGAAGACCCTTTTTCGAAATCTGTCATCCCTCAAGGGAGGCCTCGACGAAATCAAGAGACAGTTCGATGTATATATAAAAAAAAAAAATGATATGTCGCTTTCATTCAATTACAAGCTACGAGGGAAGGCGTCTCTTCGAGGTATGGATTCGAGCCAGAGATATGGCTTATCCCGGCGGGGTTATAGCGATCTCGCCTTGGATGCAACTATAACAAGGTTTATTATTCCTGGGATTCAGGTCGTCGGCGAAGCGGCGCATCCGGAAGTGCATTCGCCTGGAGGTTCCTCCGATAAGGGACTAAAGGGACGTGCGACGTCCATTCGGTTGGGCTAGGTCGGGAACGTATCCGGTACCAGTTACCTAATCGGGCAGGATAACACCACGACAATTTCCCGGTCTTATCCTCGACCATTTCTCAGGAAGGATAAGGTACCGAGATCCTAGGACCCCTAATCACTAATTAAAAAATTCGAGAGATACCATTCTCAGCCAATACGACTCCTATGCACCCGTACCTGTACTGCATGGATGCGCTTATTACTTCTCAACAAGGTTAATAAAAAATGCCAAAGAAAATTTTGTTATTACTTTCATGCGGTTATCTAATCGGCATAGACATTACGAGACTACTAGAATGTAGGAGTCCTGGATATAACTGCATTATCCGAGGGTAGCAGGCCAGCGTCCTGGAGGGTGCATCCAGGAGTGCACTCGGCCGGAGGTCGGGCAGATAAGGGACTAAAGGGACGCAATGCCCGTTTAGTTGGGTTAGGTCGGGACATGCCCGGTTCTAGTTACCCGACCGGATAGGATATTACCGTGCGGTGCACATACACGACCATAGACAGGATGCATGCACTCGCGCGTGCACTCTCGCGTGCACTCGCTCACACCGAGTCGGGGTGCAATCTCATCCTGAATGGAACGAACGTCGAGAGGAGGGGAGGGGGCTATCTGGCAAACCGAATCAGGCTAACGAGCGGGTCCCAGGACCAGGACCAGGTCCTGCAGGATGCAGTCCGTTTCCCGCCACCGGATCCTTTTTCGCCTCGCAAACTTATGCACCACCCTGACCCCCGCGATCAATGGCACCCCCTTGGAGGGGCTCCAACTCGCCGACTTATCGCCAGGACTCGAATCCTCGAATATGCAGAAAAAGGACCCGTCCGCAAACAGGACGCGCGATAAATTCCCAGGACCCTCGGGTCATTAATCCTCGATTGCCCGAGTCACTCCTTTCCTCGCGAAATGCCATTTCCGAGGTGCAACCGAAGTGCATCCGAGATTTGGCGTGCACTCGGTACCCTTACCCTTATTCTCCAGGACGACGCGTCCTGTCGCAGGTCCCTGGGTTATATTGCCGTGCTGGATATTAAATTTCTGCCCCGCGTCCCAACCGGCGTAATACGTATGTGTAGATATCGCGGCCATAAACGTAACTCTTCCTGCGCCTCCCCTCCCTCACTTCGTAACTGCACGCGGTATTACTGCAGCTGCATGGTTGCACTTCCTCGCGAAACCGATTCCCGGGAATCGAGGGTCGGCAGGTCCTGCGCCAGGATCTTTTTCCATTTTTTTTTCTTTCAATGTTTTTTTATTTCTACTTTCGTTCTTATTTTCTCCCCTGCCACTTACCTCCTTGCAGCGAGGGGTAAATGTAGAAGGACGGCTCCTGCAGCCAGGACACCACTCGCACGAGGTCCTTCACGAAACTTGGCACCACACACCGCAATACCGCGGTGCATCCCCTGGCTGCACCTCCCATCACCTCCACGTCCACTTTGTATGCCTGGGCCACCACTGAAAAAGAATTAATCTTTTTTTATTCCAAGGTTTTTCATGAATTTCTGACAATTATTTTTTCGAAACGTGGTTATGGTAGAATAAATGGTTTTTAATTTTCGGTAAAAGGGCGGACTTTGGGAAGGAGGCTATTTGGTCAGGGGCGGGGGACTTTTGCAGAGTTTAGGGGGACGTCCATTTTCGCGATGCCATTCTAGGGGGTAAAGGGGAACGGAAGAGGAGCTTTTTGGCGAAGCTGCCGAGCGGTGCGAAATAATTATTGCGCTTGGGCGTCGGCCAGGATGCGCCCCAGAAGGGAGGGAAATCTCTTCGAGACCTCCCCGAGAGTCGGAGGAAGTTTCCTCCGGAGGCTTTGTCGACCCCGAAGAGAGCCTGCGAAGAAGCCGCGAGAGTCCTCCCCGAGGAGCCCCCCGTCCGCGTTTTCAAAGGAGTCTTTTAAGCGGCGCGGCCTCAAAGACGCGCCCGAGAGCGGCTTCGCAAAGTTACGGCCGGGAGGAGTAAATGTAACGATTTTCCCCGGGGAAAATTACTGGCGAAACCGCGGCAACAAATATGGCCGCCTACCCCATACCGCGAATTATTAGCCGGCGCGTTTAAAGGCAAAAAAAATCCTTTCTGAAAATATTCCCAAAAACCCGGCCAAAGCGCATCCCGAGGTGGAGTATCGTTTTCGCATTTCAGCGGAGCATCGATTCAGTTTTATTTCCTAATTTCGCTCCAATTTCTTTTTTTTTTGACCGAGGATTAATTATCCTCGTCGCGGGTCGCGTCAAAGACTTTGAAGAGAAACCTTTTCGACGCTCCGGGGCGCCTTCGGGCAGGCTCCTTTTTTAAAGGCCCTTTTTCCCCCAATTTTCGAAAAGAGATTTACCGGACGTTTCTCCGGGAAGAAAGTTTTAATTAACGTCACGCGTCCCCGTCGTTTACTTTCGGGGCCCGGAAATCTGGTCCCCCTTCCGAGGGGCGTCGCGACGCCCCGGGTCGGCCTGGATTTGCATTCAGATTGCGTTTTTAAAGAGGTAATTACACGGCCCGTGCCACCAGACGTGTCGGAAATCGTCGCCCATGGTCGGCATAGTAATCACCAGTCGACCTCCTTCCTCGCCCCGAACTAATCAGCGATTTTCTATCCCGGGGGGTCCCTTCCTTCCTTCGGGACTCCCCCTTGTAAGACCACACTCCCCCTTCGTCGATAAAAAAAAATAGAAATTCAAAGAAAATCCGAAAATCTCAAAAGTAAACGCGACGATCCATTTTACAAAACTGCCCCCTTATCGTAAAAAATTAGTATGTAATCGAAACAGCCCTGACAAAAAAATCCCATAAATAATCCCCGCCTCTTTTCAGAGTCGGGAATATCCATCCCGGGACTCGGCCATTAATTAATTAATTACCGTTCAAGAACAAAGCCGGATATACCGCGGCGGTAAATCCTCTTCCTTCCGATCGGCCTGGCCCGAAGGATAATCCTGGGAAGCTATATCGGTTTTAAAAGGGAACCTCATTATATCTGGGGATGATCGTCGTTTTCCAAAATTTCCGGGTCTGATAATTCCGTTTTGAAAAATTCTTCCCTGGGTTTATCGAGGATCGATGAGAGATGCACCTACCAGCCCTGACTTGGACGTCGCGACTGAGGACTCTGCCGACGGAATTGCTGGCGACGCATCGATAGGCCGCACTGTGCACATCCTGGCGATATGCAGCTGCAGGAAAGGGGAGCAGGACGAGGGTGCCGTTTCTGAGGACTCGGCGCACCCCGGATACGTCTCCGACCGGAAGTCCGTCGGCGGTGGACCAGTCGATCTCGGGTGGAGGACTTCCGGTTGCCGCACAGTCCAGCCAGGCCCCGCTCGAGTTGGAGAACTCCAGCTTCGAGGGGGGTTCGATCAGGAAGCTGGGTCCTCTCAGGTGGGCGTCGAAGCCGTGTCCATTGACTGCACTCACGGCCGCCGCGGCTGCACCTGCGAACAGAGGTTGCACCTGAGAAAACCTGGGATGCAAGTTGGGACTGCTGCAAATAAAAGAAAAAAAAAAATTCATCGAACCGAAGAAATAGTTTATTCATCCAAAGAGGAACTATTTCACTCGGATGAATTGTCATAATTTACATAAATTTCAAAGAAATGTTAGGAGCTTCCCGAAATTCCAGGAATTCCGGAGGAGTGTAGTCGCCGATCGGAGTGACGCGCGATTCGATTTGACCCGATTGGATGATTAATCCGATCGGCGGATCCGGTGCAACGGAGCCGGATAATTTGGTCCGTCGCTCGTCCTGGTGACATCCATCGAATGCGAGGGATCGCTCCCACCTCTTCAGGATTTCCGAATTTTTCCTGGCCGAGTCCACGTCGACGCAGAATTCTGGGTCAAAGAGTTCCTTTCGCTCTCATGAAAGTTCTCCTTCCATACTTTCTTTTCCTCGTTTTTCCTTCTCCAGGATGCATTTCTCCCCGCTAGGACCTCGCGAGGGATTTTTATCCTTAAAATATAATCCGCCGGAAATGCAAGGAAGCGCCTCTTCCACGTCGAGGAGCGCGTTCTTCGGGTTCTCCGGGAGGTAAATTCCCGAGGAGGGAAACTCCCATCCGGATTCCGGGATCCCGAATCTTTCCCCATATCTTTCACCGAGAGGAAGCCCCGTTTTACCGGGGACAAGGGGGAAGGATCCGAAACGCATTTCGATGTAGATGAGAGTCGTCCCTCTTCGGCCGAGAGGACGAGTTCGCCCCTCGAGCGGTTCCCGAAGAGATCGGTCAAGTTTGGTCTGACATCCGTCTCCCCCCAGGATGTCCTCCGACGAGAAACGCCATGTCGACATCTCCAGAGTGCCCCCCCTCCCCGGGGGTAATGTAATTTCCTTGTAGATCGAGCTCCTTATTTTTCCATCCAGGGTGGAGGCGCCTCCACCCCTCGCTGGGTGATTTCGAGGGAAATGGCGACTCGGAGGAAAATTCCCCTCCCTTGGTCCTTTCGACTCGAGGCTTCAAAAAAGATGTCCCTCCAGAGACGAGTGAGAAAAGAATTATCAAAAGGGGTTATCAATTTCGGAATCGAGGAAATTTAAAGCATAGTCGTTTATTAATTGAAATGGCAGATTCAAGGATAAATTCGGTTTCCCAGATTTTCTGTCCCTCCTCAAGGTTTAAAAAAGAAAGAAAATGTCTTCCAGAATCGAGGGTGGTTTTCGATTTTTTAAATTGGAGCCGTAGTCGCCCACTAATTGGGATCGTAGATATTACAGGGATATCGCTCAACTCCAGCTGATCGACTGGTATATCCCGGCGTAATTACCAACATGCGCGAGTGGCCGTGGGAATTGATTCCGTTTGTCTAGGGAGGGAATTATTAATCGAGCTCCCTGTGATCCGATGTGCATCATCGTTCACGGTTTGCCGTCCAGGAAGCTCTCGAAGCCCGGTGTGCAGGTCGTACCCCCTCGACCCCGAAGAGGCGGCTTTTCCGCCTCGAATTTCGGCCCGAAATTTCCTCTCGTCAATTTTCGAGAGATACGGGGCGTTATGAATTCCTCAGGTACCCCGGTGCAGGAGGTATTCGCGGTGCAATCGAACGTTGCATAATCGAGGACCCCAAGGAGTACCGCGAGAGATAGGGCGCGAATCGATAGGCGGAACAAACTAGGAGGGTGGAGGGAAGGCGAGGAAGAAGACCGCGATTCAATTTGCAGACTCCGAAGTCGCAAGACGCGGAAGAGGGTCGAAGAGGGCGAAAAGAGCGAGGAGGACGAGAAGGGACGAACATGCCGAGGACGAAGAGACCGAGGACGAGGACAAGTCCACGCGAATGTTTGCCGATTCGATCAAGGCGACAATTATTTGATCCGGCGAGAGGGGAATGAAAGCCCACCCCGACGTAGTCCGGGGGTGCCAAGAGGCATCCTTACTTGTTCTCCGGGGAAGTTCCCTCTCGAGAGGTCCTCGACTTCGAGCCTCCCCCGGATCGGGTGTCTCCGACGTTTCCCTCGATTTGCTATCGCTATCACCCCCAGGAGGGCCGGGAACTTTGCATTTCTTCCAAGACTTCTCCCCCGTTTAAAGGGTTTCGAGAATCTCGAAAACGGTGCGGTATAAAAAATGCTTTCAGAATTTACAGCTGAAAGATATTTTGAGAATTTAGAGCTGGACAGCCATTTCCGAACCCTGGATTTAAGAATAAAAACGCATCACTTATCGGAAGAAGCTCGATACGCGATGATAACCAGTGGCGGCCATCTTGCGTTGTTCTTACGTTTTCGAATTATCAATGGATATAAAAACGATTTAAAAAAAACCCCGCAACCCCCCTTGTCGCTACAATTTATACTTCGAAAAAAGGACATGTCGGCCACGTGTTGACTACCTGTCTGCCACCTGGCGGTGGTTTCCAGGGGTGCGACAAACGACTGACCGACTCGGTGCCGGCGGCTTCGAGCAACCCTCCGCGAGATGGCGACGTCACTTCCACCCCCCGGGGTATCGACGGACAAAGAGTGGCCCACGTCGCCGCCCCGCGGTTCGATAATTAATTCCCGTAATGAGTGCAATTAGGAGGCCACTTCGCCGCGGGCCGAATTCAGCCCGACCCTCAACCTGGAGATATACCTGTCGAGGCGTTCATCGGCCAGGAAACCTGAGAAAAAAGGAGCCCCCCAGCGAATCCGAATATCGGACGGTACCGGCAGGTTCGACCACCCCGATCGAAAGCCCCGGCAATGGTACCGCGCTCGATTTACCATCGTTCAATTCTAATTCTCGATTTTAGAGACGAGACGCGAGGAGGGAACAAGGAGGAAAAGCCCGCAGATCGATAGGCAAGGCCGACTCCGAGTCTGCGAAGAGGAGCCATTGACACGACTCGTGCTCTCCAGGGCCATCGTTTATTAGTATTTAATCGTAATTACCGGTTTATCGTTATTTAATAGTAAATCTCGATTTTAGGAGCAAGAGGCGATTATCTCGGTAACTCTGAATTTTAAGGCGAGAGGGGAATAAAAAGGGATGAAAATCCCAGAGGTCGACCGGCAAGGCCACCTCCAAGATGAAGAGGAGGCCCTGACTCGGCCTCCGCTCTTCAGGGTCTCGATTTTCCCTGACTTAATTGTAATCCTCGATGTCGAGACGAGACGCGAGGAAAAAAACCGAGGAAGAGCCGGGAGATCGATAGGCAAGGCCGCCTCCAGGACGGCGAAGAGGAGGCATTGACCCGGCCGGCGCTCTTCAGGGCCTCGAAGCGGCCTCGAAGAGCCCGGGGATGCATCCCAAGTGGTCCGGGGCACGTACGTCGACGCGTAATCGGGCCGCTTTAGACTGCTCTTCCCCGTGCTCAAGATATTCACCCCGGCGAGTCGGCGAGGCGTCTTCAGGGTCTCTCGAGTCGGGCCCTCGAGCCGCTCGAGTCGGGGCTAACTCGAGCTTGAACTTCGGCAAGTTTAACTCCCTCGTCGGCCGGGACTCGTTATTCCCGAGGACGATTTCACTTGGAAACTCGTTCGCGACACCTGAAGCTCCCCGTGCCGGGACTCGACGATGGCCAGGGGGGGTGGAATTGGGGTGGGGGTGGAATAAGTACGGAATAAGTCCGGAACGAGTCCCGGAAGTCCCGGGAAGTCCGAGGCCGGAAGCGCCGCCGAGTTCGGGGAGGTTGGGATGTCCTCTTGGGGGTGGGGGTTGGAGGTGGGATAGGGTGAGTCCTGTTCCCCGGCCTTGGAGGGACCGCCGGTGGCCATTTTCGGAACGACCTGGTTTTATCGCGGCGTTCTCGTTCCCGATGCTCGTTCCCCTGGACCAGGGATGTTGGAGGGGTTGACCACCTCGCCACCCCCTCGAGGGCCTCCGACTCCGGGAAAAAAGGACCCGGGCCCCTGGTCCATCTCCGTACCTCTATATATCTTAAAAAAAGTACTGGCCTGCCAAAATTTAGATACTAAGAAACAACTTTGCTAAACTGAGGGAAATTATGGAAAATAATGGGTAAGAAGACCTGGTTCATCTGCATAACTCTACGCGTTCAGAAACTACGAGATACGGCGGAAATTCTCAAAATTTCATATACACGCCGAACCTCAGAAATTAATAAAGAATTTTTGAAAATTCCCCGCATGTTCATCCTAACCTGTATATTTTTAGAGTGATAAGGAAAATAAGGAAAAGTGCATCGATGTTGAAAAATGTTCGAAATATATTTTTCTCTTCAGAAAAGGAGGACCTCCCTCGGGAAGGGAGAGCGCCTTCTTGTCCGGGGCTTTTAGAACGCTTTAAAATGGAACGGAGGTTACGCGCCGGAGCACTCGGCGTTACCTCGGAGACACGGGTCCCGTCTTTCCTCCGGGATGGGGACTCAAGGGACGTCTCGATGCATCCCCGGGAAAAGTGCGCGAGCCGCACTGCGCGGGCCGAGGTCTCCCCCGATGGCGCTCGGACCTCTCTGTCGCCCCCGCGAGCGGCCGCATGCGTCCGTCTCTCTCCAACACCCACGGTCAGTCCCATAGCCCGGCGCACTTTTTCCAAAAAGGCCGACAGGCATTAATCAGCGACAAGGGAGGGGAATTTCCATGTTTATCGTAAACAATAAACATGTTGAGGGATAGTTTTCATTGATAAGGGGTAGGGGGAGGGGGTGAAACATCATACCATCGCGTTTCGAGTTTCCATTATCCGGAATGCCGTTGCAAAACTGCATTTTCGAGCGTCCTCGAAATTTCATCGTTCTCCGGTCTCGTGCGCCCGAAGGGTGGGCACCCTCCCCCGACAATCACTCTCTGACCCCTCTTCACCCCTTTCCCTCCCGACTCTCATTTCTTGCCGAGCCTTTTTCGCTAATTGTAACGGCCAACGCCTTCCTGCCACGGAAAGGAGGCCGCGTTTCGCAACCGGCCACCTCGGCCGGGCGGAATTATTAATTCTCCTCTTTCGAAAATGTTTATTTACCGGAGGTAGGGGGCTCCCTGGATTTTCAATTACGGTAA